CTGCCTTTTAGTCAGCTTGACTAAGCGTTTGTCTATCTTGTTGATTTTCTCAAAGAACCAGCTCTTTGTTTCATTGATTCTTTGAATTTTTTTATTTGTTTCTAATTGATTGATTTAACCCCGAGTTTGAATATTTCCAGCTGTCTACTCCTTTTTGGTGTGTCTGCTTCTTCTTTTTCTAGGGTTTTTAAGTGAGCCATTAAGTTGCTTGAATGCGCTGTCTCGAATTTCTTCTTGAAGGCACTTAGTGCTATGAACTTTCCTCTTAGCACTGTCTTCATTGTGTCCCACAAGTTTGAGTATGTTGTGTCTTCATTTTCATTGAGTTCTAGGAAGACACTAATTTCTTTCTTTATTTCTTCCCTGACCCAGCTGTCATTTAGTAGCAAGTTGTTCAGTTTCCATGTGTGTATAGGCTTTTTGCTATTTCTGCTGTTGTTGAGGTCCAGCTTTATTCCATGGTGGTCAGAGAGGATACAAGGGATTATGTCAATCTTCTTGTATCTGTTGAGGCTCGCTTTGTGACCAACTATGTAGTCTATTTTCGACAAGGTTCTATGAGGTGCTGAGAAGAAGGTAAATTCTTTTGTGTTTGGGTGTAAGGTTCTGTTAGAGACATTGTTTCTTCGTTTAATTTCTGTTTTGTTGACCTGTCCTTTGTTGAGAGTGGGGTGTTGAAGTCTCCCACTATTAATCTGTGGGGATCTAAATGTGGTTTAAGTTTTATCAATGTTCCTTTTACAAATGTGGGTACCCTTGCATTTGGGGCATAGATGTTCAGGATTGTGATGTCTTTCTGGTGGAATATTCCCTTGATGAGTATGAAGTGTCCGTCCCCATCTCTTTTGATTAATTTTGGTTGAAAGTCTATTTTATCAGATATTAAAATGGCTACTCCTGCTTGCTTCTTGGGTCCATTTGCTTGGAAAGCAGTCTTCCAACACTTTACCCTCAGGTTATGTCTATCTTTGTGACTTAGGTATGCTTCTTGTATGCAACAGATAGCTGGGTTTTGTTACGTATCCATTCTGTTAGTCTGTGTCTTTTTATTGGAGAATTGAGTCCACTGATGTTGAGAGAGATTGAAAGAGATCAATGATCCTTTGATTTTGATATTGGGTGTGTTCATAAGGTTGTGTGCTTGGTTGCTTTTTGTTTTACTGTAGTAAGGTTAATTATTTCCTGTGTTTTCTTGAAAGTAGCTAATTTTCTTGGGTTGTATTTTCCCTTGTAGTTTCTTCTGTAATGCTGGATTTGTGTGTAGGTATTGTTGAAATTTGTTTTTGTCATTGAATATCTTGTTTCTTCGTCTATGAGGACTGAGAGTTTTGCAGGGTATAGTAGCCTGGGATACTTCTGTATTCTCTTAGGGTCTGCATGATATCCGTCCAGGCCCTTCTGGCTTTCATAGTCTTTGTTGAAAAGTCAGGTGTGATTCTAATGCTTTTGCTGTTATATGTTACTTGGTCTTTTTCCCTTGCAGCTTTTAGTACTTTTTCTTTTTTATGTATACTTACTGTTTTGATTATTATGTGGCGGGAGGATTTTCTCTTCTGGTCTAATTTATTGGGTGTTCTGTAGGCCTCTTGTATTCTTATTGGCCTCTCCTTTAAGTTGGGGAAATTTTCTTCAATGATTTTGTTGAAAATATTTTCTGGGTCTCAGAGGAGAGAATCTTCTTTTTCCTCTATTCCTATTATTCTTAGGTTTTGTCTTTTTACATTGTGTTGAATTTCTTGGACAGTCTGTGTCAGGAATTTTTAAATTTAACATTTTCTTTGACAGATACATCTATTTCTTCCATTGTATCTTCCACACCTGAGATTCCTTCTTCCATTTCTTGTAGTCTATTGGTTATGCTAACCTCTGTAGTTTCCTGTTTTCTTCCCTAAGTTCTTTCTCTCCACAGTTTTCTCCATTTGTGTTTTCTTTAATTTTTCCAATTCTATCTTCAGATCTTGAGCCATTTTGTTGATCTCCTTCACCTGTCTGACTGTATTTTCCTGTTTTTCTATCAATTCTTTCAGCTGTTTGTTTGAGCAATCCACTGATTCTTTTATTTCATTCAGTGATTTAATCATTTCCTCTCTAAAGGCCACAAACTGTTTGGCTGCAACTTCCTCTATTTCTTTACCGATGGCCATAATCTGTTTGAGTTTATCTTCCTCTAGGTCTTTACGTATTTTATTTGTTTCCTTTGTTATCCTGTTCATGAGCATAGTTCTTAGGTCATCTTCTTGGATTTCAGTTATGCTCGTGTGTCCAGGGCTACTTGCCCCTGGATAACTGGGTTCTGGAGATGCCATATTGCTCTGTCTTTTGTTGGTCGAGCTTTTGCACTGGCCTCTACCCATTGGTCTATCTTAGGTGTTTGGGCTTAGTTTCTGGTGGTTCCTGGGGATCTTGTGGTAGAGAGAATCCCCTTGGCAGCTAGATGGTTTTTCCTGAAGGAAGCCTTCTCAGCTTTTTGGGTATAGTCACTGGATGGTTGGTGTTTTTCAGGAGTTGCTGCTGCTCACCTCAGGGATAGATACCTGAGTGGTAACTGTGGTCCTTGTTAGTTGAGAGAGTTCTCCTCTTGCCCGGGGAAGTCTTGAAAACTGCTGCCCTGCCTCTGGGTTTCTTGCTGTAGATTTAGTGATCTGCTGCTGTAACCTGTGTGTCTCATGGTTTGGTCAGTTTTGTTAGGGATAACTGGTTGTCCCCTGGAGCTGTTTCTGGGGATTGATCTCAGGGATTCCGGGCTTTTGTAGGTCTGAGGTTGGGGCTCTATGTCCCAGTACCCAAATGGTAATCTGTGGTGGGTAGGTACCGCTCTCCTGGTAACAGCAGGCTATCTGGTGGACAGCAAATCCTTGGGTTGGGCCAGTCTGTGGGACCTATTCCAGGGATATACTGGGTGGCCTAAGTCTGTCCCCTTTGCTTCCTTGCCTGTGAGGATTTCTCCTGACAGTGACTCCCAGTCTCTCTTGCCCTGGGGCGCACAGCTCAGCCTGTGCCAGATAGCTGGTGCACAGCAGCTGTCTGTGCCTGTGGCTGGAGTCCAGTTCAGTGATGGTGGCTCATATCCGCTGGTCTGCGAGACTTTTTCCAGGGAAAGACTGGGTGACGCAAGTCAGTACCATTTCCTTTCTTCCCTGTGGAGTTCTCTCACAACAGGGACTCCCAGTCTCTGGTGTTTTTGTGCCCACCATTCAGCCTGAGGAGGTGATCAGTACATGCAGGTGTGTGGCTCTGGTCCGGAGACCTAGTGCCTGCGCGACCCAGGATCTCTTCCTGGTTCTGGCTGGGTGACCTGGCGTGGACCCTACTGATTCCCACACCATAGGGGTTTCCTCTCACCTGGGAAACACGATTGCTGTTGTTTTAGGTCCCAGAGTTCAGTCTCTTGGTCGCTGTATGGAAAATGTTGTCCTGCTCCTCAGACACAGTGTTCTTCTGGCGCCACCATCTTGTCGTCTCTCTAAAATATTTCTTTCTAGGTCATCTTTGCAGTCTCCTTTTTTCTGCAGTTTATTAATTTTTATTAATCCTTAGAATTATATATTTAGTTCAGTTCTTCTATCATGTGATCTTTCTGTGCCCAACCTAGCTCATTTGTCCCAGTGGCCTCTTTTATCATTAATAAGCAAATTACATATATATTTATACATGTTGAGACCGTGAATTTGACTTCTAGACTTCCACATTTAAGAATCCATATCTCATGGCCTATGCTGTCTCAAATTAGATGTCAGTCAAATTTAGACGGACCACAAATAAGTTCATGATATTTGCTTACACTTGTAGTCTTATTCCAAGATTCTGATATCAGAGAATGCCTTAATAATCTACCTTGTTGCTTGTACTACAATTATTTCTGTGTGTGTGTAAGAGAGAGTGAGAGAAAGAGATTGTGAGATGCATGTATGTGCATGAGTGCATCTCTGTGCTCCTGCATATTCATTTGGAGGGCTAAGGAAGCTATTGAGTGTTTTCCTCTATTGCTCTTTTTTTTTTCTTCCCTCTGAGACAGGATCTACCAGTAAACTACGAGCATGCTCTTTTAGCTAGAATCACTAGTCTTTTGTTCCTGATAGTGGCCTGTCTTTATTCCCTAATACTAGTTACGGAAACATGCAGCCATGCCTGGGTTTTCACATGGTTGCTGGAGATTTGAACTCCATTCCTCAGGCTTTCATAATATGCACTCTTACCTATGTAAAGGTCTCTCATCCTCAATTAGGATCTTCAGAGTCATCCTTCAGAGCCCACTTTTCTACTTATATTTGATTTGTTGTCATGCTATGTCATGTTTACCTTTTAATATCCATCAAATAAACTCCACACCTCTACAGCCTTCTTACCTTGAACTCTCATGAAGCTGGAATCTCATCAAGCTGCCATGTTTCTTTTCCCAGCAGCAGCTTATTTTGCCTCTGCTGACAAGAACTTTATGACCATCCCTGTACTGTACTGAGGTAATCTTTTCAAAATGCAAAGCCATCACATCTCCTTCAAATCCTTAGTAGCTATCTATAACACATGTTCAAAGGATCCGAATGCCTTCATTCTTTTCTAGGCCTCTCTCAAACATCAAACATTTTCTCCCACTTTCCACCCCAGCCTTTTGGCTTCTTACAGGAACCTGATTTCACCATCATTTTTTTCATGCTGCAAGCAGTTTCATATGTAACATACGATGTTCTTGTCTTCTCTGCCTGAACCTGTCACTTTCCTCTGTTTTGATTAATTCTTGTTTAATCCTTTAGAACTCTTCCTGGGCTTTGCTTCCTTAGGAAAATGTCTCATTGCTTTGGCTTGGTCACATTTATGATTTTTTTTCATTGTATATGTAGTAATATAATTAATGGTATCTTTTTGATTTTGTTCTTTGAGAAGAGGCCACTCTGATTGTGCTCATTCTTGTGTTCCTCCTGCCTAATGTTTTGTTACAAATGTCATCAGTCAGGACACTTTTGTTGATAGGAAATTTAATCGGTTCTTCTGTTTCTTTGCAGATATGCCATTTCATTAATAATGACCATTTAGAGGAAACAGAGTAAAGGATATTTGCATTTTTAATATTTCCCAGTTCAGGTTGGAGGCAAAAAGAGCAGCGAGAATGGGTAATTTTTAATTCAAAATAATATTTATAGCATTATAAACTATATGCAGCATAGTTTAAACAGTTAAAATAACTGCATTGCTGTTTCTTATTCTCAAATAATAAGCATGAGCTTTTTTAAAAAGACTGACTAAAAAAATCCATTATTTTTCCTGTTTTAGAAGAATATTGCACAGAACTTTTAGAGAATATGTCACAATTAATCTTGGAAAATATGGCAAAGGCTGAGTAAGTATTTTTGCAGTAATCAAGAGTTTTATAATAATGTGTAATATTCTCTCTTCCTGTAGAGCTGTTTGGCCTTACATGGTTGTATTAATTGCTATGTACCTCTGTCTCAGTACAGAGACATGTAATGATATGCAACTATGTATTCAACAATTGAGGTTTTTACCAAAAATGAAATAATGACAACACTTCTGTCTGGGGGTACTATATCATCCATATGCATTTTATAATAATACTATTTTTTCTTTTTGTTTTAGCTTTTCCAGCTTACTCAATGATTTTGTTGAATCTGAGTTTTTTCTGATTGACGGAGACTCATTACTTGTCACATGTGTGTGTGAGAGCTCGCTGAAGCCAGGGCAGAGTCTTCATTTCTTCTACCTGGTGGAGCGCTACCTTTCAGATGTGATTAACAAAGGAGGGCAATTTGCCGTGGTTTTCTTCAAGGTAAAGCAGACCAGCCCTGTTTCTATTCTATGAAGACTGAAACCAGAATTCATTTAAATAATTAATTAGAGACAAGGTCTTTTGTAACTGAAGCTGGCCTTGGACTCATGATCCTCTGGCCTTTACTTCCCAAGCGAAAGGATTTCAGCTATGCACTACGACACCTGGCTATAACTAAAACAATTTTTTTTAAATAAAATTTTATGAAAATTTTCACCTATGATTGCAAAGTAAAACGTACTTTCAAAGGTGCAGAAAATGAGTTGGAGGTTAAGGCCAGAGGATAGGAGTCTGAAGCCTGCCTGAATATCATATACTGAGCTCATGAGTAGTCTAGCCAACCTGAAAAAACCTTAAAAGAGAGAGAAAAAAGTACAGAGATGCCAATCAGTGGTAGAGGACGTGCCCAGTGCATGCAAGCCTGTGGGTTCAATTTCCAATGCACAAAACAAACAAGACAAACTAATACAAAGCAGAAGAAAAAAAGTAAGAGAATTTAAAGGGAAGAAGAGAAAAAGACAGTCATCTAGCATTGCAGTGTTTAGGAATAAATGGGATTAGATTGTTTAGAATGTGTACTGATGGGACTTTCCTGGGTGGACCAGAGTCACAAGAATGGGGAAGATTCTCAACAATGGTCCACTGACCTCAAGTCTAGTTCTCCAACTCTGAGAACTACTCTGCCTTCAAAATCCAGCAGGAAATTTGTGTGAGTACATTGTTAGATGTGTTTGAGCCCACACAAATTCACTAACCCTACTCTGGTATTATGTGCTCTGTCATAAATACCCACTAGAGGAATACCCATATTTGGTTTAATTAATACAATTTAAAAATTTCGAATACAGGTCTATGTGCCTGCTGCTGTATCTTCCCATTCCTATATTCCCATTCTGCTAACACTGCACTCAGGGATTTGTTTGGTGTGGGTTTGTTCAATCAGTTTGCAGCTTACATTAGTGTGTGTTTCTGAGCATTGCTGGCCAGCAGAATTTTAGGCAAGGAGCCAGGGTTCTGCTCTGTGTTTACAATTAGTTGTACAAATTTTGGTCTGCTGAGAAAATTTGATGTTGTTTTAGAATTGTCACTGCAGCTCGGAATTATTCTCTAAATGATCTGTTCTCCTTCAGCTCCTAGTTCCAGAAAATTTATAATTACAAATCACTGTTTTCATAGTTTTTTTTTTTTTTTTCTGTCCTAAGTGGGGTTGGATGGGAGAATGACTAGGAAAAAAGGCGAAGTGTGATGAGCTCTGAGTTCTATCGGCAGGCATGCTCTTAAGCCCCAAGTGTGATTTACAAGCATAGATTTGTGACACACCCAACTTTCAGGGTCAATTTACTGACTATAGGACAGAAAAAACAAACAAACAAACCCTGCTGCATTATATTCCTTCAATGACCTTAATAGTATGTGTTAACTGAGTGAACCAGTAGAATACTAAATGTTACTTTTCAAATAACGCACTTTACCCCTTCCTCTATAGGATGCTGAATACACATACTTCAATGTCCCTAAACTTCTTACCCTGAGAACTGCTTTAATCCTGCATCTTCAGAAGAATACTACCATTGAGGTTTGGACTAAGTTTTCTGGCTGCTTCACAAAGGAGTGGAATAAGTGCTTGGATCAGAGGTGCCCCTATTTCTTGATCCTTGCCGATGAAGGTCTGAACGACCAGCAAACACACCTTTTCAACTTTACAGCCATTCAGTCTTGGGTAGCAAAGGTCAACATTGTGCTCTTCTCAGGACAAACGTCTGACATCCTCCGGCTTTATGCTTACTTTATGCAAAGCTCTTATACAAATCAGATGTTTTACATGAAGGTAATATATATCTAAAAGACCATGTTCTAGAATTTTATAAACACTTCTAAGTTAATTCAGGAAAGATGGCTCAATGGTTAAGAGTGCATGTTACTCTTGCACCCATGTTGGGTAATTCACAACTGCTTATGACTCCCCTCTGTCCTCCATGTGTACTACACTTATGTGTACATGCCAACTGACAGACAGACAGACAGCTAGACACAGGTGTAGGCACACAACTAAAAATGAAATAAATCTTAAAAAAATAACTATCTTGATTCAATATTGGCTCTACCTGAAATATAGAAATTACTGTAGATTTAATAGGAAGGTATACAGGTTAATAGTAATGAAAATGAATTAATATTGACACATAGTAATTTGTTGAGTACTCCTTGTCATATAATCATTCTTAACACATGAATTAATTTAACATTCATTAAAATCCCATAAGAATCATCTATATTTGAAGACGATTAAGTAGATGCTCTAATAAGTAACCTGTTCAAAACCAACACCAAACGCGTAGTAGAACAGAAAAAAGGCTATGAGAAGTGGCGTTACCCTGTCCCCTGTATCCTTAAACATTGTGTGAAATCCAAGTTAGCAAAGGCCAGAACAACATGAAATCGGAGGCAAAGGTATGTCTCTGTTGCTGTGATTTCCTACTGAAATGATAGGTTATGTGGTTGCCTTTGATGAGAACACATTGGAGCATGCTAAAAAGAAAAAAAAAACCAGAGATGGATTTATTACTTCATACATAATTTCAGTCAGTAACTCATTGGCTTTTCAAACAATCAATTCAAATTCCGTGATGGTATTATTTTCCTATATTGGTATATTTGAGAGCTGATTTGTTGACATTTTCAGAGTAAAGCATGGACACTGGCTGGATAAGTATATTTAGTTTACTTGTTTTTTTACTAGTTAAGGTGAATTCTGCATATGAGTATTGTTCAATTTACCATCAAGGTAGCTTTAGAACCAGGTAACATGTGTCCTTTGAGAATTACATCATACCCATCATCACACATTTGCATGAATGAAAATGATTGCCATGACTTGACAGGGTAATTTATTTTGTTTTTTATTAGATTCCTATTATTTAAGTATTCTTGACGCTGACTGCCAACTGTGGGCAGACGCAGGCCTAGGATTTATTTTATACCTAGGGCAAGTACTAAATACTGAATTTATGCTGTAGTTCCTTATTTCTTTCCACAGACGGGGTCTCGCTGTGGAGCTCAGGCTGGCCTGGAACTCACAAAGATCCACTTTGCTCTGCATCCCCGAGTGCTGGTATTAAAGACACGTGCCCCCATACACAGCCTTGTAGTATTCTGTTGACAGCAGTTTCTGAATCTGAATTCTGAGAAATCTTGCAGACATTCTGCCTAGAACCAATTTTAATGGAGGATATTATTTATAAAATAATTTATGCTCCAATTAATTAAAATTCACCTTAAAGTGTGTGTGTGTGTGTTTTCTCCTAACAGGAAATTGCAGGACTACATGAAATAGGATAGTGGAAATGCCATTGAAACTGTTAGCCATGAGTGTTTCCAGTGCCACAGTTGCCTGTCGGGAAGGGATTTTAGTGTCTTCTTAGGTGTTTGCTTGAAATACACTGAACTGTTTTGGAAGGGAGGTTTGCACATACATTACATTATGATGACAGGTTGATGGGTGCACAGCCAGGTTGATATACCAAGTCACTGAACTGCACATTGAAAGTGAGTTCCATCTCTCCCACGTGACACTGGCAGTTCCCCTTGTTTATATGAACGCCGAAAGATAGGATATTCCCTGCAATTGACGTTATAATGACATATGATGTTCCACGATTCACTGTGTAACTTACAACTTTGTGAAAGTGCTAAAAATACAGTGCTATTTTGCCACAAGAGGTAACAAAATATCACTTGGAAAAAGTTTTAAACATTGCTGACCATCCTCAACTACATTACTATAAATTTTAAATTGAGGACTACATTGTAACATGATGGTATCTTAAATTCTTAAAGGTCTGAGTTTTGTCATTGGGAAATAATGATTTTACTTATGAAAATTTATATTTTTTTTGCAGAATAGGAAGAAGATTATTATGGTTTACAAAACCCTGATTAAACGGTTAAAAAAATGGAGAGACAAGGCTTTAACAGCTCTGTTTGGAGATTTAAAATTCAATAATATGGTGGGAGAGGTAATAGAACTTGAAAAACATCTTTTACTTGAACTATCTTTTTAGAAGTGTGTGTGTGTGTGTGTGTGTGTGTGTGTGTGTGTAGGTGCATAACCTTGCACGTCACTCTTAGTGTTTCACTTTGAAACCAAAAAGTTTCCAGGGATTTTCTGGTCTAATGTATATAGTAATCGGCCTCTTAAAACAGCGAAGAGTAGGAGAAATACCACATTCCCCTGTTCCTGGTTAGTGTATAAATGTCTCTGTTTTCCCCTGTTAAGTAGGATATACACTCGTGGTCCACCTATAAACATACAGGCAAAACATTCATTACCGTAAACTAATAAAGTCTAAAATGCGTAAAAAATTATTGTGAGCGATCCAGTGCCTCGGGTCACATGAATGTGGACAGAACTCCAAGTATCATCCACAGAACTGTATTATTTAGACTCAGGATTGGGACTGTCTCGTTTTTTTATAATTTTTAATTTTTATTTATTCTTCACAATTTATTCATTATATATCCCAATTGAAGTCCCCTCCCTCAACTTCCACCAGTCTCACCCTTCCTTCCTCTTCCCCTATCCCCTTCCCCTAGTCCACTGAAAGGGGGAATTCTCCACTATTGCCATCTGCCCATACCTTGTTAAGTCTCATCAGGACTGCCTGGATCATCTTCCTCTGTGGACTGGCAAGACCATGTCCCCAGGGGCGAGTGATCAAAGATGAGGGATGGTCTTGTTAATCTGAATACTTTTCCTTTTTATGTCTTGGCTGTTTATAGTGTTAGTACTTAGAGCAAGATCCACACAGTTTGAATATAACTTTCAGATGGCATCAGTGTATTTTACAGTATTGAGCCCATGCTGGGTGTACACCCTTTTCATCACTCTTCTTGTTACATAATATTTTCTGACTTTATTAAAATCTTACAAGTGTGATTTTTATGGATATGCGGTATTTCTTGAATGCTGAACATTTAAATTGTTTGAAGGTTTGCTTTTAAAATAATTCTGTGATGAACACTTTTGTACACACATTTTTGGGCAGATTTTGGGTTGTTGATCTAGGTTAGCTCTCTAGAACTTGAATGAAAAATATTCGTATATTGAATGGCAATTAAGTGTATTGTCAATTGCCTTTGCTTAAGCCTTTGCCTATTTATGATCTCATTAGCGAAGCATATGAGAAATGGTATACCGTAATTTCTTGTACAGTTATTAAAGTATTAAAAGATGAAAAATAACTTTGATCACATGAAAGTAGAAAAATGCAGTTGTTATATTACTAAAGAATATAAACTTTTTCTCATTTTCTCATTATTTGTTTCATTAGACATTATTTTTAAAAAGTCATAGATTTTCTTGCTTAGTTACCAGTGTTTTTTTCATATGCATGTATTTGTTTATAGTTTCATCAAAAATTTTTTTTGAAGTAATTTTACCATTCAAAATTTTTGCTCACTAATTTTTTTAATGGAAATAGCTACAGTTCCCATATGGTCCTGCAAACCCACTTCTTACTATACAATCACTTATGAATATAGTTTTCCAAATATCATGACATGTTACAGTTGTCTCCTGTGACAGGCATGTGAGACTGTATCTCTGCTTAAGCAAGTCTGGCCGGAGGGATCTGACATCCGACGTGTCCTTTGTGTCGCCTCATGCTCCCTGTCCTTGGACATGTACCACTGCTTTTTAGAGAGCAGAGAGAAGGAAGCCTCCCAGCAGACGTGCAAAGTCAAACAGGTGCGGTCGTCGCGCTGGGATACACCACTGCTTTCCACCATCGCTAGTTCATTATTTCCACCTACCATCTCTCCCACGTGACACTCCCCATGTTTACATGAACGTCAAAAGATACAATTCATGTTTTAATGACATATGATGTTCCACGATTCACGGTGTTGCATACTGGCATTTCATGTAGGATCACTCACCCACAGGCAGACAAAAGGAGAAACAGCCTACTGTGCTGCTTTGGGCTTTTTCTGTGTACTGTGCATGAAATGCTTAGAGAAGCTCTACAAGATAGGCATTGTGTTTTCTACTCCACACTGGCTTTCTGCTTCTGAGAGTAACAGTCCTCCAACCCAAAGTATTAAATAGTAATGTGGACTGAATTCAGGTTTATCTTGTACAAGTTTCTCAGTGAGTTTAAAAGATACTCCCACACTAAGGAGTCTTGGCATCCTATTTTATTGATTTGTTTGTTTATTACAATTTATTCACTTTGTATCCAAGCTGTACCCCCTTCTTCATGTCCTTCCAGTCCCACTCATCTTCCCTCTTCTCCCTGCAGGCCCTTTCCCTAGCCCACTGATAGGAGAGGTTCTCCTCCCTTTCTATTAGACCTTAGCCTATTAGGTTTCATCAGGTCTGGCTGCATCATCTTCCTCTGTGGCCTGGCAAGGTTGCACCCCCCATCCCCCAGGGGAAGGTGATCAAAGGGTCAGCCACTGAGTTCATGTCACAGACAGCCCCTGCTCCCTTTACTAGGAAACCCACTTGGAAACTGAGCAACCTATGGGCTTCCTCTGAGCAAGGGGTGTATGTCTTCTCCATGCATGGTCCTTGGTTGGAGTATAGGTCTCTGCAGGCCTCCATGGACCCAGGTTTTTTGGCTCTGTTGTTCTCCTTATGGAATTCCTGTTCCCTCTAGGTCTTTCTATCTTCTCTTTCTCCTGTAAGGTTTCCTGCACTTTGCCCAAAGTTTGACTATGAGTCTCAGTACCTCTTTTGATTCCCTGATGGGGATTCCTTGTCGTTTCCTACTTCTGATGTCTATCCTTTTTTGCCCTTCTGAGTTAGGTTTCACCCTATTCCCTAGGGCCCTCCTTGTTGTTTAGCTTCTTTAGGACTATAGATTTTAGTATGTTTATCCTATATTATATGTCTAATATACACTTATAAGTGATTATATACCATTTGTGTCTTTCTACTTCTGGGTTACCTCACTCGGGATAATCTTTTCTAGTTCTCACCATTTGCCTGCAAATTTCATTTCTTTGTTTTTAAGTGCTGAGTGTATTCCATTGTGTAAATGTACCACAATTTCTGTATCCACTCTTCCATTGACGGACATCTAGGTGGCTTCCTGATTCTGGCTATTATGAATAAAGCTGCTATGAACATAGTTGAGCAAGCAACCTTATTGTATGGTTGAGCATTTTTTGGATATATGCCCAGGAGTGGTGTATTTGGATCTTGAGTTAGCACTATTTCTAATTGTCTGAGAAAATGCCAGATTGATTTCCAAAGTGGTTGTACAAGTTTGCATTCCCACCAGCAATGGAAGAGGGTTCCTATTAGCTGGAAAGAGACTACTGTTCTTAGGTTTCTTCATTGCAAGAAAGGTGGCCAGTTGAGATTTAGCTATGACAAACATTCATCTGTGCATATGTGTGCTCATGCCACATATGTATGCACACATCTATGCATACCATTTTATATGTAATCTGAGTACTATGAAGTCTCGGCTAAAGAATCCTATTAACTTTCTTGATTTCAGAAACATTTAATATTTTGGTTTGCGGTATCTCTTTAAATATAAATTTTAATGAAAACTTTCTACATTAGACATCCTATTTTAAATAATCCCTAAATCATGATAGTTGTTCAAACTTTTCTCTCTGAAGCTTCTAACTATTAGACCCTCTCTAGCATCCCAGTGCTGTCCCAATGAAGTCTTCTTGTCCAACCAATGAACTATGTTTGACAATGGCAATGATATCTTTGTCCACGATGATAGATATATCTACTTATTTGCCCTTGTTGTCACTGGGCAGCTTTAGATACATTGCTACCCAGTTGTGCTCATGCTCACAGTTCAGAGTATCACCCTCCGAATACGCTACCTAGATAGAAGACAATACTTAGCCTGTAGCTTCACCAACCCAAGACCCTGTGAAACCTTCCATTCATTAACTGGTTTATTAGCTTAAACATGGCATCCCTGGAATGCTGAATCATGCCATACACCAACTGCTACAAAGCTAGAGGCTTCCTTTCCTGTTTACCTCAAACATGTGAAAGCCTAGTTTCTAGGTAAACACTGTCTCAGAAATAAAGAGGGCGTAAATGTGGAATTCCCACATAGACAGATTGGTTGTAATGTCTACTTCTCAAAATTGAGTGTGTAGTCTCCAAGCCTGCATTTGTCTGCTCATCTTCTTTATTTTCTTCAGAAAAAGGATACTTGCTTAACCCTGAAAGACATGGAAGACTTTTGTAAGCTACATTGCCTCAGTGTGGCTTTTCTACTCCATTTACCTCTCTCCCAGAGAGCCCGCTCAAGATTCATCACTTCTAAATGGATTCAGGACCTCACGACTGTCTTTAAAATGGTAAATATACTCTCCATTCGCATATACTTTTAACCACTTTATACATAAAAACCACAATTACCTTCAAGATGGTTTTATACAGTGTAGTGTTAGATGTTGAAGTTTTCAAAGGTCGTCTTGCTTCTATCAATCACTTGGACCAGTTTTAGCAGTTGTATTATGTAGTAATAGCAAGTGTCATGGCATGTCTCCAACCCACGGGACAGCTTCTAGAAATTTTCATTTGTAACATTCTTGTCAGGATCGGGATTCTAAGTCATTAAATAGGACGTTCCCAGTGACTACCAAATTCTACAGTGAGAAAGAGCTGAGAAAATCAGTGCAAAATTTTATTACTTTTTCCATTACAGATTATGGAAATAGAGAATCTGGAGACCTTAGAAAAACAGAAAACAAAAATTTCTCTCTAGTCTTCCATGCAAATCAGTGCTAGAATCTGTTAACCTTTCAGTTTATCTTCTTACTTTTAAATGTACAGTTTTTTTTTCTGTTGGAAAATTGAAGCATTGCATAAATTAAAAACTAATTAAAAAATAAATTTAAACTGGATGTGGCCATGCTGTAATCCCAACAGTTGGGAGGCGAAGGCAGGAGGATTGCTGCAAGTTTGAGACCAGTGGATCCTACACAGTAAATCTCAGACCAACCTGACCTATACAGCAAGACCTTTTTTCAAAAAAAAAAAAAATTATTTATGAGTTAAAAAAATCTATTGAATTATTATTGATTGTTTTCTCTCTTTGTGGCCCAAACTCTCTAAAACCACATATTTATCCAGCTTTTGGCTGTGTTTGTGCTCTTTGCTTAGCTTTCCTTGTTCACTTTTGGGTTGTCAAGAGTAGGCCTTCTAAGGATATCCATATACATTGTTTTTTCTTTTCACACTTTCCTATTTTTTTCCAGTATTGGATAGTATCATCTTTAATGACTACTAGTTACATCTTAATATAATATGTATGGATTAGCCATGTATACTTTCTCTTAGGATCATGAGATACTCAAGGAAAGTGTCTTATGTCCAATGGAATTAGAAATGTGCTTTTCCAACCTGAAGACAGAGTGAGGAGAGCATTCTTCATCATTCTCAACCTAGTTCTTTCAGACAATTGAATTTAATAGAGAAGATGCATTGACTCTTATCAATTACTGTGAAGGAAGAACTAGAGTATTTTAGAATCCAATAATGAAAAGATCTAACCAAGTTTGCAAGGGTTTTTGTTAAGAGGTTATATGGACTAAGTCCTGAAGGATTAGTAAGGGTTAGCAGGGTAGAGAGAATGGAAGCCAGATTCTTAGAGAAGAAATGATATATATGATTGTCCTGAAGATAGCATGGCCGAGGAGCTGAGTTCCATCGGCTGTATCAGCGACAGAAAGAATATGGTTTAAATGATGAAGCTGATGAAGTGGCTGAGAGACCAGTCATGTACCATCAAGATAGATAAATTCATTGTAAGTTTATTGAGAGATTACTAAATGGTTTTAAGCAGGCTAATGGTACTTGCATTAAAAAAAAAAACTTTTTTGACTTTCAATGTAGATTAAATGGTGTACATACAAAACTTTGGGGGAGTTTGGGAGAATTAGGGGACTATTTGGCCCCATAACTGTTGATGGTGTTAGAGACTAAGGAAATGACTATGAGCGCTCTACACTTAAGGCTCTGAGTATGCTTCTTCTATAGCAGCCTGAAGAGTGATTTAAGCATAACTTGAGACACTTCAACTGCATGGTGAGTGTCACTTTCTTAGTTATTGAGGGATAGATTGTACTTGCATAAGTGTTCCTGTCAAAATCTAGCATGGGAGATGTGGAGGAAGTTCATGAAGTATATTCATTTGAGTGTGAATAAAGAAGTGATTAAGTAACATTGTTTTTACTTGATAGTGCTTGCATTACACTTAGTATTATATTAGCATAATGTGGCCTGGGGTTGGAAACTGAAGGTCAGGTACAGGGCCCAAGAGTGATGATTCGGTTTGTAAAGCACTTGCCTCACAAGCCTGAGAACCTAACTTTGAGGTTGAATATAGAACCATGTACGAAATAAATCATGTTCCATGATGTTCAGTTGTAATACCAAGGATAGGTAGATAAAAGGATTGCTTGTTGATCTTCTAGTCTACTTGGTCAAATTCCAGGCCAATGACAGACCCTGTCACATAAAGAAGACTATAACAGGGGAATGACTCCTGAAATTATTCTGTGGTCTCCACACACCTGCACACACTCACACCACAGCCGTATCCGTATATAAAAAAGTGTCAGGAAATATTGAATATCTGCATTGTTGAATATTCATTACTGTTGTAGTGGAATTTTTAAAGAGCTCTGTGGTGTAGTAAATATTAGACATAGTGAAGATAGCTCTATGTAGATTCTATTGATTATTCAGAGAAAATACTGTATCCTAGTATCCTAAACCTCATAGGTGGACATTACTCTAGATACTTTGTTAGTCCGTCAGGAGGCACCAGACTATGTGCTACTAATGAAAGGCAGGAAGACTACACTTCTGGGTCCTATCTTTTTAAAAACACCTTAATACATTTAATACCTTTCCAGTTAATGTATGAAAGTTACTGATGTCTGCAATTAAAGTAAATATTGTGGCAATGATATTGTGCTTTGGCTTTTGGTATAAGTTTATTTTTTGCCATCTTCATGTAGCTGAGCTCGGGTACAGAAATGGGAGCTGCTGTGAATGCAGTGGGTGCGATGTAAACTTGAATGGTTATTTGTGAAGAATTTTTGGCATTTTTTAATACACAGGAAGTGTTTTAGCTTAAAAGACATTATAAAAATCTTTAAATATTTCATAATTTTCTAAGATACCCTAGAAGGATGATCTTAGAAACCTTAAAGTTTTAGCTGATACAAACAGCATCTTCCTTCTCCTTCTCACACTGGGAAGCTTTAAGCTGAAATACTAAGGGAGAGTGGGTGAAGGAACCTCAGTCTCAGCTTTACTCTAAACCATATCATTGAAGAAGACTCATATCTACTATGCCCAGAAGGAAGTGCTTTTTGTGCAGATATTTTGCCTGTGTTAAGATGGAACATCACTGCACAGACTCAAGTCAGGCAGAGAACCATCAGCATAGTTGGACGAGAATGTCTGTGTCTGCGTTTGAAAGGTTTAGTTATTTTTTTTTAATTTTTATTAATTATACTTTATTCACTTTGTATCTCCCCATAAACCCCTTCCTTCTCCCCTCCCAATCCCACCCTCCCTCCTCCTTCTCCACGCATGCCCTTCCCCAAGTCCACTGATAGGTGAGGTCCTCCTCTCCTTCCTTCTGATCCCAGTCTATTAGATCTCATCAGGAGTGGCTGCATTGTCTTTCTCTGTGGCCTGGTAAGGCTGCTCCCCTCTCAGGGGGAGGTGATCAAAGAGCAGGCCAATCAGTTCATGTAGAGACAGTCCCTGTTCCCATTACTATGGAACCCACTTGGACACTGAACTGCCATGGGCTACATCTGTGCACAGGTTCTAGGTTATCTCCATGCATGGTACCTGGAGTATGAGTCTCTGGGAAGACCCCTGTGTTCAAATTTTCTGGTTCTGTTGCTCTCCTTGTGGGGTCCCTGTCCTCTCCAGATATTACTATTTCCCACTTCTTTCATAAGATTCCATGCACTCTGCCCAGCAGTTGGCCATAAGTCTCAGCATCTGCTTTGATAGTCTGCAGGGTAGAGCCTTTCAGAGGCCCTCCGTGGCAGGCTCCTAACTTGTTTCCAAATGTTTAGTTCTTTAGGCAACCCTTGGCAGCCCTTTTCTTGAAAACCCAAAAGTGAACAAGGAAGCCTAAATAGAAAACAGAGGCACATTGAAAAGCTGAAGAAGTAGGTGGTTTCTGAGATTTTGGACCATAATGGAAGGAAATAATCAATAGTACTTCAAAAATAGATATTTTTAAACTCATAATAAAAATAATTTTTTTGAGACAAAGTTTTGCTGTGTAGCTCAGGCTGGTCGAAGACCTACTGTGTAGCATCTACTGGTCTCAAACTTGCAGAGGTCCTTCTGTTAGCCTTACAAGCGCTGGGAATGCAGCATGGCCGCATCCAGTTTAAATCCATTTTTGAATCAGTTTTTATTTTATGTAGTGCTTCAATTTTTAAAGAACAAAGCATCATCCTCATTCACCCTAAATGGGCTTACGTTGCTAATGAGAATTGGGACAGCCCGGCCCTTTGCCTTTCGTTTGGATTATAGATGTGTATAGAGCCAGTGTACCTCTTACTGTGGACATGTCAATTACTCTCAATAAGTTTGTTTTATTTTCAATTTTCAGAAAAACTGGTGCGAGTATTTCATTCTAAGTAACATGCACATGTTTGAATCTTGGAGTCTGAATTTTCTTCACCTTTCTGACTTAAGTGATGAGCCTTTGTTGAAGAATATTGCTTTTTACTATGAAAAGGAAAATGCAGAAGGTATTAACATACTATACAACAAACATTACCGTCTTTAAGAGAGCAATCTCATGCGAGTTTTTAAAGCTTCAAAACCAATATTTTTATTTACAAGGGAACAACTTTTAATGAATATCTCAGATGAACAGACAGACAAGCTCTAAGGTCTTCTGAAGTCAGTGCCCAGTTTCCAGTCTTCCTTGTGTCACTCAGATCTATTTTCTAATGCTGTAGTTTCCTGGAAGCTACTTTCATTAGAAATTTCAATGTTGTTCAATCTGCCAGACACTTGTCCAGTGTCACAACATTCCTTTCTGTATGTTCAGCTTCCCATGGCTTCACGTGTTCTCTGTGTGGGCATCCCTGGCTTGTGAACCTTTCTTGGCAATTTTTGGTGTTCCATCTGAACTCTCGTTCTATGGCATCATTCAGATTCAGAGGTTCAAAACCATTTCTTAAATGTCTGTTGTAAAAACAGTAATTATTTTCCAGTTTCCCAGTCTTCCCTCATTCATAATTTTTATTTGGTGGCAATCAGAATGAATATAATAACCCAAGAAATTTTTTCAACTTAATATTACTGCATAAGGGTTTTTGTTAAAAGTATGCATTTATGTGTTTCACATTTTGTAACAGTTCATTTTCACACATGGTGCATAATGTTTCTTTGTGAAATTGCTCTCATTAGTAGAAACATTTCACTTCTATTAGATACTAAGAGATTTTAAGTCTTTACAAGAGATAATCCCTATACATTCTTTATGTAAGTTGGGTTTTTTTTTGTTAGAATAATTTTTCTTGTGTTTTTGTAGTCAAAGAAAATAAAACATTTTGGGAGAATAACACTTGATTATTATTGAAATGTCTTTCACATCAAGATTTGTTTCCTTCATATTGTACACATTGGAACAAATTAGCTACTAATAAGCTACTGAGTCTTTGCTGATTTTTATTTTAGTTTTATTCAGTGTTATTGGTTACAACGTTATATGTGGCATAATATTTTTACTATCTTAAAAATAATTATATTTCCACTGCTGGTTATTATTAGTTAAGACATCAAATTTTTCTTTTTTATTATAGTCATTTATTACAACTTATTCAATTTGTATCCTGGCTGTGGCTCCATCCCTTGTCTCCTTCCAGTCCCACCCTCTGTGCCTCTTCTCTCCCTATGCCCCTCCCCTAGGCCACTGATAGAGGAGGTCCTCCTCCCCTTCTATTTGACCCTAGCCTATCAGGTTTCATTAGGACTGGTTGCTTTGTTTTCCTCTGTGGCCTGGTAAGGATGTACCCACAAGGGGGAGGTGGTCAAAGAGCCTACCACTGAGTTCATGCCAAAGACAGCACTTGCTCCTCTTACTAGAGAACCTATTTGGAGAATGAGTCTATGGGCTACATCTGAGCCGGGGTTTTAGGTCCTCTCCATGCGTTGTTCTTGGTTGGGATATCATTCTCTTCAGGGCCCCAGGGGTCAATTTTTAAGACATCAAGTTTTAATATTAAGTTGTCAAACAGAAAACCAAGATCAGTTTTAAGACCTGTCAAGAACATTGTCCAGAGACCATTTTCATTCAGATTCCATTGGGAAACCCACAGAAAATTCCACTTTTGCCCCATATTACAGAGGTTGATGACTTTAGTGAAGGTGTGAGTGTGCTTCTATGCGTTAGCAGTGCTTTTTAATGCTGAGTTCTTTTAAAATTGTGGTCCAGGCTTGGATTTGAATGTAGGAAATGTCATCATGAAAGAGTATGTACAGCTATGGGACACTGTGTCAAAGTTGGTCAGAAATTTTGATGTGGGAGAGCCATTTCCTGTGAGAACAACAAAGCTTCATTTTCTTCAAAAGACCCCATCACCAATCAAAGGTAATTTATTCCCAACTTAATTTGTGGAAAAAGTTTTTTTTTTTCAAACTCTGAGTAGAAATTATTATATTTAGCATTTACGCGTTCAAATAGTTGTCATGTCCATACCGTGGTGAACTTTGACTAATATTGAAAATTTATATGACTTTTGTAATTAATGTTGCCAATTTAAAAAAATAAAACATGTTGAGTGAATTCTATTTCTAACAACGCGACCTGTCAGCTGACAACTTTATATAATAGAGGTGAATGAAGACACTCAGTGCTTTATTATACAATGATAGCTCCATTCATGAGAACAGAGCGGGCAAAGCCGGCAAGGTGACTCTAGGGAAGCTGAGGACCACCGATGGCATTCTAGGATTACTGTGGTACCATACGCAGCATCTGGCTTGTGTAGCTACAAAAACAAACAGTAGACATGTGTTGGAGGGGGACCACGAGATGCCAAGAATAAAAAGAAGCCAGCAGTTCCCTTAGAAAGCTTTGCCTCCTCTGAGCTTCAGTTGTAGAGACGGTTTTGTCTCCTCTGGGGGGTGGTGATAGAACTGATATTCTTCAACGAAGCCCAAGCCCATAGGAGAAGGCCCTAAAGATTATCTCCCTCTAGACCTGCCTGTCAACGAACTGAATTGACAAAGGAGTCACAGTTGGTCTGGAGCATAATAAATTACTCTTGAGAATTTGGAGTTTACACTGCAAATTAAACTGCAAGGCCACTCTAATCCAAAAAACATGAAAATGATTGGAGGGATATGGCAAATTATTATGAGGAAAAAAATTGTAAACATTTGTTTTATGGGATTATATATCAAAGATGGTTGTTGATAGAATTTATGAAAGCGCTGAGGAAATAACTAAGAACACAGTGATCTACAGACAGAACTAATAACTTCTAGTTTTTAATCATCACAATTATTACATACTTCCTGAGCATGATTTGAAGCCATTTAAAAAATTAAATATGAAATGAAATGAGAAAAATAATAAACACTCTAAAACAAAATTCATTTCAATAACCAAACTTATAGAAAATCAAAATACTGCTTGGATTTAAAAGCTGATTAGATATTAATAATGGGGGCATTTGGACACCATATGTAAATAGAAATAGAATCACTCTCAGGGTTGGTGTGTGTCCTACATGTTTGAGGCCATGGGATCAATTTCCAGTACAGGAAAACAAAACAGATGAAAAATACCATTATGGCACATGAAATAAGCTAATTACAGAAAGAAAAATACTGTATGATAACATTTACAATCTAAAAAAAACCATAGACATAGAGCAAAATAAATAGGTAGTTATTGAGGGAGCAGTGTTAGGGAAAGGGAAAGTGTAGGTCAAAGGGTAAAATTTTATACTTATGGAAGATAATAGGTCTAGATTTGTTTTAATTAATGAGAGTAATGTAGGCTATGAAGACCAACACTTATTAAATATTGCATTATATACACTAATAATTTGGGAAATGAAATATTGCAGGTAATTTTAATACTAAAATAAAAGGATACAAGGGAAAATACAAAGAATAGTTTGATATAGAAGGCACGTTAATTTTCCTGACTGCATCACTAGTTTGCTCTGTTTATCCTTTTGTTGTCATGGGTGTGTGTTTCTTGAAATAAGACGCTATCGTGAACTCAAGACGTGGCTGAGAATGATACTGAGTTTCTGAACCTCCTGCTTTCACTTTCCAAGGGCTGATATCACATGCACCGTCAGGCTCAGCTAACACACACGGTCAAGATATACATATTGAAATATGCTACATACATTAAATAAAAATGAAATTAAAATTTAATACACAAAATATTGAAGATGTGGAGAACGAAAGCCAGTGTTTAGCTCATTTGGAAACTTAGAAGGAAAGAATGAAGTGAAGTGAGTGGCATGATATTTGAAGAAGTAATGCCTTGACACTTGCCTGTATTGATAAAGACAAGTTTTACACATTTAGGATCTCAAATGGGATAAATTAACTACAGAAACATATTAAAGCAGACAAATACATTCCCTAGACACACAAAGTGAAATTGTAACGTGAAAAATAAGGAACATCTCAAAAGAATCAATTAACTATAAAGGAAGAAAAATTAGTCAAGTAGCAGATTTCTCATTAATGATGAAATTCAGAATGTAGCAGAATTATATGTAATTCTTAAACTGTCTAGGGATGAAATTCTATGCATATTTGCAGAACAATAAAAAATGGTTTAGTATAATAACATTTTTGATAGTATAATGAATTTCAGGAAAATGATTTAAAGGAATTATTAAAAGGAAAATTTACTGAGAACTTAGGATACACACATACATATATACATACATACATGTCTTTGTGTGTGTGTGTGTTTGTGTGTGTGTGTTTGTGTCCTTGTCTATTGTGACAATGAATTCCACTAGACAAACAGCATTGGTTTATTGGGCCAGTCAGGAAGTTGTTTGAGATAGATTAATGGCAGTAAATGAATACCACTATGCAGATCTTGTCAAAGAGCAGCTCTCTACTTTGGGAGACAGGAGGTGAACTGCATTGGGAATTTTGTGGTGGAGTACACACTAACTTGGAAGCATCTTCTGTGAGGATCAGGAAGCTGGGGTATTTACTTTACAGTCACTATTATGACTTTGGCTGAGTGCTGTTCTCAGTGCTGTTATCAATCAATCAATCAATCAATCAATCAATCAATCTATTTATCTGTCTATCTATCTCTCTATCTGTCTATCTATCTATCTATCTATCTGTCTGTCTATCTATTATCTATCTACTTCTTTTTGTCATCTATCTGTTCATCTGATTTATCATTTTTGTCATCTCTTCACCTGTTTTTGCATATGCTTCCTTAAAAACTAAAAGGAAGCTCAAAGGGAGAATTGCAATAATATCAATCTCATCACCTTTCTTTTTCTGTATTTTTAATTTCATTTTTGACATTGTGTATGTAATTTCTTAAAGTGCTGTCTTTCGATTCTTTATCTCTTAATAGGCAATAATAAACAGATTAGACATTTGAAAATAAACACCACAGAAATTACCTGTCATCTACTATTTATCTGTCTATCATCTATCAATAATTGGCCATTGTCACCCATTATCTTGTACCCAGCCACGTATTTATCAATTCACCTACCTAGCCACCCAGCCACGTTTTTGTTTAATCTGCCTACTTATTTGCTCAGATTTACTTATTTGTTTATTTATAATAATTTTCTATTATGTTCCAAGGACTCAATGTATAAAATAGCTTTATGAGCAGGATTGGAATTATAATACAAAACAAGTAAATATAAAATATTTTATATGTGAAAATTTGGAAAACAATGTTTTGTCTTTCTGTCTAAAAATTTTACATTTAAATTGATCATTTTTTTTTTAATTTACAGAAAGTTCTCAGGAGATGATACCAAATTTGGGTTTTATTCCACTGTCATGTACTTTGGTTGATGAATTTACTGGAGACATTTTGAAAGACTTGCCTTTCCTAAAAAGGTAAGGTCTAATTATGTTTTAGTAAATACTTGTTTGGAATGGATAAGTTATTTGTTAAAGGTTCTTTGAGAAAACCTTTTCTGAATGAACTCTAGAAACATGGCACATTTAAGACAGTGCATCATGTGCTATATATTTTTGCAACATATAGTCTTTATGACATCTGGATGATTTTAACGAGAGAAAAAAGCAACCCACTAGTAATTTTAAATTAATGGAACAAGGAATGTTTGTGAATGTTGGAGACATGATGTGGTCCTTGTTTCTGAAACCTCTAGTAAAAAGCTTTTTGGATTCTACCACACATGTTGTGTCCCTGGAAAAGGATCTAGGGTTTTCCCAGGTTTAAAATGTCTTGGGTTTGGAGGCATAATATTTAAAATATGCTTGTATTCGTTTTTGTCTCACAGTGATGATCCCATTGTTACCTCCCTGGTTAAGCACAAGGAATTTGATGAGCTTGTCCACTGGCATTCCCACCGACCCCTCAGTGATGATTATGACAGGACAAAGGCCAATTTTAATGGTGAGCTTGCTGAGTCAGCTGAAATAACTTAAATCTACTTTATTCTGCCCTTTATTTCAAAGTAAAAAACATATTATGTACAAAAATGAAAAGTTTTGAGGAAGAGCAATCAATAAGACATGCAGATGTGCTAATAGAGAATTTTCAGTTTGTTTCCTGATAGTTATTCATATTGTGCTTGTAGGTATCTTAAGCAGAGGAATGCATATGTGATCTTTGTCTCATGAGCTTGATACTTAGGGGAAGATGGTTTTCAGTTTAAGCAATCTGGATGTTCTATGAAGTCTAATATATGGAGATTAAACTCTCAGCTCTATGTCACTTGCCCAGAATAAGGGCTTTATATTTACCTAACCAGTAATTCAAGGAACTACAATATCTTAGGTGGTTTTCCTTTGATTCTGTCTTACTAAGCTCATTCACAGGGCACAGAACAGGTAATTTTTAGAGTCTGTCTTAAAAAGAGCAAACTAACCAAAACAAACCAACCACCTTTAAGGGTACTCAAGGAGCCCTACTCATCACTGCTAGACTATTGGATACTGATGGATTCTGCAGGTGATAGTCATTACCTTTAGTTGCATACCATTTATAGTTGTTTCAAACAAACCTGTGAACAAACCAATAACAGTGATGAAAATTAATCAGTCAAAAAGATATGAGTTTGCAAAAGAGACTTTTAGGGAGGTGAGGGAGACAGCAGAGTAAAAAGGATATAAAAGATAATGGGGGTAAGTAATTAGAGTACATTACATACATGTATGAATTGTTAAAGAACACATTTAATCAATAAAATTAAATAACACTATTGGTATTTCTTTTGTAAAATTGTTTTGAAAGGTTTGGAGCAGCTGGGAGTTGTTGCCCCGTGATGGAACACTTGACTTCTGTGCATGATATATAGGTTAAACTTTATAGGCAAAAAAATGTTTAAAATATTGCAACTTTTGTAGATATGTTAAAAGTTATTCTATGGATGTGATAGACTAAGTTAAGATACATTCTCTGTCCAAACTGATTAGATAAACTTGCTGTTCTATTCTAGAAAGAATACTGCCTGTGTATAGAATGGTGTAAAGAGTTAGAGATGCTACTAAGAAACCATAGCAATTTTTCATTTTAAGTTTATTATTATTATTATTTTTGCAGAACATTCAAGAGACCCTTATTATCTTAAAGGCATTCAGAAGTATCATGTTTTTCAACGATTTTATGGGAACTCATTAGATTCAGTCTCTTCAAAGCTTATCACAACTCAAGGCGCTAAGCCAAAGAAGGATTGTTTTAAATCCAAAAGCTCAAAGACACACGTAAGTTCCTGTAAATTTTATTATTATAAAAAGCTATGCTGATATTTTTTATTATATCGATACTTGCTCTTCCCATTGATGGCTTCTGTTCATAGACATTGTCCTTTCTTCCTTACATTGGTGTATAGCTTTGTATGTGATGGCTCCCATAGGGTCAGGTATTTGAATGTGTGGCTCCCAGTTGGCAGTACTGTTTGGAGAAGATAGCAGATTGGCTGTGGTGGAGGAAGTGTGTCGTTGGAGGCAGGCTTTGACCATTTGAAGACTTGCTGTTTTGAGTTTGCTGTCTACTTCTTGCTTGCAGTTTAAGATATAAACTTTCAACTTCTAGCTCCAGATGCCATGCTTCTGCACTGTCGTTGTGGATTCTTATTCCTCTGAAATCATAAGCTTAAAGAATGCCTTTTTTTCTAGAAGTTGTCTTGGTCATGGTGTTTTATTGAAGTACAGAAGAGTAACAAATACAATAATAATAATATTTATTATAATGCTTGCTAAGAAAGTCTAAATTACATATGAATTATTGCATATTGATCCTCTCTATGTAATAATGTACCCTTATTTAGAGAAGTAAATAAAGTATTAAGTGACCAAAGGCTTGATTTAAAATTTTGCAATAATATTAAAATATAGTTTATTATCTAATAACAATACAATTTTTTTTCATAAATGAAGCAAAAGAAACATGAAACACGTGGATGTCTTTGTTTGACTTATACAGATTATCTGCACTTTCCCCAAGTATTTAAATAATTAATTCATTCACCATCTTCTTCAAGTGCAAGTTAAAGCCATTCATTTTCTTTTCCTATACAGAATACACCCTCCTTAATTTCACCACTTATCTTACTGTTATTATCATTTTCTATCTATTTTTATCCAGAGGCCATAATTAAGGATAACATACAGTGGATAGGAGCTCAATTTATTTACTAATATCATGTCATGAAAATTATGTTAGTATTTATGATAATAGCACTGTACAAGAATAGATTATTTTTAAAACTGGATTTACAATTTGATGACTTTAGGTGAAGTTCACTCCTTAAAAATTTGGCTACTCATTAGCATTTAAAAAGTCAACTCCGATGCTAAGGATTAGAAGGCATTTATTTCATGGGAACTCTCTTTTTTTATTTTTTTTTATTTTTATTTTTAGTTACATTTTGTTAACTCTGTGTCCCAGCTGTATCCTGCTCCCTCATTCCCTCCCCAACCCCACACTCCCTCCCTGGTCTCCTCCCTGCCCCTTTTAATACCAGTTGCTTTTTAATATCTTGTAGACAGCAACATTTTAGCATACCCATCTGTCAGAGGAATTGTGACAGCTGACCTTGTCAAAGGGAGTTAGTGTGGCAAAGTCATCAGAAGTGAAGCTTGTGAAAATCCCACACAAAGAACACAAAAATATTTTTAAACTTTCATTTCTGGATGCTTATGGCTGGGAGAATTTTAGCAAGACTGCAAAACCAAACCAAACCAAACCAAACCAAACCAAACCAAACCAAACCAAACCAAACCAAACCAAACCAAAGAAGTGCTATTTCTTTGCCAGGTATGCAACTAATTAACAAGCAGGGGGTTCAAGTTTCACAACTCTCAAGGACAGCTACCAGTTGGTGATTAACAACAGCTCTCCCACATAATAGTTAAAATAACACACAACATTGTAGTACCTGCTGTTTATTCCAGTGGAAGGCCTCTCTTTTTGAACTGCTGCACAGGTCCACTGAGGAATGGGGACTAGCTCAAGTTTTGCCTGGCTTATCAGAAGCAAGCCTAAGAAGCCCATGCATGCCATTACTGCTGCTTTCTCATGGTCAGGGCCTTCTCAATTTTATACTCAAAATTAGTGAAAACTTTGACTGTTTATTTAGGAACTTCAGGAGGAAGAGAAGGATGAGATCGAGGAGGAGCAGGAGCAGGAGGAGGAGAAGGAGGAGGAAAGGAAGAGTCTTCTTTTTCTTCAGCTGTTCTTTCTTCTTCTTTCTCCCCCTTCCTCCTCTTCTTCCTTCTCTTTTTGCCTCTTTCCCTCCTCTTTTCCCCCTCTTCCCCTCCTCTTCCTCTTTATTTCCTCCTCCTCTTCCTCTTTACTTCCTCCTCCTCTTCCTCCTCCTCTTCCTCCTCTTCATCTCGCTCCTGTTTCCCCTTCTCGTCATCCTTCTCTTTCTCCTCTCTCTGGCTGTGTTCCTCTCTGTTGCAAAATAACAGACTTCCAAAAATGCTCATCATACAGCACAAGTAGACTGAAAAGAAGTATAAGCTTCTCCACTCCCAGTCTAAAATATTAAATGAGTCATCAAAGACATTCAACATCATATGTACTTTATAAATGCACTCTATGAGTCTTCACATTTGAGATAAAGGGAGCATTGTATGTTGTATTATCACTTAATATTTACTATTGCTATATCTTCTGGTAATGCTGTTGTTAATCCTAAACAGCTGTATAACCAAATCACCACACAGAGACTATGATTTATTTAGTCAATCTAGAACACAATGCTGGGCAATAGTTATTCCATCCTAAACCTCCAAGCCCTCATAACTTCCTAACATTTAGATTCACCCATTATACTTGCTTTTTGTGAAATCTTAGGTCCGGTTCATTCTCCACGTCGTTCCAAGACCTCTCCTCCAGCCTCTCTCTCCCAGCCTCTGTGACTCTTCCTCCTCCTCTGCCTTCCACTCCTTCCTGTCCTCTGGCTCCTCCCCTTTCCCTCCTACTCCTTCCTCTCCATTGCTCAAAATTGTGGTTGGTTGTTTTATTTTGGCATGTTTACACAAACTTGAGACAGGTGATGCTTAGAATAAGTATCACAATGCAACATCAGGATTGAAACCAGAGAGTGGTGAGAGAAATCAGCATTTGAATGAAACAAGGGTAAGGTGTATACATTCCAAAAGAACATTATACCAACAATTGTACTTGACAAAAGTCTGAGGCTCCTCATTGTCTTATGTAGAAAAGCTATGGCAAATAAACCAACAGGGAACACTTAATTGCAAATGATGGGAAACTGCAAATGTTATTGATTGGAATGAAGTAGATTGAGAATGTGACAGCTAAATGTGACATTATTATAGATAAATGTTTAGATGTTAATTTCATGACTAAGCTGAATAATGAAAGTTTCTGTCAGGATACTTTTGCTAACGTAATTCTCTAATTTGTCCTATAAAATTATTTTTATTTCTTCTGTGTGTTTGTGAGTATATGTGGGGGTGTCATGGCATGTATATGGATGTCAGAAGAAAGTTTTGTGGAGTCATCTTTTTGCACATTTACATGGATTCTGGGAATTGAACTTGAGCATCAGGTTTGCAAGGCAAGCACCTTTACTTGCTGAACCATGGCACTGGCCTTGTTCATGTAAAGCGAAATAAACGAGATTGGTAAAACCACAGTAAGAAATAGGTCCATATTGTATTTAAATCAGTTGAAAACATTTTTAAGTAAGGCAGATTATACATATATATATATTACATATATATAAACTATATAAACTATAGATATAATATATATTTATATATACACATACATAATATATGCATCATATATATGCATCATATATACATGCATATATATGCATATATATGCATATATATATGTATATATATATCTCCTATATACTCCCTGCCTTCAGCTCTTTTCTCTTATTTACCCATTAAATATTATGAACTAAATGTCTTTGGCTTAGGCAATCCAGGCAACTTTGGTGCAATTTTATCTCAAGGATCTCAGTCTAGAGAGGAAGACTGATGCATGTAGAAGCATATATAGTAGACCTTGAGTAGTTTGATAGATGCTTGGCAGAGGAAATGATACATGATACAGGCATGAGAATAGGAGAGTAATCATGATACAAATATTATGATCACATAGGGAGTAGGAGGCAGTAGAAAGACCCAGAAAATCTCAGAGAGAATAGCAGCCATCACTGCATGGAGACTTGAAAGAGTATTTTCAAGGCCTCTTTGATTTTATTATATTCACTCTTTTATATTTAACACTACCTAGACATTTAGGAAATTATTTACAGCAGTTCTTTATAGTCATTGAGTTGAATTTTTATGTTTTTAATCAACAGAGTCTTAATTAAAACATTTTTATGACTTCAAGTATGGAATGATGGTCAAAAACACTGGGTACTTGAAATAACATTTCATTCATGAACTATCAGTCTGGAATAGTTCTATCTTGTCATGAGATATGTTTTTTTTTTTTTTTTCCATTTGGGCAGGAGACCAAGGCTGACATAATTGTTAGAGAGAATAAGAAGAGGTTAATTGCCAAGGAAGAACAAAAAGAAGAACAGAGATGGAATTCCTTGTCATTTAATACTGAGGAGGAGATGAAAAAGAATTTAAACTCTGGAATGAAGAAGCTGGAAGAGTTCTTGAAATCATGTAAAAGTAACTCAGTAAAATTCCAGGCTGAAAAAGTAGGGTTAAATGTGTGCTTGAAAGTATGGAAGGATCACTGTCGAGCAGAAGGTATGTGGTGTGTAATTGTGTTGACTTCCCTTGATGAACTAGAGAGACCATAGAGATGTAATGATGGTGGATTGTCACCCGTTAACTAGAAATATGTATAGTAAGACTTACAAAGCAATATTGCTTCTGTTTTTATCAATGAGCAGTGACATCTCAAAGAGGTAGTCAAAGCAAAGACATAGAACATGTATACACACAATTCCAGACAGGTTTAACCTAACTTCTGACCAGGTAGAGAACTGTTAACATAACCAATAATAGGCACAGAGAAAGAAGCCATCATTCATTGTTTTCTTTCTGGGTAAGCTGGTGTTTATGTTTGCCTGCTAACTTAGTTTTCCATTGGTTGCTGTGATAAAATACTTTGATAAAAGCAGCTTAATGGAAAAAGGGTTTACTCTGTGGAACAGCTCAAGGGTATATGGCTCATCATTGAAGGACATATTAAAGTAGTATGGGCTTGAAGCTGCTGATCAAATCATATTCACAACAGAAAGGCGGAGAGTGATGGATGAATGCATGCTTAGCTCAGTTCATATTTTCTATAGCCCAAGATTCCTGCAGAGGGCCTGGTTCTATCCACAGTTAAGATGGGTGTTCATTTAGAGATTGCTTGTAGGCAATCTCTCCAACCAAGACATTGAATCAAGATGTGCTGTTGAATGTTACCAACAGAGATCAGAATTTAGAGTGACTTAAACACTATAATGCTGCATTTCATTTAGAGATTGCTTGTAGGCACTGTAGACTTATAGCAGAGTCTCAGCTGGATTTTCAGGTTCTTCTGTCCAACTACTAGAAATTAGCAGGACCCATGGTTAGTGACAGAAGCAGAGGCAGGTTGTTGAAGAACAAAGTGCCTCTAGGAAAGGTCAGAAGTTCAATGTCCTCTTCTCACTCCCAGACTTCTGACCTTCTGTATACAGTTTTCATTCCAGTTTACTCTCCATTTGCACACTGAAGCTTTTTTAGATTTGATGTGTGTGTGTGTGTGTGTGTGTGTGTGTGTGTGTGTGTGTGTGTTGTCCACAGATGCAGAAGAAGACATTAGATTCCCTGAAGCTAGAGTTTACTGTGAGGCTTCTGACATTGTTGCTGGGAATCTAACTCTATAAGAGAGCAGCCCCTCTTACCACTGAGCCATCTCTCCAGCTCCCTATCTCTCCATTAATTTACTTTCTGGGTCACAGAAACCGTTTACTTAGATATTAGAACTTAATCACAGGCCACTTTAACCACAAGGGGTACCAGTAAACACATACTTTTACCTAGGTATATACAATTCTCTATATCACAGAGATGTAAATAAGGACTTTCTGGAACTACATGATGGACAGAGAAATTAAGAGTAGTGACTGCCACAAATGCCTTAGTTTTTATTTTTCAAACAACCACATTTTACTTATCCTCCACATCCAATTCATAAAATATCTTTCCATGAAGGCTTCCTCATGAATCAGATTCCTAACACCTTAGTTTATAATGCTCGTTGGGAGCCAATCACATACCATATACTGTAAATGAAATGAATGCTCCTGGGCATAAGACCTCTATTACATTTCCTTGGTAGACTCTTGTATAATAGCATTCATTACGGGATTGGTAATTCTGTTAGGTAGATCAGAGTGTACACTTTCTAAAAGAAAAGCAGAACCAAAGCAGCTGTGGTGAGAGTGAAAAGGTTCTAGCAGAAGGGAGAAATAAACAGTGTAGACTGTGCTAGAGAAGTGGACAGGTGTGTGGAAATCTGGCTCTGAGAGCTGAAAGAGATGGACTGCACTGAATGAAGGGATTCAGGGCTTACATTCAGTATTACAATAGGGCTAAATGAATGTCGCTAAGGTTGTAATCTTATGTTTAAACATCATGTAACTGTTTTTCTTGAAAAGAGGAGACATGGCAATGTGAGACAGAAAAGATCTATAATTTAGTACGACTCTACAGACCAGTTTTTAATAATATTTTAATTTTGAACTGTAAGATTTTTTAAAAGTTTCCATTAACTATTTATTAGAATGCAATTTGTGGTAGGATGAAATTGTTTTTAATATCTGAAACGTAAAATCCACCACCTTTGAGTTTACTTTTATTCAAAATTCTCAATAAAAAAATGTAGTTTCATCCAACTCAACAATTAGTACCCAGGATAAGTGCATCTGTAATGTGAGCTCAGAGGTATGGAGTCTGCAAGAAATTGAAGCGTAAGATTTTTATCTAGTTTTTTTCTATTCTAAAATCTCTATTAAAGGCGAGTGAGATGGCCAGTGTCATTGAGTGTAGAAGATTAATTAGAGGATTGATCTTCATTAATTGACATTTGTTATTTTGATGACTTTTACAACAATTTTATTATTTATATTTGTATCAAGGTGAAACCACGAAAGACTTAAGCATAGCTGTCGGTATGATGAAGAGAATCCACTCCTTGTTGGACAAACACTCTGAACTTCTTCAAGAAGCAGATCAGAAACTCATAGCCAGATGTCTTATGTATTTAGGGTTTGATGAGCTAGCAAATTCATTATATGCAACTCAGGTAACATCTTGTGATAGCTTCATATTAACTGAACTGTTATTTGCTATATACAAAGTGTCCTTCAAACACATTCATCTCTTTTAGGTTTATTTTTAATAGAAAATAGCACCTTAGTTAATCCAAATGCTAGAAGTTGAATTAATCAAGAATTAGAAATATTTTATACAACTTGGCTGTGCACACTAAATGTCTGATAATTTATGCAGACCTTTAGAACAAATCCTATACTTAATTATAGCAAAACAACTCAAATTTGTAATGGCTGTTTACTTGTTTGAAATATTTCAGGTTTTAGCCACAAATATTAGAGTAAACATTTGAAAATCTTGAAATCTATTGATTTATTTGTACTTCAGAAAACTGGTAATGTCCTCATGATGTTTAAATTGTTTTTATATGAAAGAAACTCAGTCAGACATGAACATTTTATTTATTCAAAATTTTCTATAACTTAATTGCTTTCAAAATAATATTTTAAAACGACATAGGATGCAGCAGATGACGTAAAAATGAGAAAGAAGAATAAATATTCAGTTGGAATTGGGCCAGCCCGTTTCCAGCTACAATACATGGGTCACTATTTGATACGAGAAGAGAGAAAAGATCCGGACCCTAGGGTTCAAGATTTTATTCCTGACACATGGCAGGTAAAAATATGAATAAAAAATAATTATTATATTTTTTAATTCATGTATGAATCCAGGAGGTTTTTTGTTACAGTTGTGTATTTTCATGTGCGTTTGTGTGTTTACATTTATATTTATCATAAACTTCATAATACTGAGTTATTTCATTTAGAAGTCATTTTGCTTCAAATAGTTAGTTTGCTGTCTAAAATGTCTCATTTGTCAGATGCATTCCCCACTTACCTGAGGACCCACGTGAAGCCTAAGCTGCTCATTGGCTACATCTTTGTAGGGGTCTAGGTCCAGTTCATGCATGGTCCTTAGTTGATGCTTCTATTTTAGAAAACCCCTCTGGGCCCTGGTTAGTTGGTCCTGTTGGTCTTCTTGTGGAGCTACTGTCACCACCAGGTCCTTTTCTCTTTCCTCCCACTTTTCCACAAGACTCCATATTGATTGCCCAGTGTTTGGCTCTGAGTCTCAGCATCTATTCTGAGGTGTTGCTGGGTTGAGTCTCTCAGAAGACAACTCTGTCAGGCTCCTGTCTGTAAGCTTAGCAGAGTTTCTTTCATAGTGTCAGGGCCTGGCACTCTCCCATAGGGTGGGGCTTTGGTTAGGCCAGACATTGGTTGAGCATTCTCTCAGTCTGTGGTCTATATGCTCTATCTTTATCCCTGCACATTTTGTAGGCGCAGTAAATTTTAGGTAGAGGTTTTTGTGGGTGGATTGGTGTTCCCCTCCCTTTGCTAGGAAACTTGTATAGTTAGAGGGTATCATTTTCAGGCTCTACAGCCTCTGCTACTAGGAGTGTCTGTTTGAATCTTCTTCATATCCTCCCAGTAGCCTACCCTGACTTAGGTCTCCAGCTTTTTCACAGAGATGCCCCCACACTCAGTTTCTCTTTTCTCTGCTGGCCTTTTGTCCTCTCAACCCTGCTCTCCTCAGTTCCGATCTCCACCCTCATATTTCTCTGAGCCCTCTCTTTTACCTTATTCCCTCTCTTCAAACACTACCTATCTACTCTATTTCCCTTTCTGAGTGAGATTTATGCATCTTCCCTTGTATCCTCTTTGTTAATTATCTTCTTTGCATCTATGCCTTGTAGTCTGTTTATCCTGAACTATATGGCTAAAATCCACTTAAAAGTGAGTACATAGCATGTATGTCTTTCTGAATGTGAGTTACCTCACCCAGGATGGTCCTTTCTAGTTCCCTTCATTTGTCTGAAATTTTTGTGATTTCTTTGTTTTTAATAGCAGAGCAGTAGTAAACTGTGTAAATGTGCAACTGTTTCTTTATCCATTCTTTGGTTGAGGGACATTTAAGTTGTTTCCAGATTCTGGCTACTATGGGTAAGGCTTTTGTGAACATAGTTGAGCAAGTGTCTTTCCTGTATGGTAGACCATCTTTTGGGTATATACCCAGGAGTGGTATAGCTGGGTCTTGAGGAACAGCTATTCCCAATTTTCTGAGAAAGTGGTTTTCAAAGTGGTTGTATATGTTTTCACTTGTACAACAATGGAAGAGTGTTCCCCCTTTTTCATATTTTCGCCACCATGCGCCATCACTTGAGACTGGTGTAAGATTGACTCTCAGAGTCATTTTGATTAACATTTCCCTGATGACTAAGGACACTGAACATTTCTTTAAGTGCCTCTTGGCCATTTGAGATTCCTCTATTGAGAATTCTGTTTAGTTCTGTGCCACATTTAAAAAAAAATTATTGTTTTCTTCACAGTTTATTCATTACATATCTAGATTGAAGCTACCCCGAAACCCCCAATCCCACCCTCCCTTCCTTTTCTCCCTATCTCCTTCCCCTAGTCCACTGAAAGGGGGAGTTCGCTAGTACATCTGCCCATAGCTTGTTAAGTCTCATCAGGATTGCCTGGATCCTCTTCTTTAGTGGCGTGGCAAGGATGCATCACCAGGGACGAGTGATCAAAAAGTAGTCAACTGAGTTCATGATAGAGGAAGCCCCCGCTCCCCTCACTCAGAGATCCACATGGAGATGAGCTGCCAATTGGCCACATCTGAGCAGGGCATCTAGGTCTGTTCCATGGTCCTTTGCAGGACCCCCTGGTCTCAGATCATTTAGTTTTATTGGTCTCCTTGTGGGGTTTCTGTCCCCTCCATGTTGGTCAACTCCCACCCCTCTCTTCTCCATAAGACTCCCTGCACTCTGCCCAAGTGTAACCCTGAGTCTAAGTATCTGCTTCGATCTCCTGTTGGTGAATCCTTTCAGAGGACCTTCTATAGTAGGTGTAATCCAGGTTTACGGGACCCTCAGAGATCACCAGGAGACAACTTGATGCAATAGCAAGAGAGCTTTATTACGAGAGCTATCAAACTCAGGACCCAAGTCTCACTAATGCAGCAGTAGAGAAGTGGGACCTCGAGCCCTGAGTGAGAAGGATTTTTAAAGGGATACTGTGAGTAGGGGGTCTCCATGACAGCAAGCAGGGGTTTCATGCCTTGATATTACAGGATCAAGTAAAAGTTAGAGGGGTGAGGTGACCTTCTCTGAGGCACAATTGCCTAAGACATATGGTCACAATTGCTATTCTTTTAAACTATATCTGAAACATTGGGGAAAAATTTCTCACACGATTCTCAACCGATTCTCATTGATTAATGCCAGGGAGATTGTCTCTTTTTTCTATGAAATATTTATTCTGTAATAATTCCTGGAGACTGTTGCTAGGAGAGTTAACTTTGTTCTCTGCCAAGTGTTCGTTCTGTGATATTTCCTGGTACCTGAATTCAGCTCCCAGTCAAGATGGCTCTTTATTTCAAAATTGAGTTATACTAAGGCTGACTATACCCAGGCTAACTTAAACTCTTCATAGGCTCCTGTCTTGTTTCCTCTCTTCCACTCCATCTGATGTCTATCTTATTTGCCATTCTGAATGAGATTTAAGCATCCTTTCTACGACCCTCCTTAGTGTTTAACTTCTTTAGGTCTTTAGATGGTTTTCATGTATTATACTGCTGATATCCGCTTATAACTGAGTGTGTACCATGCCTGTCTTTCTGTTTCTAGGTTACCTCACTCAAGATGTTAATTGGGTTATTTTATTTATTGGTGTTTGATTTCTTGAGTTCATTATATATTTTGGCTTTTAGTCAAATGTAGCATTGGTGAAGATCTTTTTCCCAATCTGTAGACTGTCATTTTGTTCTATTGACAGTGACCTTTGCCTTATGGAAGCTTTTCAGTTTCAAGAGGTTCCATTTTATACTTGTTGATTTTAGAGCTTGAACTGTTGGTTCAAGAATTTGTCTCCTGTGAATTTAAGGCTCTTCCCCACTTTCTCTTTAAAAGGATTTAGTGTATTTGGTGTTATATTGAGGTGTTTGATCCACTCAGAATTGAGGAATTGAGTTTCCAGTTGCTGAAGATGCTGTCTTTTTTCCACTGTGTAGTTTTGGCCTTTTTTTTTTTTTGTCAAAAATCAAGTGTGATATGTGGGTTTATTTCTGGATCTTCAATTCAATTAAATTGAGCCTCCAGTCTATGTCTATGCCAGTACCATGACATTTTTATTACTGTTGCTGAATAGTACAGCTTGAGATCAGGGAGGGAGATACCTCCAGAAGTTCTTTTATTGTGTAGGATTGTTTTGTCTATTCTGGTGTTTTGTTTTTCCATATGAAGTTAATAATTGTTCTTTCAAGGTCTGTAAAGAACTGTGTTGGTATTTTGATGGGAATTGTGTCGAATCTGTAGATTGCTTTTGGTAAAATGGCCATTTTTACTATGTTATTCCTACCCATTCACAAGTATAGGACATCTTTCTATTTTCTGACCTCTTCTTCAATTTCATTTTGTCAGAGACTTGAAATTTTTGTCATACAGGTCTTTCACTTGCTGGCTTTGAGTTATACCAATATACTTTATATTATTTGTGGCTTGTGAAATCTATAGTTTCCTTAATTTCTATCTCAGCCGGTTTGTCATTTTTATACAGAAGGGTTACTGATATATATATTTTTAATTAGTATTGTATCCAGCTACTTTGCTGAAGCTGTTTATTAGCTGTAAGAGTTCTATGGTGGAATTTTCGGGATCACTTACATATACTGTTATATCATCTGTACATTGGGACACACTGACTTCTTTCTTCCTGATTTGAATCTACTTGATCTTGTTTAGTTGTCTTATTGCTTCATATAATATATTGAAGAGATATGGAGAGAGTGGATATCCTTGTATTGTCCCTGATTTTAATGGAATTGTTTTGAGTTTCTAGCCATTTACTTTGATGTTGGCTCTTGGCTTGCTGTGTATAGCCTTTATTATGTTTATTTATGGACCTTGTGCCCCTGGTCTCTCCAAGACTTTCATATGAAGAGGTGTTGGATTTTGTTAAAGGCTTTTTCTGCATCTAATGAGATGATCATGTGATTTCTTTCTTTGAGTTTGTTTATATGGTGGATTACATCTATGGATTGTCATATATTGAACCATCCCTGCATTCCTGGGATGAATCCTACTTGGTCATGGCACTTGATCATGGTGGATGAGGTATTTGATGTGTCCTTGGATTTGGTTTGAGAGTATTTTATTGAGTATTTTTGCATCAGTGTTCATTAGGGAGATTGTACTAAGATTCTCTCATTGTTGAGTTTTTGTGCCTTCATAAAGAAATTGAAAAGATCACATACTAGCAACTTAATAGTACACCTGAAAGCTCTAGAATAGAAAGAAGCAAACACACCAAAAAGACAACAGGAAATGATCAAGCTCAGGGCTGAAATCAATAAAATTAAAACAAAGAGAATAATACAAAGAATCAATGAAATCAAGAGCTGTTTCTTTGAGAAAATCAAAAAGCTAGATAAACCCTTAGCCAAACTAACCAAAAGGCAGAATGAGAGCCAAATTAACAAAATCAGAAGTGAAAAGAGGGGGAATAACAGAGAAGAAGGAAATAAAAAAAATCATTAGGTCTTACTTTAAAAGCCTGTATTCCACAAAATTGGAAAATCTAAAGTAAATGGATGATTTTACTGATAGATTTCACCTACCAAATTCAAATCAAGATCAGGTATACAGTTTAAACAGTCCTATAACCTGTAAGGAAGTAGAAGCAGTCATCAAAAGTCTCCCATTCAGAAAAAAACCCATGACCATATGGTTTTAGCACAGTATTCTACCAGACATTTCAAAAAAGAGCTAATACCAATACTCAAAGTATTTTAGAACATAGAAATAAAAGGAACATTGCCAAACTCATTCTATGAAGCCAGTCATACTGATACCTAAACTTCACAAAGACATAACAAAGAAAGAGAATTTCAGACCAGTTTCACTCATGAACATTGACACAAAAATGATAAAATACTTGCAAACCAGATCCAAGAACATATCAATGACATCATCCATCATGATCAAGTAGGTGTTCTATTTTTTTGACAAGACATCATCTTGATGAATAAAACCGTGGGGCTCAGAGATGGTGCCTTAATTGAGTACCCCATAGAGAGTTAAAAGCAAAATGAAGACCCTATTATTTCAGCACTTTCAACTATTTGCTTACTGCCTTACAAATATGGGTTGGCTGGGTCCAACAACTGTATTTCTCAAAGATACTCTGGACTTGTAAATATTAAAAACCATCTTCCTAATATTTTCTTAATCTGACACTTTTTGAGTGATTTACCTTTTTATTATATATTCATTGCACAAAAGAACAGGCTTCATAGTGGTCATTTTCTCCAGGTATGCTTTATACTTTGATCACATTTCCATCAATACACACACTTGATTCATTGTCCTCCTCGGTGGCTCCTTCTTTTGCTTGAATAGTCCCTCTTCTCTGTAACTTTCTTTTTAGTTTTTATACTCTATTTTCACAAATAGAACTCATCTCACAAAAATTTTTATCATCAAAAATTTGAAAAAAAATGTGTTATTTGAGATAATGAGTAGTCTATCAGATTTTTCTTATAATTTTTCTATGGATGTACAGCACATAATTACTGAGGTTTGGAAAAATCATAATGGAAAAAAATTGTCTGTCTCAGTAACATGGCTTGTTTCATTGACACAAACCATGCTCTGACCCCTGCAGAGAGAGCTCCTGGATGTGGTGGATAATTATGAGTCAGCAGTGATTGTTGCCCCAACATCCTCTGGTAAAACTTATGCTTCCTACTACTGCATGGAGAAGGTGCTGAAGGAGAGTGATGAAGGTGTGGTTGTGTATGTTGCACCAACAAAGGTAGGGATTAGTGAATGTAATATTTTTATTTATTTTCACTAGCTAAAGATTAACATACCAAGTAGTGGGCTTCATAATAGTATTTTCATGCATGGTGTTTTGATATTTTGACCCTCCTTCAATACTAACCTCTTCTATGCTATAGTCCTTCTCTATTGCTCCCCTTTGTTCTCTTGTAGCTCTTTTTCCACTTTCATGTCACATATATTCTATTGATTATTTCCCTTCCTCCCTTTATGACCTTATTCCCTTCTCATGATTTCCTTTCTAGTTTGATGACCTATACCCATTCTTAGCCACATACATACACACATACATATACAACTAAAGTTTATGAAACAAATATGAGAAACATGTACTATTTGTCTTTTTGAGCCTGTGTTATTTTGCTTAATATAATAATTCCTAGCTATGTCCATTTTTTGTGAACATGTTCTCATTTTTCTTTATATTTTAATGGAACTGTATATTTGTGTTATATTTTCTTTATTTATTAATGTGTTTCTGGATGTCGAGGCTGCTTCTAATTCTTAGCTATTGGAATAGTGAAAATACGGGCATGGATGTGAAAGTATCTCTGTAGTAAGACTTGAAGATCTGTGAGTATATATTCAGGAGTGATATTCAGGTCAGAGATAGTTTTTGTTTGTTTTTATTAGTATTTTGTGAAACCTCAATAATGATTTATACCCTCATCAGTAGTGGTTAAGGGTTCCACTTTTCACATATTTTTCCCAAATGTTAACATTTTTTCTTCTTGATCTAATCATTTTAATTGGAGTGAAATGGAATCTCAAATCTTTCTGAATGGTTCTGCTGTTATTCAGCAAGTTTCTACTATACTCCGAGGTGAAATCTATTTTTAGACATGCATTTGTCTGATCAGCAATTTGGTCTGTGGTATGTCTTTATTCATGATCTACTTGGTACATTTTCCTGTTTTTATAGTAACCTTTTTACTAATTTATCAAAATTTGAATAATGCATGATACATCTTTTTCTGAACCAGGATGAAATATACATTTGTGGATCGGGTTTTTAACTTAGCTTTTTAGGGTTACTCATTCCAATGATAATATTAAAATCTTTGTGTAATCATAACCATCTTCCTTAGTGCTCCTATTGTTGTAATAAAATAAAAATCACAGAGTGAAGGGTTTGCTTCAGTTTGTACTTCCACAACACAGTCCATCACTGAGGGAGTCAGGGCAGGAACCTGGACATAGGTTGTTACATTGATGCAGAGGCTATGGAGGAGTACTGGATATGGTCTATCCCCCTCATGCTTTTCTAATCCTGCTTTTCTGTAGCAGCTAGGACCACTAGACCAGGGGTGACACTGTCCAAAGTGAGATGTGTGACCCCAATGTCAATTATTAACCAAGAAAATGCACCACAGGCCAATCAGCTAGAATCATTTTCTCAGTTAAGATTTTCTCTTCTGAAATGACTCAAGCTTTGGGTCCAGCTGACATAAAACTAGCCAGCACAATGTATCTTGTGTGTTTGATGTATCTTGTGTGTTTAGATACATTAAAATAATTGAACTGTCACTTTTAAGTATAGTTATGGTAATATTAGAAATTTTACATTTTCATCTCTTCAGTGTTTACATTTGGGGGGAGAGGTTATAAAGCATGAAAAAGATGCTTGAAAAATTATAGAGTCTGCTGGCTAGACTACCTGCTTGACCTAAGTGAGACTGTACAGAATCATGTATGTATTCAAACTTTTGACATCTGGAGGTGATGCTGCAATATGTGATACAAATCTATTTACACTTGCTTCTGTGATAGACTCAGATTATAAGTGGTGATTATTCTATTGTGCTATGCATGCTAATTTTTCTGCTATAAAGGATACTTTTGCCATTTTACTTTCAGATTAATATTGTCCATTTCTGTTTTACTTAAGGTTGTTGTTAATCATAGAAGTTCAGATTTATAGTGTAGTTACTCAGAGGAGGAGCTTTTTGTGTGGCATGGGGTAAAGGAAAGGATTTGTTAAGTTTTCTGCATTCATATCCAGACAGTTTTTGACATTTTCATCATTCTATTAAATTTTGATCATCTACACTTTATTACAGAGCTAATACATCTGTTTCCCTGTCAATCAGGCTCTTGTTAACCAAGTGGCAGCAACTGTTCAACATCGTTATACCAAAATCATGCCAGCTGGTGAAGTTGTATGTGGTGTTTTTACAAGGGAATATCGTCATGATGCCCTCAACTGTCAGGTTTGACATAATATTTAATAAAGTTGCTATTAAATTATTATATAAGAATGTTTTGGCTGGAAATATAACATCTTCACAAGACCTGTGAAAATAATTTCCTTGTATTTGTGAAGGATAAAACTGCTTCAGAGAAAATATAATTGTGTTACATTGTAAAGACTGTAAATAATAGAACTCATTTTCTGTAAAGAGGCTTTCATTTTGATTTAAACTTTCAGTTTATAACTCATTCATGGTATTGCTGTACAGTGGGATTCAAAATGATTGAAAGATCTTACAAGCTACAAAAACTTTGTGAACAGTAACATATAATCATAATTACTTTCTCTTGTTAAAGATGCTCATTTTAGTTAAAAATGTGTTGGGTTGTAGTAAGCAAACCTAGCATTAGTGAAGACATGATTTTAGAGCATTATGTAGTAGACTTGGCAATGTGCTGCCTTGATTATCTTTCAAAGAAACATCTTCCAACACAAATTCTGTTAGTGTTAGTTTTGAAATAAGGTTAAAATTCATGAACTCAATGGCAGGCTCTTTGACACTCCCTCTCCCCTGAGGGAGGGGCAGCCTTGCCAGGCCACAGAGGAGGACATGGCAGCCAGTCCGATGAGACCTGATAAGCTAGGATCAGATGGAAGGGGAGGAGGACCTCTCCTATCAGTGGACATAGTGAGGAGCATGGGAGGAGATGAGGGAGGGTAGGATTGGGAGGGAGTGAGGGAGGAAACTACAGCTGGAATACAAAGCAAATAAAATGAAATTAATTTAAAAAAATAAAATTTAATTAAAAAATTAACAACTTTGATTCTAACATCTTTTTTCTAGAGTATTTAGTTAAAACATTTTTATTTATTTATTTTTGATAATTTCATATATGTTGGAGGTGTATTATGAACACATTCTTCAACTTCCATTTTCTTTTTCTCCCTACAACCTGTATCCCTCCCAGTATCATGTGTCTTTCCTAGCAGCCATCAACTGCCAATAGCTACTCGGCTGGAGTGGGGTCTTCTGAGCTGTTTCCTCATTCATACTGCAATTTTGATTGGTTTGGTTTTCTGCAGGTCTTATACAAATAAGCACAACTGCTTTGAGTTCATGAGTGAAACCGCCATACCTTATTCAGAAGATGGCAGTTTGTAGTGGTAACTTTAAAAATGTGTGTTGATGCTGCAGTTTCCCTCTTAACCTGGCTATCACCCAAATAATTCAGACTGGACTATTACTTTATTTAATATGCATTACGGCACAACAATTAAGCAGTTATTACTCTTTATTAACCCTCTAGGCTAGTCTGACTCCATCTTTGCCAAAATTCCTGAGATACTTGGCATTTTATGGCTGCTTACTTAGCTGTTGTCTCTTGATGGCTTGGCTGAATCCCCTCTTCCCGTCTTTATGTCCTCCTTCGCTGGCTGGCAGGAAGTCCAGCCTTATTCTCTCCTCTGCTCAGCGATTGGCTGTAAACTGCTTTGTTAGGGAACAATTGGAGAGCAGTGTTTACATAATATCTGGACAGAAGATTCTCAAAACAAGTTTGTAACCAGATATAGGCGGCACAGAAATCACATTTGAATCTTTACACAGTACACAATAACCATTGCGCCTACAGCAGTTACTCTCTCCTGGCTTTCATGTTCTTTCCACCCTTTTTTTCTGATCGTTTCTGGAAGGCATTTGGAAACAGGTAAATATATGTGTTCCATTTAGGGCTGGAAACATTTGGAATGCTTATAAACAAGGATATGTACTTCAGATTTCATATTTTACCCTTTTTCCCATGAAAATAGAAGTTTCATGTGGTTCAAACAAATAAATACATCACAAGTGTAATGAACCCTATTCTTAGAAGGAGTATCAGGTCTTAACTGTTAGAAGATGCATTCAGGACTCAAGTTTACCTTGTGTAGTTTTATAACTGTGCGCATGCTAAGGATTACTTCACATGATACTCTTACTTTTAGGTGCTTGTTACTGTTCCAGCGTGCTTTGAAATTCTGCTACTAGCTCCTCATCGTCAAAACTGGGTGAAAAGGATCAGATATGTTATATTTGATGAGGTAAGATTGGCATTACTTCTCACGCTAACTTCTTAGTATTTTTTTTTAATTTTTTATTAATTACACTTTATTCATTATGTATCCCGCCATAAGCCCCTCCCTCCTCCCCTCCCAATCCCACCCTCCCTCCCCTTTCTGCATGCATGCCACTCCCCAAGTCCACTGATAGGGGAGGTCCTCCTCTCCTTCTTTCTGATCTTAGTCTATCAGTTCTCATCAAAAGTGGCTGCATTGTCCTCTACTGTGGCCTGGTAAGGCTGCTCCCCCCTCAGGGGGAAGTGATCAACGAGCAGGCCAATCAGATTACGTCAGAGGCAGTCCCTCTTCCCATTACTATGTAACCCACTTGGACACTGAACTGCCATGGGCTACACCTGTGCAGGGGTTCCAGGTCATCTCCACGAATAGTCCTTGGTTGGAGTATGAGTCTTTGGGAAGTTCCCTGTGTTCAAATTATCTTGTTCTGTTGCTCTCCTTGTGGAGTTCCTGTCCCCTCCAGCTCTTACTATTTCCCACTTCTTACATAGAATTCCATTCACTCTGCCCATCAGTTGGCCATCAGGCTCAGCATCTGCTTTGACAGTCTATACTGCAGAAGCTTTCAGAGGCCCTCTGTGGCAGGTTTCAAGGTTGTTTCCTGTTTTCTTCTGGCTTTCAGAGGCCCTCTGTAGCAGGTTCCGAGGTTGTTTTCTATTTTCTTTTTCTTCTGATGTCCATCCTCTTTGCCTTTCAGGATGGGGCTTGAACATTTTACTTAGGGTCCTCTCTTTTGCTTAGTTTGTTTAGATGTACAGATTTTAGTGGGTTTATTCTATATTATATGTTTATATGAGTGAGTATATACCATATGTGTCTTTTTGCTTCTGGGACAACTCACTCAGGATGATCCTTTCCAGGTCCCACCATTTACCTGCAAATTTCATGATTTCCGTATTTTTCATTGCTGAGTAATACTCCATTGTATAGATGTACCACAGTTTCTGCATCCATTCTTCAGTTGAGGGGCATCTGGGTTGTTTCCAGCTTCTGGCTATTACAAATAAAGCTGCTACAAACATGGTTGAGCAAATGTCCTTTTTGTGTACTTGAGCCTCTTTTGGGTATATGCCTAGGAGTGGTATAGCTGGGTCTTGAGGAAGCACTATTCCTAATTGTCTGAGGAAGCGCCAGATAGATTTCCAGAGTGGTTGTACAAGTTTACATTCCCACCAGCAGTGGAGAAGGGTTCCTCTTTCTCCACAACCTCTCCAGCATGTGTTGTCCCTTGAGTTTTTCATCTTGGCCATTCTGATGGGTGTAAGGTGAAATCTCAGGGTTGTTTTGATTTGCATTTCCCTAATGGCTAATGAGGTTGAGCATTTCTTTAAGTGCTTCTCTGCCATTCGATATTCCTCTGTCGAGAATTCTCTCTTTAGTTCTGTTCCCCATTTTTTAAGTGGATTACTTGGTTTGTTGCTTTTCAGCTTGTTTAGTTCTTTATATATATTGGATATGAGTCCTCTGTCAGATAAAGGTTTGGTGATGATTCTTTCCCAATCTGTAGGCAGTTGCTTTGTTTTGATGACAGTGTCCTTTGCTTTACAGAAGCTTTTCAATTTCATGAGGTCCCATTTATTGATTGTTGCTCTTAGAGCCTGTGCTGTTGGTGTTCTGTTCAGGAAGTTTTCTCCTGTACCAATGAGTTCTAGGGTATTCCCCACTTTTTTTTCTAGCCGATTTAATGTGTCTGGTTTTATGTTGAGGTCTTTGATCCACTTGGACTTCAGTTTTGTGCAGGGCGATAAGTATGGATATATTTTCATTTTTCTACATGTAGACATCCAGTTGGACCAGCACCATTTGTTGAAGATGCTATCTTTTTTCCATTGTCTGGTTTTGGCATCTTTGTCAAAAATCAGGTGTCCGTAAGTGTGTGGGTTTATTTCTGTGTCTTCTGTTCGATTCCATTGATCCACCATTCTGTTTCTATGCCAGTACCATGCAGTTTTTATAACTGTTGCTCTATAGTACAGCTTGAGATCAGGGATGGAGATACCTCCAGAAGATCTTTTATTGTAGAGGATTGTTTTAGCAATTCTCGGTTTCTTGTTATTCCATATGAAGTTGAGAATTTTTCTTTCCAGGTCTGTAAAGAATTGTGTTGGCAATTTGATGGGAATTGCATTAAATCTGTAGATTGCTTTAGGTAAGATGGCCATTTTTACTATGTTAATCCTGCCAAGCCATGAGCATGGGAGATCTTTCCATCTTCTCATATCTTCCTCTAATTCTTTCTTCAGAGACTTGAAATTTTTTTCATACAAGTCTTTGACTTGCTTGGTTAGGGTTACGCCAAGGTACTTTATGTCATTTGTGGCTATTGTGAATGGTGTTGTTTCTCTAATTTCTTTCTCAGCCCTTTTGTCTTTTGTATACAGGAGTGCTACTGATTTTTTTGAGTTAATTTTGTATCCGGCCACTTTGCTGAAGGTGTTTATCAGCTGTAGGAGTTCCCTGGTAGAGTTTTTGGGCTCACTCATATATACTATCATATCATCTGCAAATAGTGATAATTTGACTTCTTCCTTTCCCATCTGTATCCCCTTGATCTCCTTCAACTGTCTTATTGCTCTAGCAAGGACTTCCAGCGCTATGTTGAAGAGATATGGAGAGAGTGGGCAGCCTTGTCTTGTCCCTGATTTCAGTGGGATTGCTTTAAGTTTCTCTCAGTTCAGTTTGATGTTGGCTATAGGCTTGCTGTAAATCGCCTTTACTATGTTTAGATATGTGCCTTGTATCCCTGATCTCTCCAGTACTTTAAATATGAATGTATGTTGGATTTTGTCAAATGCTTTTTCAGCATCTAGGGAGATTATCATGTGGTTTTTTTCTTTCAGTTTGTTAATATGGTGGATCACATTGATGGATTTCTGTATATTGAACCACCCCTGCATACCTGGGATGAAGCTTACTTGGTCATAGTGGATAATATCTTTGATGTGTTCTTGGATTCGGTTTGCAATTATTTTGTTAAGTATTTTTGCATCAATGTTCATAAGGGAGATTGGCCTGAAATTCTCTTTCTTTGTTGAGTCTTTGTGAGGTTTAGATACCAAGGTGATTGTGGCTTCATAGAATGAGTTTGGTAATGTTCCTTCTGTTTCTATTTTGTGGAAGAGTTTGAAGAGAATTGGAGTTAGCTCTTCTTTGAAGGTCTGGTAGAATTCTGCGCTGAAGCCATCTGGTCTTGGGCTTTTTTTGGATGGGAGACTTTTGATGACTGCTTCTATTTCTTTGGGGGATATAGGACTATTTAATTGATTTACCTGGTCCTGATTCAGCTTTGGTGAGTCAAATCGATCAAGAAAATTGTCCATTTCATTTAGGTTTTCAAATTTTGTTGAGTATAGACTTTTGAAGTAAGTCCTAATGATTGTTTGGATTTCCTCAGTGTCTGTAGTTATGTCCCCCTTTTCATTTCTGATTTTGTTGATTTGGGTGGTGTCTCTCTGCCTTTTAGTCAGCTTGGCTAAGGGTTTGTCGATCTTGTTGATTTTCTCAAAGAACCAGCTCTTGGTTTCATTGATTCTTTGAATTGTTTTATTTGTTTCTAATTGATTGATTTCAGCCCTGAGTTTGATTATTTCCAGCCGTCTACTCCTTTTTGGTGTGTCTGCTCCTTCTTTTTCTAGGGTTTTTAAGTGGGCCATTAAGTTGCTTGAATGAGCTGTTTCGAATTTCTTCTTGAAGTCACTTAGTGCTATGAACTTTCCTTTTAGCACTGCTTTCATTGTGTCCCACAAGTTTGGGTATGTTGTGTCTTCATTTTCATTGAGTTCTAGAAAGGCTTTAATTTCTTTCTTTATTTCTTCCCTGACCCAGCTGTCATTTAGTAACAAGTTGTTCAGTTTCCATGTGTGTGTAGGCTTTTTGCTATTTCTGTTGTTGTTGAAGTCCAGCTTTATTCCATGGTGATCAGACAGGATACAAGGGATTATTTCAGTCTTCTTGTATCTGTTGAGGCTTGCTTTGTGACCAACTATATGGTCTATTTTGGAGAAGGTTCCATGAGGTGCTGAGAAGAAGGTAAATTCTTTTGTGTTTGGGTTTAAAGTTCTGTAAATGTCTGTGAGGTCCATTTGATTCATGACCTCTGTCAGAGATATTGTTTCTTTGTTTAATTTCTGTTTTGTTGACCTGTCCTTTGTTGAGAGTGAGGTGTTGAAGTCTCCCACTATTATTGTGTGGAGATCTATATGTGGTTTAAGTTTTATCAATGTTTCTTTTACAAATGTGGGTGCTCTTGTATTTGGGGCATAGATGTTCAGGATTGTGATGTCTTCCTGGTGGAATTTTCCCTTGATGAGTATGAAGTGTCCTTCCTCATCTCTTTTGATTAATTTTGGTTGAAAGTCTATTTTATCAGATATTAGAATGGCTACTCCTGCTTGTTTCTTGGGTCCATTTGCTTGGAAAGTCGTCTTCCAACCTTTTACCCTCAGGTAATGTCTATCTTTGTGTCTTAGGTGTGTTTCTTGTATGCAACAGATTGCTGGGTTTTGTTTACGTATCCATTCTGTTAATCTGTGTCTTTTTTACTGGAGAGTTGAGTCCATTGATGTTGAGAGAAAAAATATGGAACCCTTCACGAATTTGCGTGTCATCCTTGCGCAGGGGCCATGCTAATCTTCTCTGTATCGTTCCAATTTTAGTATATGTGCTGCTGAAGCGAGCACACTTCTTAGTATTTTTAAACTGTAGGAAGGTCTTTGCTGTTTTGGGACATTTGTCCCTTGGATGAAATTCAGATTGCAAGGTTGTATTCTTCTGAGCCAGTGTAAGGTCAAATCTAGAGACTCATAGAACAGGAGAATTTCATTGAAGTAGTATCTATAGATCAGTTTCCCTGGGCAGAGAGAGTGGGGTGAAATCATGTAGATGACAGCATCATTCAGTATACTTATGCACAGAGACTTAAGGCATCGGAGAAACCTACATTCTTTTATTCCTGAATTTTAAGCTGAAAGAAGGAAGAAGCCTATATTTAGCTTGTTTTCACTTTGTGTTGTTATAAAGAAATAAAATCCCAAATGTTCAGCTTAACCAATAAAGAGTCAGGAGCCAAATGCTGGGGTGAAGACCTCCTAGCTCAGACAGGCAGAGACCTTCCGACTCAGCTGATGTCCCCAAAGGAAAAATCCCTTCCTATTAATCTCCTGTCCCATTTCTTCTTCTCCATGCTGTCTTAAGTACACTTTGACTCAGTGTCCCTCCTTTCTACTTCTACGTGTCTCTCTATCCTCTGGATTTCCTCTCACTCCTTATGGGTTTTTTCTCCATGTTCTCTTCCTGTTAATTTTGTTACTTGCTCATAGGGTTAACTTCATTTAATTTGGTTTACAGAAAACTCTTCGATTAAAAGTGTGTGCTAGAGCTGAGCCACACCACAAGTACTTGTTCACAGTAAACAGACAGCTCTAGGATCAATGACTGAGGCATACCACAATTAGAAACAAGTTTTACAGTTCACAATCTTGGGGTTCATAATGGAATCAAACTTTGTTTCAATAATAATAATAATAATAATAATAATAATAACAATATATATATTTTTTAGTTCTGGAGATTAAGTGCAGGATCCTGAATTGATATAACATTGTATACCTCAGTTGTTCCTGTTTTATATTAGGCAGCTTTGAAGGCTAATGTCTATTCTGCCAGAGTCAGGTAAAATTGTTAAATATTGTAAAGCTTAAAATTAATATTTAGCAAAGTGGTATGTCATCTGACTAAGACAAAGTCAGACGGGCAGAAGAAAATATGTATCTCTCTACACACATATGTAAAACTGCCTAACTGATATCTTTCAGGTGTCAAATTTAACTTGCTTATTTAAGATCATATTCAAGAATCTTTCTTGTACCTAATTTAATTTGGTCACTCATTCATTTACTCAGTTTCTTTTGAGAAAGGTTTCTAAGGGCCAAGCATTGTGTCAATGATAGAATAATTTAGATTTGAAGACACAGATTAAGTGACAAAGCTAAGCTAAACTAGAGAACACAAGTGCATATAAACTGACACTACACTCTGTGCTTACTGCAAAGATCAAGAGTGTCAATCAAAATTGCAGCAATGACAGAAGAGAGGCTGGAGAACCACTCAGGAATGAAGTGGCCAGAAAATCTTTTCAAACTAGTCAGAAAATCTTTTTAAACTAGTGACAGCAAGATGAATTTCACAGATTAAGAGGCCTTGGCTATATTTTTGGCTTTGTGTTTTATTGGTAAGTATATTTTATACAGGAGAGCCGTCCATGTGAATGCTCTACAGTGGTGTGTGCTAAGGAACAAAGAAATGGCTTCTGTGTATAAATCATAGTAAGACTAGGGATTACTGGCTTCAGATGAAGCTGGAAAGGTAGCAATGGGCCAAATATGCCAAGCATTATGTATCCCATTAAATGCTTAGATTTGTTTCACAAAGAATGGGAAAACATTGACTAATGACATGACTAGATAAGGCTTATCATTTTGTCTGTGATGTCAAGAATGTAGGTGTTCAATTAGGGCAACAGTCACAGAGGCACTCAATTGTGACTTCAATGTGGTGCTGGCTTGATTGTCAGTAGGCATGGCAAGGAATACATAGGCCTGAAAGAAGGTTTTGAAAGCAAAATAAAAAGGACTCATAGGTGATTGGTTAAAAATATTAAGGAAAATTCAAGTGCCAAGTTGTCCTACATCTAGATTTTTCCAATACTTATTTTATTTAAGCAGGACATGGTACATTAAAGGTGATGGAAGTACCTATGACCACCTTATTTCCATATGTTTTAGTATTTATTTATTCATTTATTCCTTTATTTATCTATTTATTTTTAACTTGCCATCCTTAAAACTAACTTGTCAATTGAAAATAATCTTTGTTTTTATAGGTCCATTGTCTTGGTGGAGAAATTGGAGCAGAAATCTGGGAGCATCTCCTTGTCATGATCCGGTGTCCCTTTTTGGCCCTTTCAGCTACCATAAGCAACCCTCAGCGCCTCACTGAGTAGGAATTTGGTTCGATTTTGGATGGAATGCTTATCTGTTTTTGAAAGTCTGAATTTCATGCATCTTTTATGGGTTTTAGACTTACCTAAATTTCTGGTTAACTTAAAGCAATCCCAGAACACTCAAGTCACTGTCTGTTTAGTTCTTTCTGATAAGTCTTGGTCAGATCTGCAGTTGAATAGCAAGTCCAAATCATAGCTCAAAAAATAAAATGATAGCTGTATATTACTTTTTTTCCCCTACCCTCCTTTTGCTAGGAAACAAAAATCAGAGTGATAGAATGACACATTCAGCCATAGATTCCAAGATCATCATTTTGCTGATATAATTGGAAAGAGAGCAAAACTTTATTAGTTGAAAGCCACACATCTTGTCATTGGGCTTGAATGTTGATGAGTGATAACAACATATCCTATAGCTTCTCCCACCTGTCACATCCCTTCCTAAATACTTGGCAAATAGTAATTTATCTTAAATATCATTCATCAATATTCGATTTACTACTATTTCCATTGTTATCACTAGATAATAGTACTCTTACTATTATTTTGATTTTTAAACATGAAAGACAAGGCACAGAAATAATAAATGATTTATGCAGGATTTAGAGTTAATAGTACGGAAGCTAGAATTTTATTTCAGGTTTTGTGGCTCTAGAAGTAATTCCCTTATGTGAAAATATTAAGACATATGAAATTTCCTTTAAATTATTTAATTAAACAAATAATAATGAATTTAAGTTATTACTTAAATAAATAACAATTACTTAAATAAAAATTAACTTATTTAATTTCATGTAAGTTGCTTCTATTTTCTGCTTAAATAACATATGAGTTACTTCTGTGTTGATGTGACCAAAAAATAACTTTAGAGAGGTATACCTTTATTTAAATTCATGGTTTTAGAAATATTTCAGTCCATCATAGTTGGGAAGACAAGGAGGGGAGGCTTTATCCATAGGCGTGGGTACTTGAGGTGGCAGCTCGTTCACATGGCAACAGACAGGAAGCAGAGAGCACTAGTTAAGAAACAGTGGTGAATACAACCTTTGTGATGGTTAATGCTGCTTGTTAACTACTCGTTAAATCCCCAGTTTTAATGGCTGACCTCTGTTGTTCAGTTACTGCTTTCTCATGCCTCCAAAGCTTTTCCCAAAGTCCAGGACCAAGTACTTAACCATGAACCATTGGGGACACTGATGATTAAAATCATAAATAACATGTCTATTTTTTTTAAGGTGGCTCCAGTCAGTAAAGAGGTACTGGAAAGAAGTAGACAGTGCTATGGAAAAAGGAACTTTTTCCAAAAGAAGTTGTGGCTCCCGTGGCAGTTGTCACAAAGAACGAGTGCAAGCCAGACAGTCATACAAAGTTAGACTTGGTACGTGTGCTCTGTGTATTTGTATGGCGATTTTGTTTGGCTTGGCTTGGTTATTTGCTTTAAAATTATTCTGCTCATTACATTTCTGGTAATTTGGAAAATGTTGCCCTTCCCCTTTCAGTGCTCTATGGAGAGAGATACAATGATATGGAGAAGTACTTATGTTCTGTGAGGCAGGGCGATGTCTGCTTTGATCACTTTCATCCGTGTGCTGCACTAACCATAGATCATGTAAGTAGCGACCTTCGCCACAGCTGATCCATGTAACTGCTCTGTCTGGCTTATAACTGAAAACACAATGCTGTGCAGAATGTTGCAGGAACACAGCCTGATGCTCAAATGCAGACAAACCCCCCCCCCACAATTTCGATTTTTAAAATCAACAGCATTGTTCTACTTGCTTTCTCTATGTCATGAAGTTATCAGGATCCTCAAAACTTAAAAACTACTAACTATTTTAACTTGATGGCTTTGTTAGTTTGGGGATGTTATTTCGGCCCTCTTCCTCTCCCTCCCTTGTTAATCACCTAAGTCTGCCTGTCCACCTTAGCTAGCTCACTATTGCATCACTAATGAAGTGTGGAGATGGCTTTAACCTTTCTTCTCAGGGCAGCTACAGCTTTGTGTGGCTAAGCTTCGTGCATGAAAACATGATTAATGTGATCTTAAACCAGGAACACATGCTTTCCATTGCCGTAACAATCGACTCATGACTCTTTGGTGATGACTCAGCAAAGTAGAGAGCTTGAAACAACGTCACCAAGGCTGTTGAATCATTAATGGGGGCTAATTTCTTAAATATCTCCAGCATATGCTTCTCTTCCTTTCTCCTTCTCCTCCCTTGAAAGGTTCATTTAAATTCCCATTGGACATCCTTTCTTGTCCTTCCAAAACCTGAAAAATGAAGTATATTCTTCATTCCAATATTATATTATGTCCCCTGAATTATAATTCTGTTCTTTAAAAGGCTTTACTGGACTTCTTCAAAAAGGGCTGAGTACGCTGTCCATGAGAACTGTCTTCTAGGAGCTTGTTCAACGTTGTATTTACTGAATGTGCTTTGCTTGGGGGTCTTCGTGTTATACCTTGCTCCCCTCAAGTGCCAAATGCTCGCTCCTAGATCTTGATTTTTTTTAACTTGAAACTCTTATAAGCACTTTTTAGAATCCTGTGCCTTCCCCAGCTCAGCTCTCCTGTAAACAGTAAAGTCAGGTAATCACTAAGCCTTCACCCACATGTCCTTTTGTGTTTGGAAATAACTGCTGCAGGATGGATTTCATGGCCTTCCAGCTACTGACATATTGCTGTGTGAAAACTACTGCTTACTGGCTGTTTTTAAAGAATAGCTGATTAAATTTGTGTTTTTAAAATATTCACATATTTCATCTGTTTTAAACACCACAACAATTGTATGATGAAGGTCTTACTACAATTTTCATTTCACAAGTAATGGAATTGAGACATGGAGTTGATAACTAACTCACTACTACAGCACTAAGTAAATGATTTGTAGGAGCCATAATCTCAGACCTGTTGATTGACTCCATATTGATCTGAAAAACTTGTCTATCATATATATGAATGAGTAAAAGACTTGTCCGTCATATATATGAATGAGCGAGCACTATATGATAGTATTTGGCTGCATGTTGCAATGCATTCCAAAAACTATGAAATAAATCAGAATATGGAGTTTTTCTAGTAAAATGTTTGTGAATAAAGCTTCTCTTATAAGTGGTAATGGACCAATTCAAACTCCAGATTCAACTAAAATGTGGAAGAAATCCTGTGCTTTAACTTATACTAAGAATATAGCCATCAATAATAAATCGTCTTCTTCCCTCTTTCTCTTCTTCCCTTCCTTTTCCCCTTTTTCCTTATTGGATTCCTCCACTTCCTATTTCTGATCTCTAATATCTGAAATGTCAGACATTTTCAACATTATCCAATAACTCAATACCTTTAAAAACAGCATAGTACTTTAAAAACTACTTTTTTTTTCTTTCTTTTTTTTTTTTTTTTTGTAACATGATCCAGGCAGGATATCTTTAAACAGCTTCAAGTATACTGGTTCTGTGCTAGCTCCAAGTGCCTTTGCTCACCTCTCTGTAGCTATTAATGGAGTAACTGGAAAGCAATAGAGTAACTACAGTGTGCCCTGACCCTGTATGACTTCTGAAAATGTCACATGCTGTTGTATGAGTCTTAAGATTTTTAGAACTTGGTAGCAAGAATACAGAGTAAATGTAGGCCTGGGTATGGTTAAATGAATTTTCAAAAACCACCTGCATAACATGTACTTATATAGGCTGTTTCCTTAAGAAGAAGAAGAGGAATGAGTGGAACTTTCAGCTGAACAAATAGTTCTAAATATTGTTTATTATACATAGATTAAATGAAAGAACTGACTGTTTTAAAAACATCCCCCAAAACAATAAATTGTAGCAACATTAAAAAGAAGAACCATTTGCCTTTATGGATGTTTCCTTTATGACTATGTCAGAAAAACGATTTACAAAGGGAAGAGATGAGAGAGTACAAATGAGCTGGCCTCAACCCAACAGAAGCAAGGAATCAGTGAGGGATTGCCCTCAGCCATATATGGCTTGTTTCTGGCAAACTGCAGCCTTGTTTGACCTTTGCCATCAATTATCATGCCATCCAGGCACAGCTGCTGCTGTCTGGAAAACTGTCAGCCCTGGGAAACACTTGAAAGAACTGCCATCTCTTGCTCAGTGTGGATTGATTGTTAACATGGTCTGTGGTACTAGGGACATGTGCATTTAAAAACTGATGTAAAGACAGCATACCACTGTAGAGTGATTTGCTGTTACTTCTTTTTGTTCTCTTCCTGGATTGGTTCAGGTTTTACCAGTTTGCCAGTTTGCAGTGGGAAACAAGTAGATTGAACCCCAGCTTGAACCACAGAATTGTTATTTAATTCCTTAAAATTGTTAGTTGATTCCTTAAAAGTCATAAAGTATAAACTTATTAATCATTAAACCCTACTGATGGATGATGCACCAGTGGGGCTCCAGACATTTGGATAAGATTCATCTGTTATGTAATTTATTTCTCCCAACAAATTAGTGACACAGACAGAAGTAATTTTTTTTTTTTTATATTAGAAACGCTGCAACTGAAGGCTGATGTAATGGAGTAAGAGAGTTAGGAAATCCCAAGTCTATTCCCCAAACAAAAGATTTCTATAATATAGGATAACCATACTAAAATCTACAGACCTAAAGAAGCTAAACAACAAGAGGACCCTAAATAGGATGCTTAAATCTCACTCAGAATGGCAAACAGGATAGACAACAGAAGCAGTGCAAGAGAGGGAACAGGATGGAATCCTTCTATAGAGGGTCTTCTGAAAGACTCCACCCAACAGGTTATCAAAGCAGGTACTGAGACTCACAGCCAAACTTTGGGCAGAGCACAAGGAGTCTTAAGGAAGAAGAGGGATGGACTAGAAAGACACGAGGGGACAAGAGCCCCACAAGGAGTCCAACAAAGCTAAAGGATCTGAGCCCAGGGAGTCCTGCAGAGACTGATGCACCAATAAGGACCATGCATGGAGAGGACCTAGACCCCTTGTTCAGATGTAGCCTATAGGCAGCTCAAGCCTCCAAGTGGTTTCCCGAGTAAGGGGAGCAGGGGTGCCTCTGTTATTAACTCCATTGCCTGCTCTTTGATCAGTGGCCCTTGGCAATGCAGCCTTGCCAGACCACAGAAAAAGAGGATCCAGGCAGTCCTTATGAGACTTGTTAAGCTATGATCAGATGGAAGGGGAGGAGAAGTCCTGAGTAGACTAAGGGAAAGGGATAGAGGGGAAGAAGGGAGGAGTTGAGGAAGGGGCCTACAATCGGGATAGGCAATGAATAAATTGTAAAAGAAAAATAAAAAATAATACAAAAATACAAAAAAGAAAATAAAATAATTGAAACGATTTGTATTATAGGACTTGTGAGGATTCTTAGACTCATTTTTGTTTCACTAGAGTTTAGCTGAATAAGTAACCACTCTCAAGTGATAATTAAAATAGAACATAAGGCTAGCACTGGGGACTGGGGCCTGGGAGCAGAGAGATATCTGCAGTTAAGAGGACCCTGCAGAGAACCTGATTTCATTTCCCAGTGCCCACACTGTGTGACTCACAACAGTCTACACAGGGGATCTGTGGCCCTCTTTTCCCTTCCAGAAGACAGAATCTCCCCACATACACATAATTTTTTAAAAATTCTTCTTTTTAAAGACAATGTGCTCAATGCAAGCTTCACCATTTTTCTGCCTTTTAAAGTTCAAAGCAGCCATTTCTTATAAATCTTTTTATCATCTAGATAAATAAAATATTAATAAGTTTGACTTTACTTTACTCATAGATTGAAAAGTATGGATTTCCTTCTGATCTTGCCTTTTCACCCCGAGAAAGCATCCAGCTGTATGATACTATGCTTCAGGTCTGGGAGAGATGGCCCCAGGCCCAGGTAAGGAATTTTCATGGAATCATGGTGTCTTGATAGGGCCCACCACTTCTACTCAGAAACATACTGTCACCATTTTTATCACCTGCATTTGGTGATTTAAAACAATCAGTACATATTTCTCTCCCTCCAAAATGGCCTCTTGTCTGAAATGGGCTAGAAATGTGCTTTCTTTTTCCTTCCCAGACACAGTGTCTGGGACTTCTATTCCACTCTGGGTTCCCAGTCCTTATCTTTTCATCTCCCATTCTTCTTTGTGTCCTGAGCACTGTTTGAGTTTCTCAGGGGCCTACTTGCTCTTTCTGCTTACCTTTGAAGAGTTCATATATAGGTTTCTATTCTAGAAGGTACAGAGAGGTAAGCGAAGTCTAAACATCTCTAGCTCTAAGAGCTTATCAAACTGTCAGTGAAAAATAGAATTGTGAAATAGCTTTAGGTTTTCTTCATTATCTTTATGGTCTTTCTTTCCCAGAACCTGTGTCCAGAGACGTTCACTCATTTCAAGAATAAAATAGTAATTAAAAAGCTGGATGCAAGAAAATATGAAGAGAGCCTAAAGGAAGAATTCACAAATTGGATTAAAAATGGGAATGAGGACGAGGTAATTTCACACATTTTGGGTAAAGCACTCTATTTTTTGACTCTATTCTTGAGTTGTATTGTTCAATCAAAAATACCATTTCTTTCCCTTTCTGGTTTCATTTTAGATTTTTTTAAGTTTGACTTGATTCTGAGCTGTAACAAAAAAGGAAAGAAAATTAATTTTTCAGATCTCTTCTTCAATGTCTCCTAAAACATAGGCAAGAGGCTACCAGTTCCTTGTGGATTCAGTGAGCCACAAGAGAAAACACAGGGTTCATATGGGGAGGGTGGCATAGAGATGGGACTCAAGCAGCTGACAAAATTTTTACTTTTCTTCTTTCTTAGTTTTGAAGTATTATTCTATTATTTTTAAGATTTCACATACATGTATGTAATGTGTTTTCAAATGTGTTCTCCGTCATCCTCCCCCTCCAACTCCTTCCATTTCCCTTCTATCACTTTCCCCTTCAAATTTCATGTGTCTTTTTCTAGTCCTACTAAATCTACTCCATGTTGCCAGCGTGAGGGTGGGTGGCAGCTACCCTCTGAAACCTGGACAACATGTATAAATATATTTATGTATATATGTATATATATATACATACATACATACACTCATATACGTATGTATATATATATGAATATATATGTATGTACATATGTCTGTTCTTTATATATATATGGATGTGTTTTATATATATATATGTATATATATATATATATATAATACATATATTATAAAGAACCCTGACTTTTTTCCCGTAGAAGCCATCATTTGGTAGCAGCTCCCCAGGTAGGGGTGAAGCTTCATGAGCCTCTCCTCATTCATGCATGGCATTATTTAGGGCTTGATATTATGAGCTTTTTTTGGCAAGTATCCTCAGCTCTTATGCGCTCATGTGCTCAATGTCCCTGACATGTCTGGAGATACTGGTTTGCAGCAGTCCTTGGAGTTTTATTCTTCATGATTTTAAATTTATTTTAAATTTTATGAACTATTGCAATACTAAAATCTTATCCTGGCACTATTTTCATACCAATTTGATTACAATTATAATCTTAATTTAACATAAAAATTGTGATTTCTGATTTTTTCTTTTTTAGGAATAACCTTCCTAATGGTAAAACCCTTTAATTTAGTTCCTCATGTAGTGGTGACCTCCAACCATAAAGATATTCTTTGCTATGTCATCAGTGTAATTTTGCTACTGTAATGAATGGCAATGTCAATATTTGAGATGCAATTTATCTATTAGGTAACTCCTCAAAATGTTATGACCCACAGGTTGAGAACCACTGCTGTATTTTATATTTTTCTTATGTGATTTCCTCTCTTTTCCACTTTGTACTTTGATTTCTTTTTATTTCATTTGGAAACACAATATAGTTAAGTTACAGTGTCCTTGCCATTCAAAACCTCTTAGGCAGGCTTGAATATTCTTTTTTATGCAGCATGGAGTGGGCTCCTTTCTCCTGCTGCCATGGAAACAGCACCATGTACTGAGCAATCCCTTTCCTGCTGGATTCCCATTGTCTCAAACAATTGCATACAGTACACTGGAAGTTTGTTGCCTACTGTGTGGTTTGTACTGTTTCTTGTTTGCTTACCACAGTACTGTGGCATAGTCTCATATAATTACATTTTAAAGAATGACAAAAGCAAAGATTAGACAGCTCTGAAAATATCATAGTCAGAATGCCCATTCCTTTCTCTGCTATGCACAATTCAGTACGAATGCATTCCATTCACTGTCACAGGCCAGGATGGTGCTGAAGAAACTGAGTCCTAATTTCCAGGAGCACCGAGGGCGGATGCTGGACTTCTTTCCATGTCTTGTTGAGAAGCTAAGGGAAATGGACAAGTTGCCTGCAATATTCTTTCTGTAAGTTATGTAACTTTGTGAGGTGATTTGTGTTAGGCCTCTTTCTTTATGGGAGAGAAAATTATATACACTTTATTGTTGTGGTCTAGTGTTTATTATTACTTTGGGTGCTCATTCGTCAAAATCATATGTCTTTTTTTAAAGTCACAAAATTTTCTAGCTCAACTTTTTGTTGTTCTGGTTCTGTTTGTTTGAGACAGGATCTTGCTATGTGTCCCAGGCTGGCTTTCCTATTGCAGCTTCCTCCATGCTGCGATTATAGACAGGCATCTACCATATGGCCAGTTGTAGTCAACTTCTTAGAAATTGTTTTAGTATTCTATTACATTTTTCTTCATTAATTTTAGTATCTCATATTTTGTTTCTACCATAAACTATTATTTTTGTGTAAGGTCTTACTAATATTTTTAGTACAGATCTTGGTTCTTTGCAGAACTCATTCAAAACATCCATCAATGTAATATCAACACAAAATTCAAGTTTTTATGAAATGTGAGTCAGAGCTACTGATATCTTGTCAAATTTCATGTTATAGAATGCAATAGTTTAAAATTGACGATACTAGTTTATTGGCTCCAGTTCTGATAAGATGGCACCAACGGTAATTTAGTAATGAATAGCTGAGCAGTGTCCCATTGTGTAGATATACCTCATTCTTTATCCATTCTTTCATTAAAGGACATCTCAGTTGTTTCCATTTTCTGGCTATTACAAAATAAAGCTGCAACAAACACAGCTGAGCAAATGTTCTTGTGAAACATCTTTTGGGTATACGACCAGGAGTGGTATAGCTGGGTCTTGAGGTAGTACTATTTCCAGTTTTCTGAGAAAGCTCCAGGTTGATTTCCACAGTACTTGTACAAGTTTGAACTTCCGCCATGAATGGAGGAGTGTTCCCCTTTATCCACAACCTCACCAGCATGTGCCATCATTTGAGTTTTTTATCTTAGCCATTGGGTGTGAGGTGGAATCTCAAAGTCATTTTGATTTGCATTTTCCTTATGACTAAGGATGCTGAACATTTCTTAAATGGTTCTCACCATTCAAGATTCCTCTGTTGAGAAATCTCTCTTTTGATCTGAACCCAATATTTTTATTAATTAGACTTTATTTACTTTTTATCCCCCTGTAGTTCCCTTCCTTCTCCCCTCCCAATTTTTCCCTTACTCCCCCTTCTCTACGCATGCCCCTCCCCAGGTCCACTGGTAGGGGAGGTCTTCTTTTCCTTCCTTCTGATCCTAGTCTGTTAGGTTTCATCAGGAGTGGCTGCATTGTCTTCCTCTGTGGCCTGGTAAGGCTGCTTCCCCCTCAGGGGGAGGTGATCAAAGAGCGGGTCAATCAGTTCATGTCAGAGAAAGTCCCTGTTCCCATTACTATGGAACCCACTGAACCCCATATTTTAATCGGGTTATTAGGTTTGTTGATGTCTAATTTCTTGAGTTATTTGTATATATTGGATATTAGTCCTCTGTAAGATATAGAGTTAGTGAAGATCAGTTCCCATTCTGTGTGGGCTGCCGTTCTGTCCTATTGAGAGTGTCGTGTCCTTTGCCTTACAGAAGCTTTTCAGTTTCATGAGGTCCCATTTATTAATTGTTGATCTTAGAGACTGAGCTGTCAGTGTTCTGTTTAGGAAGTTGTCTCCTGTGCTAATAAGTTCAAGATTCTTCCCCATATTCTTTTCTAACAGATTTAATGTATCTGCTTTTATGCTGAGGTCTTTGACTCACTTGGACTTGAGTTTTGTGTACTGTGATAAATAGCGGTATCTTTGCATTCGTCTACATGTAGACATCAGTTAGACCAGCACCATTTGTTGAAAATGCTTTCAGTTTTCCATTGTATCATTTTGGCTTCTTTGTAAAAAATCAGGTGTCTGAAGGTCTGTGGGTTTATTTCTGGGTCTTTGATTTGATTCCATTGATCAACCTGTTTATTTCTATTGCCAATACAATGAAGTTTTCATTACAATTGCTCTGTAATACAGCTTGAAATCAGGGATGGTGATACTTCCCCATGTTCTTTTATTATACAGGGTTATTTTAGATATTGTGGGTTTTTGTTTTTCCATATGAAGTTGAGAATTTTTCTTTCAAGGTCTGTAAAGAATTGTGTTGTTATTTTGATGGGAATTGCATTGCATTTGTAGTTTGTTTTTGGTAAGACAGCCATTTTTACTATGTTAATCCAACCCATCCACGAGTATGGGAGATTTCTCCAACTTCTGACATCTTCTGCAATTTCTTTCTTCAGAGGCTTTAAATTCTAATCATACAGGTCTTTCATTTGTTTGGTTAGAGTTACACCATGATATTTTATGTTATTTGTGACTATTATGAAGGATGTTGTTTTCTAATTTCTTTCTCAGCCCATTTATCATTTGTATGTAGGAGGACTGCTAATTTTTTGAGGTAATTTTCTATGTAGTCAAGTTTTTGAAGGCATTTATCAACTCTAGGAGTTCTCGGGGGTCACTTATGTCACCTGTCAATAGTAATACATTGACTTCTTCCTTTCCAACTTGTATCAGTTTGATCTCCTTTGGTTGTCTTATTGCTCTTGTGAGGACTTCAAGCACTGTATTGAATAGATGTGGAGAAAGTGGACATCTTTGTCTTGTCCCTGATGTTAATGGGATTGCTTTGAATTTTTCACCATAAATTTGATATTGGCTATTGGCTTGCTGTATATTTAGGTTTAGGTATGTGCCTTATATGCCTGATCTCTCCAAGACTTTTAACATGAAGAGGTGTTGGATTTTGTCAAAGGTTTTTCCAGCATCTAATGAGATTATTATGTGGTTTCTTTTCTTTTAGTTTGTTTATATGTTGGGTTACAGTGATTGATTTTCATATATTGAACCATGCCTGCATACCTGGGATGAAGCCTACTTGATCACGGAGGATGATGATTTTGATGTGTTTTTGGATTTGGATGTGCCAGTATTTTATTAAGTATTTTTCATCAATATTCTTGAAAGAGATTGGTCTGAAAATCTTTTTCTTTGTTGGGTCTTTGTGTGGTTTAGGTATCAGGGTGACTGTGGCCTTACAGAATGAGTTTGGAAATGTTCCTTTTGTTTCTATTTTGTGCAATAATTTGAGGAGTATTGGTATTTGGTCTTTTTTGAAAGTCTTGTAGGAGTCTGTGCTGATACCATCTATCCATTTTTTGTATATGTGGTTGAGAGAGTTTTAATGGCTGCTTCTATTTCTTTAGGGGTTATAGAATTTTTAAAAATTGTTTATTAAAAATTGTTTATTTAATCTTGATTTAACTTTAGTAAGTAGAATTTATTAAAATTGTCTGTTTCATTCTGATTTTTCAATTTTGCAGAATACAGGATTTTGAAGTAAGACATAATGATTCTTTGGGTTTGTTTCCTCAGTGTCTGTTGTAATGTCTCTCTTTTTTCATTTCTGATTTTGTTAAGTTTGGGTATTATCTCTCTGCCTTTTATTTAGTTTGGCAAAAAGTCTATCTTATTTTTTTTTCAAAGAATCACCTCTTGATTTTATTAGGTATTTGTATTATTTTCGTTGTTTCTAAGTTATTGGTTTCCAGGGATGTCTTATGGCCCTAAGTTTTGTTGCTTATGTTCTTATGATGACCTCTAGCCACCTGTTTATCTCTGGTGTTAGCAGGCCTGGTGGTACCTGATTGTCAGGCAGTTCAGGATTAGGCAGAGAGGGTTCTGAGCTGAACACTGGCTACTTTGCAGTGGTGGATGATATGGATCAGAGCCCATGGAAAGCTCACCTCCACTGGGTCTACTGATGTCTTTGTTTTTAATAGCTCATTAGTATTCCATTGTGTAAACATACCATATTTTCTTTATCCATTCTTCAGTTGAGGCACATTTGGGTTCTTTCCAGTTTCTGGCTATTACGAATAAAGCTGCTATGAACATGGTTGAGCAAGTGTCCTTGTGATATGGTGAAGCATCTTTTGGGTATATGACCAGGAATGATATAGCTGGGTCTTGAGGTAGAATTATTCAATTTTCTGAGAAACTGTCATATTGATTTGCAAAATGATTGTACATGTTTTCATCCCCACCCATAATATAGTAGTGTTTTATTTTCTTCACAACCTTGCCAGTGAATCTTATATTTTTAATGCATGTTCATTTGCTTCTAGATTTAGACTAGATAATGTAGAAAAATGTGCTAAGGATGCTTGCAAATTCCTAGAAAACAAACAGGAGGAGAAAAGGCCTCCCAAAGCTGATAAAGAAGCTCACATCATGGCTAACAAACTTCGAAAAGTTAGAAAATCTTTGGAGAAACAAAAGATAATGTAAGTATTTCTCGAAGAAGATTGACCACATAAAGGTTTTTACAACCCAAATGTCCTGGTAGTAAGGACACATTGAAAATGCTCTTTAGTGAAGTTCTAATTACTGCTTGGACTGTTTTGTTTATAAATTTTAGAAAGAGAATTGGGTGAAGACAAATGACCAACATCATCTATTCCTTACCTGCAAGATCAGTTTAATTCATGATTGTCAGTCTGTGTGTATTGCAGAACTTGACATGATCCCACATTGTCTGTGCACTCCACCCCGCATGATGTATTATCACAGCGTGAGGCACAGGATGCATTTGGAGCTGGATTCCAATGACAGTTTTATGCTTAGAACGTTATTGCTCTCAGCGTGTAGTTCTGCAAACTCCAGGGCCAAAATGGGTTCTCCTTCAGTGACTGTGTTAGTTGGAAACTCATATTTTCCCTGTATGATTGCAATGGTTTTTATAAACTTCAGAGTCTTCAGGTTCACCACACTGCAATGAAACAAAGATGTTTCTATAAACTTTGAAACTGGTAAATTACACCATTTGATATTCTGTCTGTTTCTCAGCTGAGGGAATCTAACTGCTACTGTTGATCCTCTAACAAGTTTGACTTTTGTTTTTACTTTTTATACTCATTTCCTGCCACTTCCTTTTAGGATATATATGAATCTATGCAATTCAGTTATTCTTCTATCTCTTTATTTTCCAGGGCCCATGAATAGAAGGAGATAGGTACTGCCTCTTTAATACCTTCATTCTTATTGCTCCCATAGTGTGTACTCATAAATTTCTTATCTGTTCTCTGAATCTTGTACTAACTCGTCAAGTATCATTGCAACAAGAGGCATACATTGATTTTCTTCTTTGCATCTCCATAGCTTGGCAGATAATAATTGTTCCAGGGATTTTTACTTTAAAACTATTTTTAAAACATTTATTATTATTAAAATTAATGAGAAATGTATTCATTAGTATTGTATTAGTATTCTTATCCACACGTTTTTCCCTTCAGCTCCTTCACTGTCCCTTCTCTCTTGAATTCATACTCTCTCTTTTTTTAATTAGTTACACACACACACCCTATTGATTCTATTTAGTGTGGTCATATGAATACACATTTAGTGTTTGCTATCTTGATGGGGACCTTGCTTCAGGCCTTCTGCATTGGAAAGCAACTGTATGATTCTTCTCTGTCTTCTGCATCCATTTCTGTAACAGGCGAAACCCCTAAAGAAACATGCACACCGAGAGCTCATTCTTGCTGGGGTCATGTTTAAGGAACTGGAAGAACATTTTGTCTATTTTCTTTAGTACTTTTATTTGGGAACAGTATTTTATTTAATGGGTTAAAAAAATCGAGCCTGTTCAGGCTGGCAGCAAGGAGGCTGCATGATCCCTGGAATTACTGTAAAACACGCAGGAGTTCCTTACAACTCTCACAGTCTTTCTCAAAAAGTCCGGGAAGCTGAACATTCTGGAATAGGTGGACACAGTCAAGTTGGGAAAACATAAGGAGCTTGCCCCCTCCGAAGAGAACTGCTCATGAGCTGCTTCCATAGCGCAGCACCTGGTATCTCTGTGGCGGGGCAGCGGTTGGCTCCATGACCAAGATCTACGGAAGATGGCAGAGAAACAGTTTCAAGGCCAGCCGCTTCAGCAGAGGCTTCACGAGTGTGGCCTCCAAGCCCTGGAGGGGCTGAAAAAGGAACAGGATGGGGGCTCAAGCTAATACCTCAGGCACAGAGACATCTGTATAGGATCACCGGACAGGTTGTAGCTGCCAACAGGAAGCATTAGAACAAAGGATACTGGGTTAATAAATTGCCTCATTTATAAAAAAAAAATAAATAAATTGAGTTAGACAACAATCTGTGTCTTTTGTAAGTGCTTTAGCACATGTTTTGAAAACTTAGGACTGGGCCCTTCTAAATAGTCATGGCATTTCCCTCGTTAAATTAATGCTAGTTGCAGGTGGTGTATTCTGGATGTATGACATGGTATGATACAAGTGACTTCATCTTCTTATATTCAGTATTATTTTATTTGCATAGTTAAGAGTCAAAAATGTAAAACAAAAAAAGTGTGCATAATCCTCGTGATTGTAAATGGGTGGTGCATTCAGGGATTCTGCAGGGTACAGAGCAATTACCTAAGTGTCTTTGCCAGGTCTATGGAGGTGTGCTGAGAAGGGCTGCCTGTGTACATGCCATAGTGAAGGGGTGTGTTCATAAGAAAATCACAAGGAAGAACGGTAGAGACACAGAAAAGCAAAGTTAAGGTGGTGTGGCTTCTGCTAGAATGAAGCCTGAACTTGGCCCCTCTGTGCAAAAAATGTCCCCGCTGATTGTTATGCTTTGAGGCAGTCAGTGTCTGAGAAGAGCTTTTGTCAGCTGAGGTTTAGTCTCACAGAATGGGACATCTGTGCACCTTTAGCAAACATTGAGAGCAGCTGCTGTGTCCATCACAAGGAGGAAGGACAGTGCCCTTCTCCTAACTGCCAAAGCAGAGTGGGAGCACACATACCTCCATCCTGAGCGTCAGGAAGGCTGAAGTAAAGAAAACGATCAACATATTAGCAAGACAATGGAAGGTCATCTGGGAAAAGAGAAACAGTGGAGGAGAACACTACAGAAAAAAAAAAAAGACACATTCATAATGGATTTATCTTGAAGGACCATAGGCTCCAGGGGCTGATGGACAAACACATTGGGAGCAGGGGAATGAATCATGCTAATATAAATGTATGAAGTAGTGATTTGGGTTGCTAAGCATGACTTAGGATACTTTGGGCTTTCTGTAGTGGTTAGACATAATATTCATTTCATAAAATTTTATTTTTTTAAAGAAATGAAAAAAGCCAGAAATCCCCCAGAAGATTGGATCAAGCACTCATGTCTGAAGCTGAACACAATTACCTCCTGAAGAGTCTGGAGAAGAATCTGGAGATTCCCCAGGACTGCACATATGCTGATCAGAAAGCAATAGATGATGAGGTCAGTATCCATAAGGGACCAGTGCTTACGTTGTTCATCGGAGAAGCCTCTTCCATGCTGACAGTGTTGGCATACTGCATGCAATCCCTGCCATAAGGGAAGTCTCCATGAGCTGGAGATGGGGTGACAGGACCCTTTGCTACATACAACACTCAAGGACCTTGCATTCCACACTTAGAAAGGATAGATTTAGAATTTGGAGATTAATTTTTGTCTTTTTGACAAACTCTTGGGTCATTACCTGTGTCTGATCTTGCATTATGTCTTTTATAAAGTCTATATATTAGAGTCAAAATTCTAGACTTGAGTGTCATATGCCCCATTGAAAAATTGGACCCCTGTAGAACAATATATTTAGATCCTGACAGCATTTCTTAAAATTAGAGTCTTTCTATATTTCAGCTAAAAGATTTCACTAAAGAGCCATTGGGATGTCTAAAATTGGTTTGCTCCATCATCTTTAAACTTTTTTTTTTGAACTATTTCCTTTTATGAACAACATATTTGATAATACAACCACTTTCAATAAAAGCAATTTCATCCTTCACACTCACATGCATATATTCACACATACTCAAATACAGACATATATACAAACTCACACATGCATGTTTTCATACATACATATGTATTTTCATTGTATTATTAATCTTTTGTCAGCTTCATAATCTGCCTAGTTTTCACTATTATGTTGTTTTAATTGATGATTGACATTCAGTCTTATATGCAGCCATACAATCAAAATAGTTAGGTATTATCCTTTTACTTTCAGAGACTTAAAAGTTCTCCCCACTCTCCAAGTGTTGATTTTTACATGTGTTATATAACTCTGGGCAGAAATGGATTTCCTCCTTAGGACATGGGTATTTTAAAGGTCTTTAATATGTCATTTGCAGTGGAAAGTAGGCATTTCTTGACCTTATTGTATAAAGGTTTTGTTTTACCTTCTGGGTAAGGGGGGAGGGACTTTACAAAAATTTCACAGTCACTTGGTCCTGTTCAGGTGGGTGTGGGCCACAGTCTTAGATTTTCCTTGGGGGGTTTGCTCTACTATTTTGGTAGTTTTCTATCCCAGAAGTAATGTGAGTCTGGGTTGGTCCATGCCAAGAACTGGGAAGATTTTTCTTGTGGTGACTGTTGTTGTTTAGAGGAAAGGCCTAACAGTGACATCACTTGGCAGGATTATTATATATTATGTATACTGTTTTCATCAATGATTTTTGATTGATTTAGAATTAGATAAGCAATACTCTAAATCTCTTGTTTCTTTTAGACTTTACGGATGGTGTTTAGTCGAGTGAAATTCGAAAGAAAAGGTGACATACTGAAGATTTTGGCAAGAAGAGGCATTGGCTATCACCACAGTTCCATGTCTGCCAAAGAAAAGCAGTTAGTTGAAATTCTCTTTAGGAAAGGATTCATTAGGGTGGGTCAGTTTTTCTTTGTAAAATTTGAAAATGTGAATATATGAAGGAGAATATTAATGAAATGAGAATACAATCACTTTTTTGAACAAAAAAAAGGAGCATGTTTTATTTTGTCAGAGGCATAAACCTCAGTTATAAAAGAATTAGAAAACGTTACTACACATCCTTAAGTATCATTCATTACAAAGCAGAGTGCAAACAGACATGAGTATAAAGAGACAGCACACGTCAGCATTTACCCACTATGTCGGGAAAAATATAAACAAGAAGTTAGATTATGTGAATAAGCGGCAAGCACTTTTCTGTTCCTAATTAGTGGTCATGCAAATTCATGACAGAAAAAGGAAACGTACTTTACTTTTAAGTCACTTCTCAGTGAACTTTAGCAAATCAATTAATTGTCAATAAGTAGGCTTGTAAGAGATTTATTGCCCTCTCACAGAGAAATTCCCCTTCTAATATATTACTTAAGATGTTTACTGTAACATTCACCACATGCTGGATGTTCTTCGCGACTATGGACACACAACAGTGAGTGATGCTTCCACTTCTGTCATTTGAATAGCAACCGAAAATCACAATTGCTATTGATGGATGATGATCCCTCAATAACATTGGGGTGACAATGTGGAGAGCAGAGAGGTAGATGGGGATGGGAGAAGATAATTATTTTAAATGTGGTGAGAGGTTCATCTGTGACATTTGTGCCACACAATTATGGATTAAAGTATATATGCTTTCAAAGCAGCATGTATTAAAATAGACTGCGTTAGAGACTGTGCTGTCTGTATTTGCAACTTTATGTTTCTTGTCCCTTAATTTGCCCATTGTAATTTAATTGCAGTTTTGAACAATGGCATGGAAATACTTGCATTCTGTCAAAATGTCAGTGTGAGGAGTCACTGTTTTGTTTCTTCTCAGGTGGTGACAGCTACTGGAACACTTGCATTAGGAATCAATATGCCCTGTAAATCTGTGGTGTTTGCTCAAAACTCAGTCTATCTGGATGCTTTAAATTTCAGACAGGTATTACAATATGCATTAACTTACTCTACATATTAATACCATAAAGCTGTGAAATAGTAAAAATAAAACATTTTATGAATTTCCTAACATGCTCAGTTCATGGCAGAGCACTGTAGGTGACTGTCTGGTATTGAGGAAGCATAGGACTATGAGATTATGTGACCACTGCTGATCATGTGTGTGATCTTGGATAAGGCATCCAATCTCCTCTCCCACCTGCAGAATCCAGTTGACCATCACTACCCCATGACAGCCACACAAACTAAATAAAGTGATTTGTGTCAAAGGATACGTATCAAAGATGGTGGGGAAACATTTACTTTCTCATTTACTGAGCATGGGTTTTCTGTTCTAGAGCCTCGTGATGCACAATTTGTTTCTAAACCACCTTCCATACTCTTCTTTGGTGGTATTTGATGGCTGCAATCTGTGCAGCCATCATTGCTATGCTCTGCCCAGTGCCAGGGGCTGATCTAACTAGGGTGTTAGGGGAGAGAGAAAAGGACAGATACACAGACACAAAGAAAAGTTGAAATCAGGTGTACTTGGCTCTCTGATGGAGAAACTGTACCATGTGGAAGCTCAGTGTTTATTACATAGAGCTGAGCAGGGAAGTAGGGTTATTGCATATAGGTGAACAAGGAGACAGGTTTGAATAAGCTCCTTAGGGGCAGCCTCTGTATGGGAGAAGTCTTCATTTGTAAAGATCTGGGAGGAGAAAGCTACAGCAGACAGTTTCTGCACACACTATTAACATGTTACCGTAAACCAGAGGAAGGATTTTCAATTGCTCTTAGGAAATAAAGGGGCTTTGCCATTCCCATGAGGTTGAGGCATTGGGACCTTGACATTTCTGCTCCCATGTCAATGACATACATTCACACAGGACTTCATTTATTTCCCTCAGAGCTTCCTGAACCCCCCGTGCATTTATCTTTCACAGCAGTCTTGACCTTATATATTGAAGCATTTTCTTTGCTTTTGATCCTTCTTGTTCTGTTATGTTCTGCAGACAGCAAAGCTCATCTTCATATAGTTTACCTTCTCAAAAATGGTCAATTAATATTTCTGCTGGCAGCCTCAAACTTAGATACATCCCCTAACACTCAAATTAGACATAACCTGTATAATAATTATTAATACATTATTATATAGTATTATAGCATATATGGTTATATCACGTATTATATGTCATAGGTAGATATGTAAGTATTATAGCAAGTAAGTAATTGACAGGAAGTGTCGATTATATATTATACAGTATATAATGTATTCGCAGTTTTAATATATCATTTTATACATATGTGTAGGTCTGTACAGTATTATACAAATAGTTGGTATGATTAGTGATAATAAGAATGATAGACATTATTTAAAGTAACTGCTTCAGACATGATGACTTTTTAGGTTTTAAGTAGAAAGATAGTCATTAGTTAATCTCCAGGTGCGTCATACTTGCTCAAAAGCAATGTAAAGGGCTTAAACTCTTTACACCGTCTTAGGAAAACCATACAGGTGATTCTCACATGATTCTGCTATATTTCCAGATGTCTGGTCGGGCTGGACGACGAGGGCAAGACCTGCTGGGTGATGTCTACTTCTTTGATATCCCTCTGCCCAAAGTAGAGAAACTCATAAAATCCAAAGTTCCTGAGCTGAGAGGACAGTTTCCCCTCAGTATCTCATTCATCCTAAGACTCATGCTGCTGGCCTCCAAGGCGGATGACCCAGAGGATGGCAAGGCAAAGGTGCTGTTTCCCTCTGTGTGGGCCTCAGCCTTCACCACTGGCCCGGATGAGCTGCTCTGCTTTCATGCCTTTCAGTGTTCTCTAGAGATGGGTGGAGGAAGATGGGGAAGAGAATGATAAATGTTTGTTTCCAGGAGCAGACAGAATTTATGAGTGGGCGGGCACTATGGCGTGCCCATGACGCTGTCTTTGTGTATGGTAGACATCATTGTGTTATACTGAAAGATGGCAACTATGATCTGTTTCTACCATTCAGATAGTGGAAGAATTTTTTTTTTTTTTTATAATTGTAAAGTAATAGTTTTTCAGAAGGCAAAATCCAAGTTCATTAAAAATGTTGATAAAATACAGAAAGTTGAATAACAAAACAAACAAAACAAAACAAAGGTTCATGCCTAGTTCTACCAAGATGATTACATTATTATTTTGGCTTTCTGTTTTTTAGACTTTTTTTTCTGAGGTATGACTACACATTTTTTAATTTTAATTTTTTATTTTTTATTATTAGTTACATTTTATTAACTCTGTATCCAGCTGTATCCATTTTATAAGATTGTATATGGACCACAAAATCAGAATGCTCTCTTGATGCTTTAGGGTCAGATAAAAGTGAGTCTGAGACTATGAATTTGAATCCTACAATTAAATGATTTGATTTCCATTTGTGTAACAATGCATTGCTAAAGGACTTGTGCTCATTTTCTGTTGGCTGTAACATAATACCACATATGAAGAGAGGTTTGTTCTGAGTCATGACTCTAGATGTTCAGTGGTGAAGGGTGGCATCTACACGTTTTTTTGAAATGTCCCAAGTCATAGGACATCACATGCTAAATAGGAAGCACACAGGCCTGTCTGGCCTCAGCCCTCCTTCCCTGTTCCCCATTCCTCTTGAAAATCATGCTCTTAGGATTTCTGGTTTCTAATCTCTTTTTTAAGTCTCAGACTTTGATGGGGTAGCTCGCATGGAGATTAGATTTCAACCTCATCTAGCAACCATTCAGACCACAGCAGGACCTCTTCTTTCCCAATTCTTTGTATTATTATAACCAGTTAAACCAAAGACTACTTCCTAAAGTGACAATCCTGGGATTTTCCTAACGAGTCTGCTAGTTTTGCAAAGCATTGTTTTGGACCAAAGTTTTTTCATTGTTTTAATTCTTTTAAAATATTTTCTCTTCCCTTTCTCCCTCTCTCCTAGACCTGTCTGTTCAACTTTCCTTCTTTCCTTCCTCCCTTCCTTCCTTCATGGCACATATGTGGTAGATCAGAAAACAAACTGAGGACAATTTGGAGGAGCCTGTTTTTAATCTGTTGGCCCTTCCGTGCCTTGTGTTCTAGGTATCTAACTCTGCTTGTATGTCTTGTTAACAACTGCCTTTACTCACTGAGCCATTTTATTGGTCTGCTTTTCTGTTCTTAAATTATACTTTTCTATAAATAACATCTTCTAATAAGACTTATTATTTTAATAATACTTTAATATTAAAATATTTTACTTATTATTTACTTATTATTTATTACTTATTATTACATACAATAAAATATTTTATTTTACTTATGATTTCTGTGTATGTATGTGTGCTGTGTGTGTGTGTGTGTGTGTGTGCACTAGCACAAATGTCAAAGCGCACATGTGTTCAGAAGACAACTTTGTGGATTCTGTTTTCTTTTCTACCTTCACATGGGTTAAAAAGATTGAACTCTCGTCTCCAGGCTTGTTCACAATCCCCTCCCACTGTTCTTTTCCCCTAGCCCAAACACTCTCTCTTCTACTTTCACATACAAACATGTTTATATCTACAGATTTAATGACAGAAAACTTCCACTGTGATGCTCTAACTACCTCTTAGCCTTGAGTATTGATATTTCACAGAGCACATTTTTTTCTGTCTCCTAGCTATGGCATCCAGACTAATCTCTTTCTTTTACAGTTAATTTGGCTTTTATTCTGCTTACCTATTGATATGAGCCTTTTGTTTTTGCTTATTTCAAATTATTTTTCCCAAGCTCTATTTACTGAAAAGTAATTTAAAGGTAGCTATTTAGTTGTTTTGTGATGATACTGTTCCTTTGTTTGTATAGTGAGGAGGTTACATACGTTCTCCACACTGGCTACATTTTATGTACAGCTCAACAGTGTTAGGCACATCCACGTTGTCAGGCTATGTTCAAGCATTTTTTGAACAAAAGGATCTTAAATTAAAATTTTGTCAATTGCTTCTTTTTATGCAGTTTCTTTTTCAGTAACAGTCGTGTTTTTTTCATATTGGAAGTCCCATTTCCCCCTTTTCTCAATTACATATTTTTAATTATGAGAGAACATAACATTTGTCTTTTGAATTACTGAGTTAAACCTTCATATTGTCGGTTCTGTTTATTTCATTGTTGTTGTTGAGACAGGGTCTCATGGAGGCCAGGCTGGCTTTGAGCTCACTATAGAGCTGAGGATGACCTTGAGTGCTGGGATTACAAACATGTGCCACTGTGTCTGGATCAGCTTTGCTCCTTAGTGACACCGGGGCAGACTTTAATCATGCATTACTTCTGGGATTGTTTGGGAGCCCTCTCCAGAGAAGATTAGAATGGGGATCAGCCATGATCTCCAATGCAGGTGACAGCATCCATTATTTTGAGGTCCTAGACAGAACAAGAGTAGAAGAAGGAGGAAGCCTTTTGGTGCAGGCTTGTGAGTTGAGCAGCAGAGCAAATGTAATAGGGTCAGGCAAGCGATGTACTGAAACTATTTTTAAAACCATGTGCCAAAAAATAAATCATTCCTCATTTAAATTGCTCTTCTCAGATGTTTTGTCGTAGCGATGAAAATGCTAACACATCATGCTAGTGTGACTTTAACGACAGGGTCTATACCCTTAGGACACAGTGAATCACATAGTTTCTCTCCCCAAACTCCCCTACTGCTTTGCTGTTTTCCAAATGCTGCCTCCTTTGGTTCCAGAACACAAGGAAAAGGATGTGGTAATAAAGGCAACTTTTGGCTCCCTTCATAACTGATTGTAAAAGAGATGGAGAAGTCACACCTTTTCTTTTTCCCTTCATTCTACCATTAATTGTATTGGACTTAAATAAGTAGTAGCTGGAGAACATGCGTGGATCTTGTAGAGGACCTGAGTTTAGTTCCCAGCACCCATGTTGGGTGTCTCACAACAGTCTGTCGCTCCAGCCCTGGAGGTCTGATGCTGTCTTCTGGATTCCACGAGTACTTGCATGCACTCTCCCAGCAACCCCACCACTACCACGTATACACAAGATGAAAAATAGAATAGTTCTTTCTTACTTTTGTTGTTTCTAAAGGGACAGCGGAGATTCTTCCTGTGTTCTATAAACTGTACAACCTAAGGGCAGACACGTTTCCATCTGAGTGATTGCTTTTATTGTGACTTCACCGATAGTTGAGAGAGAAGTTGAATGTTACACACAAAACCATGCTGCTTGACACTGGAAACAAAGCAGTATTTTCTTTCTTTTGGCTCCAGCCAACCTCCTTCTATCCCCGTCAATAATATTGCAGAGATAGAAAACTTTATCTTTTTTTCTGCCTCTATGTAACTTACTTACTGTACTCTCTGGAACGGGAATGTCCTTTACACTCAGACTGTTTGGGGATGATTTTGTCTGTGACAATCAGGACAGGAGCAGGGCTGCAGAAAGGCAGGCACTGCAGGAGTTGCTGAGAACTCTCATCTTGAGACTACAGGATAGAGGCAGAGAGCTAGCTGGGGATTTCACAGACTCTTCAAAATGGAAGACTGACACTTTCTAATTCTTCCCAAACAGTTCCACAAAGTGGGGAGCAAGCCTATGAGTGAGCCTATGAGCCTATGAGGTCACTCTCATTCATCTGCCACCGCTCTCTTTTCTGTGTTAAAGGAAGTATGTGCTATGTCAGATGATGTGCTGAATTAAACTGGAAATCTAACTGATTGTGTATATTGCTGCTGTGCTGTATGATATTATTCATCTCATATATGCAGTGGGTGACCAAGGACACCAAAAGGAGCCATTAAGACCACCCCCTTTTTCCTTGTGTGCTGTAGTCGGGGGGGGGGAGCACTTGGAAAAGAGTAGGGGAGGAAGGGAGCAGTCGATGTTTCACTGCCTTTAAAGGTACAAGCCTTGTAACTCACATTATATATATAAAAGATACGTGATATATCTCTATCTATCTGTGTGTGTGATATGTAATTTAGCCCACTTTTATCTCTTTTAAAGACATTTCATTCACTTAGTGTTGATTACTGAAAATGTTTTTCTTTATAGGCACTGTCAGTGCTGAAGCATTCATTGCTATCCTTCAAACAGCCCCGGGCCACAGACATGTTAAAGCTTTACTTCTTGTATTCCTTACAGTTCCTGGTGAAACAGGTAGGAGCCAAACCTCTCTCCCCAACCCCTGTATCTGTAGAATAGATTTGCTGCTATGTATATTTTTATAAAGTAGCAGATCTTTGATTTTTTCCATTTATTTTTAAAATTTCATTTACATATGAATATGTGTGAGTATATGTGTGTGTGTGGGGGGGGTTGCCTATGGAGACAAGAAGAGGATTTGAGAAGCCTGAACCTGGCGTTACAGCTAACTGTGGGGCATTCAGTGTGGATTCTGGAAAACTGCTCAGGCCCCCGGAAGAGCAGCATGTCCTCCTCACTGCTGAGCCATCTCTCCAGTTCTGAATTTTTATTTTTAGCCACATTGCATCATTGTAATCTTTAGAAGGCAATATTCAGTGAGTACTGTTAGTTGTAATTCATGTAATTATTAAAGTTAGGCCAGTTTACAGTTACCATCTTATTGACATTATGTACTATTTTAAACTGACAATGAGTAATTTACTTGTTACTAGTTCCGTGAGTTGAGCCTAAATAACAAATTATTTTTGTTCTTTAGGGACATATAGATCAGGAAGGTAATCCTACAGGGTTTGCTGGCCTTGTATCGCATTTACACTACCACGAACCATCTAATCTCATATTTGTCAGTTTCCTTGTAAAAGGTCTTTTCCATAAACTTTGTCAGCCAATTAGTAGAGGTAAGTTTGACGTCTGTGTTTTCTGTTTTGTGTCTGTGTATTATTGAAATATTGTTAGCATATAAATAATTTATCTTCAGTAGTATATTCATATATATATAATATGATATAATGTGATATGTAATACATATGTGTAATATGTATTTTACACGTAACTATATGTGTAAATATATACACAGACACAAACATATGTATGTAATTCATGTTATTATTAAAGTTGGACCAGTTAATAGTTACTGACATTATGTACTATTTTAAACTGACAATGAATAATTTACTTGTTACTAATTCTGTGAATTACTATATATATGTGTGTGTGTATTTGTGTATATATGTACATACAATATATATACATACATTATATGTGTATATATTTACTTATATATGTAAAGTCTTCCATAGATGGATGGATAGATAGATAGATAGATAGATAGATAGATAGATAGATAAATGTAAAGTCTTTTCCTGATGGAAAAAAACCTGATAGATTTATAGAAAATAACTCTACTACTAGGAGTCCCCTATCCTCCCAGAAGCCTATCCTATCTTAGGTCTCCAGCTTGTCACAGAGATGTCTGTGCCCATGTTTTCTTTCTTCTCTATAGCCCTCTGTCCTCTCACCCCCAACTCATCCCAGGTCTGGTATCCACCTTCACCTTCATTTCTCTCTGTGACCCCTCTCAACCTGTTCCCTGTCTTCATCGTCTTCCATTTTCTATCCTATTTATCCTTCTGAGTGAGGGTCCTCCCTTGGGTCCTCATTGTTACTTCATTGTTACTTAGTATTCTATCCTGTACTTTATGGCTAAAATACACTTATAAGTGAATACATACCATGCATGTCTTTCTGGTTCTGGGATACCTCACTCAGGATGATCTTTTCTCATTCCATCCATTTGCCTGAAAATTTAATGATTTCCTTGTTTTTGATAACCCAGTAGCATTCTGCCATCAGCTTTTCATTGACAGGTGACACTTCTATACAATACAAAATAGATTTTGCCTACAAGTTTCGGGTATTTTGTTCAGTGTTGAGAAGATTGTTGACTAAGTGATAGAGGCTGTGGTGGTTTGAATGAGAATGGGCCCCCTTGGCTCAATGCTTGGTCAACAAGGAGTGGGACAATTTGGAAAGATTAGGAGGTATGGCTTTGTTGGAGGAAATGTGTCACTGGGAAGTGAGGTTTGAGGTTTCCAAAGCCCATGCCAAGTCCAGAATCTCATCTCTTTTCCTGCTGTCTGTGGATCTGATGTAGAACTCTCAGCTACTTAGACCCATTACCATGTCTGCCTGAGTGCCACTATGCTCCCCAAAATAATGATAATGGATGAAGCCTCTGGAACTGTAAGCAAACCCCAATTAACTGCTTTCTTTTATAAAAGTTGTCATGGTCATGGTGTTTCTTCCCAGTAAAACAAAGCAGAAATTGATACCTGCAATGTGATATTGCTGTGACAAGCTTGACTGTGCAGCTTGTAGGTAGAATGTGGATTTAGGATTAGGAAAGTCTTTGAACATTTTAAGTGGGGCTTAACGGGCCAAAGAGTTAAGAGCAGGGAAGAAACGGTGCTGAGAAAAATGCAGATTATGACATCTTAGTCCAGGAGGTTTCAGGGGAGATGAATATTAAGTGGCCTAGAGACTGTGTATGTGTGTGTGTGCATGTGTGTATGATATTTTGGCAAAGAATTTTCTGCTCTTAGCCAAAAAAGAGCCAGAGGCTAAACTGAAGAGTTCTGTATTAATGTTGAGACTGGGATAGATTATGGAAACTTGTGAAGTTAAACTAAATTCATGATGCACTATGATATGGCTATAAACCTCTGCTGTCCAAGAAGTGGAATAAGGAGGCTCGTAGATTCGAACACATGCTCAGCAAGGAGTGTCACTATTTGAAAGGATTAGGAAATGTGGTCTTTTGGGGAGGAAGGGTGTCTCTGGGACATCTTAGGAGTCCATAAAACCACTAATTGATTAAATTTTAAGGCACATATAGGCACAGAGAATAAGAAAAAAAAAGAGTGAAGAATGTTTCAGAGCAGGGAGGTGAGAGGAATTATGGTGATTCACACACCATATTATCAGCTCAGCCTTTCCTAATTATCAAGGAAGGGCTTTCAGATTACTTGGCATGGTTGAGTGCATGATACAGACATGAGTCTATTGATGTTTTGGTCTGCTTCTTATAACTCAGTGCTTGATTTAAATCCAATAAGAAAAGGAATAGATTCATATGGTAAAATAAATGAAAAAAAAATGCGACTAAGAAATGTTCAAAAACATTCATGTCAGAGAATTTATTTCAAATCCATATTGTAAAGCTTGAAATGTCTTTATTTAAAACATTACATATTTTGATTAAATTTAGAATAATTTTGGAAGTTGATGTGAAGTTTCCTGTATTGGAACAGTGATGTGGATTTTAAATTATTACTGCAGAGCATCACATAAATTTCACTCACCAATATCCATAGGTGTATGGGAGAAAGCTCTGCAAGGATGAGCAGGTAGTGATATTGCAGATGGATCTGAAAACTACTCCCATTATCTTGTCAAGCAGCAATCACAGTAGCAAAGATCCATGTGGTGGTTTGAATAGGAATGGCTCCTACAGGCTCATAGATTTGAATGCATTTTCATTCAGGAGTGGTACTAATTGAGAGGGATTAGGAGGTGTGGCCTGGTTGGAATAGGTATGGCCTTTTTGGAGGATGTGTGTCATTGGGGTGGGCTTTGGCATTTTGAAAGGTCAAGTCAGGCCTAGTGACTCTGTCTTCCTGCTGCTGATGCAGGATGATTAAGATGTATAAAACTCAACTTCTTCCCCAGCTCCAAGTCTGCCTGAGTGTCACCAGGCTCCCTGCCACGTTGATAATGTTCTAAATCTTTTAAACTGTAAAGAAGCCCCAATTAAATGATGATTTATTTTGTAACAGTCACCATGGTTGCAGCAATAGAACATTGACCAAGATAAAGACATTATCATAAATTTGATCATTCATTGGGAGATGGGTCAAAGTGAGCAAAGTCTGGATCAGAGAATGAAGTAATTTGTAATTGGAAAGACAAAGATGAAGGTAAAAGCAGGAATAAAAATACCAAAGATGAGAAGTTTCTGCAGCTAATGTTATTCTACTATTGCAATAAAATAAACCCAACAATTAATTTAAATGTGAAGAAAATTGATCCAACTCCTTTTTACAAATACGGCATGGAACTTTTGTTTTGTATAGACCCAAAACGTTTTTCAGAAGATGTCATGGAAAAACTGGTTTTAGTGTTGGCAAATCTATTTGGAAGAAGATATTTCCCAGCCAAGTTCGGAGATGTTAATGCCAAGTTTTATCAATCAAAGGTAAAATCTTCTGATAAAGCTAACTAATAGTAGTACACAGATTCCATCAGAAATGTCTCAGCAGCAATAAGATTCTATAAATATGGGGTAAGTAATGTATTTTGTATGCTAGCCTGGCTTTTTTGGAAATAGTGCAGTGTTTATCTGTAACTCAAACATAGCTCTGTGAATCTATTCAAACTTAACATGCCTTTGAGGTAACTAGGCTGAAAGTACATTCATGTTTTTAGTTGACTGCATCAAAATACAACATTAATGAAAAGGTGTACAAGGGCTGGAAGGTGGCTTGGCTGGTGAAGTGATTGCCAGGCAAGTTGAAGCTCTGAGATTGCATTCCCGGTACACAAATGAAAAAAAAATGTGTCTGGTGGCACACAATGTATTCTAAGAGCTGGGGAGGCAAAGTCATGTGGGTCCCTAGACCTGGCAGGGGCTGAGTAGTTTAGGGGAGAACTCCAGTTATGGTGAGAGACCTTGCTTCAAAAAATAAGATGAACACCTGCACACTTAATAGCATGTACACACACACACACACACAGTAATTACACATTTAAGCCCCAAAGCCACCCTCACTGTTGAATGTATGTCTTGAGATAAGACTGTATCTCACAGTGCCTTCTCTTAGGAAGTGTTGCAAAGTTACCTGGGAAGTTGTCCTTTGACTTCTAGAGTCTAAATTTTGGAAAGAGTTTTTCAATTTTAGTATTTTCATCTTTCTTGGTTAGTTTTGAAAAGGTACATTTGTCCATTTAATTAAAACAGTTACATTTATTTGCATGAGATCAGTTGTAGCGCGCGCGCGCGCGCGCGCGCGCGCACACACACACACACACACACACCGTGCTATTTTTTGGTGCTTTGAGTTGGGTCTGTTCGTAATGTCTGAGTGACTTTATGATGTAGCACTGATGGTATGGTTGACACAGGCAGAATTCTTTTCTGCACAGTTCTTTAGGTCCAGAAGTCTTAAATGAAGGTGCTTTCTAGGTTGTAGTTAGCTATTAAAAGGAAAAAGTAAAACTACGACAAATTAGAGATAGAGCACTTTCATATGTACAGGTTGAAGAATAATTGTTAGCACAGTGAATATAAATAAGGGTTTCAAAGCCTCTCAACCAGGTGCAGGTGATTGCAAGCTTGCAAATATGCTTTATCTTCTTTGCTCTGAAAATGCGTCCCTCGGTGCTTTGTATTACTCATGAGTCCAATGGCATTTGAGGACACAATTCTATTTTTACAAAAGTTGTTTTGATTAAGTTGCATTAGAGTAAATATTGTGAGTAGAGTATTTACTTTTACAAGTGCAAATAAGAACAATGTTTCGTTTTCTATTATTATTATTTACAATTTATTCCCTTTGTATCCTGGTTGTAGTCTCCTCCTTCATCTCTTTCAGGTCCCACCCTCCTTTCATCTTCCTCTCCTATCCCTCTTCCCTAGTCCACTGATAGGAGAAGTCCTCCTCCCCTATTGTCTGACCCTAGCCTATCAGCTTCCACCATGACTGCCTGGATCCTCTTCCTCTATGGGCTGGTTAGGTCGCTCTCCCAGGGAGAAGTGACCAAGGAGCAGGCAGCCAAGTTCATGTCAGAGACTGTCTCTTTTCCCCTTACTAGGAAACCCACATGGAGACTGAGCTGTCTATGGGCTACTTCTAAGCAGAGGACCTAGGTTCTCTCTATGCACCGTTTTTGGTTTGATGCATCTATCTCTAGAGTCCCCCTTGGACCCAGCTTTGTGGTGTTTTTTTCTATGTTGGTCTCTTTGTGGGGTTCCTGTCCTCTCTGGGTCCTTCAATATTGCCTGTCTATCATAAGACTCCCTGTGCTTTGTCCAAAGTTTGGCTGTGAGTCTCTGCTATTTCTTAAACCCCAGTTAAACCATGAAAAGAAAAAAAAAGTGGATTTATTGAAAACAAAATTATATTATGTGGTCTTTTATTCTGATTTTTGGGGAAGGTATTGAACTCTCTGTGAAAACCCTTTGGCTTCTAGGTATTCCTTGATGACCTTCCTGAGGATTTTAGTGATGCCCTGCTTGAATATAACATGCAAGTGACAGAGGACTTTGCTTCTTTTCTGCTAATTGTGTCCCAACTGGCTGACATGAAACAGGAGTATCAACTCCCCTTGTCAAAAATTGGTAAGATTATTTTAGTTGCACTCTGAAGCAATTTAGTAGTAGTCTTGCCTAAGGACTTGTCAGATGGATATCAGGTGGGTGGTTGGGCTTCACTCTACTGTGTGTATCTCTGAAGGAAGGCACTCTAGAAAAGTAAGCCTGCCTTAGAATAATTGGGATCTTTTTGCTTAGGAAACAAAGGAAGTTGGTGACTGACACTTAAAAGGACAGTGGAGAATGAAACTAACACTGTTGCCATTAGTGTTTGAACTCTATTTTACTTGGAGTTCCTTAATGCCTCTACCTCTTTTCCAGGTGCACCCCTCCTCCTCCACCACAGGTAGGAGAGAAAGAAAGTTAGAAGGGATGGGACATAGACCTCTTTAGCTACTTCCAGCTATTTAGGGTCCTTGGGTTCTTTGGAAAAATAATAATCTCAGTCAGGATATCCAGCAGTCCAGCAGAACTAGCAGGCTTCTTCTCTTTCTGCCTGTCTTCTTGAAGAGACTTCTCTCTTTTGTTGAGTCCTCTGAAGCTTCTCTGAGCTCTGGTATTTATACCCTCTCTGAGTCCTCAGAATTAAGCTAACTGCAGCTGGAAAAGACCACACTGCTCTTTGAGCTGCAAGAGGCTGTTATCATCTGGCACAGACCATGTCCCTCAGGAGACAATGATCAGTTAAGAGCAGTACCATATCCCACACTTGGGATTAAAACAAAAACTTGCTTATATAACATAACTGAATTTTTAAAGAGACCAAAGCTTCCACTACATAAAACAAACCAAGTCATTTATAAACTGTTTTGATTGAGGGTTGACTCTGGATTCGTTCTAGAAAATTGAGCAAGGATGTCTCTGAGACAAGAGAAACAAGAGGAATTCTATGAGTACTTTTCAGGACAGGCTTGATGTTGATTGTCATAAACGTTGGGCAGATTCCCTGACTCTCACTTCTTACCTCTGAAACTGGAGCAAGTGATGCCATAATTATGTCCTTTGCTTTATGGATGGACATTTGAGAAAGAGAATAGTATTTAGTATTGTAGAACTTCAGATGATTACTTTTTTAAAATTTTGTATTAATTACACTTTATTCACTTTGTATGCCCCCTGTAGCTCCCTCCCTCTTCCCCTCCCAACTTCTCCCTTCCTCTCCCTTCTCCACGAATACCCCCAGATGATTACCTTTAAATGATTAGTGTACGTGAGTATCCTGAAGTAGGGCTTAGTATATGGTAAAACAGTTCTTTTTGGTTGTTGTTATTCATAACCAATAGGCAGAAGCCTTCTAAGAGATTATAAAGAGAAAAATGCTGACCGAGATATAAAGTTTTGAGTTGGGGAGACATGTCTGTGGTTCCCTTATATCCTGACATGTTCAGCTGGAGAAATTCAAGGAAGTGAAGTGTGTACCCTCTTAGAGTCTACAAATGTAGGGGCAGCAAGAACAAGAGTAAATAGTGGTGGTGGGCACAAACCTCACAGGGCAGATGAGATGGGTGCAGGTGGATGCTCTGCCTCAGTGACACACTAGAGCCCCCTTTGTTTCTATGATCTTGAGTTTTCTAAGAACAGTAATGTATAATGTACATATTCTCATAACCATTTCCAAGCCTACTGATGGCGGACTCTTAGAACACCGTATTTAGTCTATTCCCACAGTACTCTGACCATGCCCAGTTTTGTCTGATTTGGAAGCCTTAGTACCTGGCGAATCTATGTCTGAGAAGATTCTAAGGCCAAGTCTGAATTCAGCAGGGAAACATTTCTAAATATAAGAGATCCATTTAGAAAATTTTCTAGTTTAATAACTTTTGACTGATCAAAAGCATAGTACATATTTTGCAAAAGTGATATTAATACAAATGGCTAACATTTAATGAATGTAACTGGCTAGGCTCTATTTTATATACCAATTCAGTCTTCATTGTGTGGTGCCGGCTAGGTTCAATGACTTCCTATCTAGCATGGCTTAGCTCTCATACAAGGAAATGAGAGTTGGCACTGAGCTACAATTAAAAATAAATCTTCCAGGCATGGTGAGGTCTGCCTTTAATTCCAGCATTCAGAAGCAGGAGGATCTCTATGATCAATCTGGCTTATACAGAGAGTTATAGGCCTCCAAGGGATGAAGAGTAAAATCTTTTCTCAAAGGAACAACAAACAAGAAATTCAAACAAGAACCGAAAAGGGATCTTTCTTAACTTATTCTGTTCAGAATTCACAGGTAAGGAGTGTGAAGACTCGCCACTTGTGTCTCACCTGATGAACTGTGTGGAGGGAAGAGTGGCAGTTTCACCATTTGTCTGTCTGTCTGGAAACTTTGATGTGGATTTGCTTCATCCAGGAGTTCCAGATCATGTAAGGAAACACTGATGTTTATTAGTTTGGATTTGTGGAGCTTTTGCTCCGGAATTCGTGGTGTCTTGTATCAGAATGCTGCTGAGGCTCTGGAATTCTAGCAGCATATAAATGCTATATTTAACACACACACACACACACACACACACACACACACACACACACACACACACTCTTTCTATTGAAAGAAAAATAATTATTTTAATTAAATTTTTATTTTTATATTAATTACAGTTTATTCACCTTGTATCCCAGCTGTACCCCCCTCCAACCTCCCCTTCCAATCCTACCCTCCCTCCCTCATCTCTTCGTAGGCCCCTCTCCAAGTCCATGCATAGGGGAGGTCCTCCTCCCCTTACATCTGACCCTAGATTAGCCGGTCTCATCTGAATGGGCTGCATTGTCCTCCTCTGTGGCCTGGCAAGGCTGCTCCCCCATCCAGGGGAGGCGGTCAAAGTGCTACCCACTGAATTCACATCACAGACAGTCCCTGTTCCCCTTACTAGTGAACCCGCTTGGATACTGAGATGCCATGAGTTACATCTGAGCAGGGGTTCTAGGTTATATCCATGAATGGTCGTTGGTTGAAGTAGCAGTCTCAGAAAAGACTTCTGTGCCCAGATATTTTAGTTCTGTTGCTATGCTTGTGGAGCTCCTGTCCTGTCCAGGTCTTACTATCTCCCCCTTCTTTCCTAAGATTTCCTGCACTCTGCCCAAGGTTTGGTTATGAGTCTAAGCATCTGCTTTTATACAATGTTGGGTAAAGTCTTTCAGAGGCCCTCCATGGTAGGCTCCTGTATTGTTTCCTGTTTTCTCCTTCTTCCAATGTCTGTCCCATTTGCCTTTCTGAGTGAGGATTGATCATCTTACCCAGGGTCCTCCTTTCTTACTTTCTTTAGGTGTACAGATTTTTGTAGGTTTATCTTATATAATATGTCTAGTATCCACTTCTAAGTGAGTATATACCATGTGTGTCTTTCTGTTTCTGGGATACCTCACTCAGGATGATCTTTTCTAGTTCTCTCCATTGGCCTGAAAATTTCATGATTTCCTTCTTTTTAATTGCTGAGTAGTATTCCATTGTGTAAGTTTACCACAATTTTTGTATCCATTCCTCATTTGAGGGACATCTGGTTGATTTCCAGGTTCTGGCTATTACGAACAAAGCTCTTATGAATATGGTTGAACAAATATCCTTGTTGTGTACTTGAGCATCTTTTGGATATATGCCAAAGAATGGTATAGCTGGATCCTGAGGAAGTGCTATTTCTAATTGTCTGAGAAAGTGTCATATTGATTTCCAAAGTGATTGTATAAGTTTACATTCTCACCAGCAATGGAGGAGGGTTCCCCTTTCTCCACAATCTCTCCAGCATTTATTGTCACTTGGGTTTTTGATCTTGGCCATTCTGTTGGGTGAAAGGTGAAATCTCAGGGTCATTTTGATTTACATCTCCTTGGTGACTAAGGACATTCAAGCATTTCTTTAAGTCTTTCTCTGCCATTCTGTATTCCTCTACAGAGGATTCCTTATTTAGCTCTGTACCCCATTTTTAATTGGATTACTTGATTTGTTGCTTTTCAAATTCTTCAGTTCTTTATATATTCTGTATATTAGACCTCTGTCAGATATAGGGTTGGTAAAGGTCCTTTCCCAGTCTGTAGGCTGTTGTTTTGTTCTGACAACTGTGTCCTTTACTTTACAGAAGAGGCTTTTCAGTTTCATGAGGTCCCATTTATTGATTGTTTATCTTAGAGCCTGTGCTGTTTGGTGTTCTGTTCAGGAAGTTGTCTCCTGTACAAATGAATTCTCGGCTCTTCCCCACATTTTCTTCTAAATGATTTAGCGAGTCTGGTTTTACGTTGAGGTCTTTGATCCATTTCGACTTTAGTTTGTGCAGGGTGATAAATATGGATCTATTTGCATTTTTCTACATATAGACATTCAGTTAGACCAGCACCATTTGTTGAAGATGTGGTTGTTTTTCCATTGAATGGTTTTGGCTTCTTTTTCAAAAATCAAGTATCTATAGGTGTGTGTGTTTATTTCTGGGTCTTCAGTTTTATTCTATTGATCCTCCTTTCTGTTTCTATGCCAATACCATGCAGTTTTTATTACTATTGCTCTGTAGCACAGCTTGAGGCTGGGGATGGAGATAACTCCAGATGATCTGTTGTTGTGCAGGATCATTGGCAATTCTAGTTTTTTCGTTTCTCCGTATGAAGTTGAGAATTTTTCTTTCACGTTCTGTAAAGAGTTGTGTTGGTATTTTGGTGGGAATTGCATTGATTTTGTAGATTGCTTTTGGCAGGATGGCCATTTTTACTATGTTAATTCTACTGATCCATGAGCACGGGAGATCTTTTCATCTTCTGATATCTTCTTCAAATTCCTTTCTTCAGAGACTTGCAGTTTTTTTCTAACAGGTCTTTCACTTGCTTGGTTAGAGTCACCCCAAGGTACTTTATGTTATTAGTGGCTATTGTGAAGGGTGTTGTTTCCCTGATTTTAATCTCGGCCCTTTTGTCTTCGGCATACAGAAGGGCTTCTGACTTTTTTTAGTTAATTTTGTATCCATCCACTTTGCTGAAGGTGTTTATCAGCTGAAAGATTTCTCTGGATGAATTTTTGGGATGGCTCATGTAGAGCAACCTGATCTTGATTTAATTTTGGTAAATGGACTCTATCAAGAAAATTGTTCATTCCTTTAGATTTTCAAATTTTGTGGCATATTAGCTTTTGTAGTAAGACCTAATAATCATTTGGATTTCTCCAATGTCTGTTGTGATGTCCCCTTTTTCATTTCTGATTTTGCTGATTTGGATAGTTTCTTTCTGCCTTTTAATTAGTTTGGCTAAGGGTTTGTCTATCATGTTGATTTTCTCAAAGAACCAGCTCTTGGTTTCATTGATTCTTCGAATAGTTTTATTAGATTCTAATTGATTGATTTCAGCCCTGAGTTGATTATTTCCAGCTGTCTGCTCCTCTTGGATGTATCTGCTTCTTTTTTTTTTTTCTAAGGCTTTCAGGTGGGCCATTAAGTTGCTTGTATGAGATGTTTCAAATTTCTTTTTGAAGGCACTTAGTGCTATTAATTTTCCTCTGAGCACTGCTTTCATTGTGTCCCATAAATTTGGGTATGTTGTACCTTCATTTTCATTGAATTCTAGGAAGTCTTTAATTTCTTTCTTTATTTCTTCCCTAACCCAGCTGTCATTGAGTAGGGAGTTGTTCAGTTTCCATACATGTGTAGGCTTTTAGCTATTTCTGTTGTTGTTGAGGTCCAGCTTTAGTCCATGGTGGCCAGATAGAGTACAGGGATTATTTCAATCTTCTTGTATCTGCTGAGGCTTGCTTTGTGACCAACTATATGGTCTATTTTGGAGAAGGTTCCCTGAGGTGCTGAAAAGAAGGTATATTTTTTTGAGTTTGGGTGAAAAGTTCTGTAGACTTCTATTAGGTCCATTTGATTTAAGACCTCTGCAAGTGCCTTTATTTTCCTATTTAGCTTCTGTCTAGATGATCTACCCCAGCTACCCCAGCTTGTTTTCTGGATCCATTTGTTTGGAAAACTTTTTTCCAGCCCTTTACTCTGAGGTAGTGTTTACTTTTGTTTCAGAGATGTGTTTCTTGGATGTAGAGGAATGTTGGATCCTGTTTCTACAACCATTCTGCTAGTCTGTGTCTTTTTATTGGAGAGTTGAACCCATTGATATTGATAGATAATAGTGACCAATGACTGTTTGTTCCTTTTATTGTGGAGTTGGTAGTCTTACTGTGATTCATTGCTTTTTTTCTTTTCTTTTTTTGGTGAAAGTTATCTGTATTCTATGTTTTCTTGGGTGTAGTTGTTTTCACTGAATAGGAGTTTTCCTTCTATTATCTTCTGTAGGGCTGGGTTGCTGTGTAGATATTGTTTAAATTTAGTTTTGTCATGGAATATTTTGTTTTCTTCATCTATGTTGATTGAAAGCTTTGCTGGATAGAGTAGTCTGGGCTGGCATCTGTGGTCCTTTAAGGTCTGCATGACATCTTCCCAGGCCCTTCTGACTTTCATAGTTTCTGTTGAGAAATCTGGTGTGATTCTGATAGGTCTACCTTTATATGTTACTTTGCCTTTTTCCCTTGCTGCCTTTAATATTTGTTCTTTGTTCTGTAGGTTTAGTGTTTTGATTATGATGTGACATGAAGAGTTTCTTTTCTGGTCTAGTCTGTTTGGTGTTCTGTAGGCTTCTGTATGTTTATGGACATCTCTTTCTTTAAGTTAGAAAAATTTTCTTCTATTATTTTCTTAAAAATATTTTCTGGACCTTGGAACCTGGTATCTTCTTTTTCCTATTATTCTTAGATTTTGTCTTTTCATGGCATCCTTGATTTCTTGGATGTTTTGTGTTAGGGACTTTTCTGATTTTACTTTTTCTTTGAGAGAAGTATCAATTTCAGCAAGTGTATCTTCAGCACCTGAGATTCTCTCTTCCATCTCTTGTATTCTGTTGGTGATGCTTACTTTTGTGGTTCCTGATCTTTTCTCTAGGTTCTCCAGCTACAGGGTTTTCTCTGTTTGTGTTTTCTTTATTGATTGTAATTCTGTTTTCACGTCTTGCTCCGTTTCCTTCATCTTTTTGAATGTGGATTCCTGTGTTTCTATGATAGCTTTTTTGTTTGTTTGTTTGTTCGTTTCCTCTTTATATGCCACTAATTATGCCTCTACTTGTGTGGCTGTATTTATCTGTATTTCTTTGAGAGCTTTGTTCATTTCCTCTTTAATTGCCTCTACTCATGTGACTATTTCTTTGAGAGCTTTGTTTGTTTCCTCTTATTTGCCACTACTTGTATGGCTATTTTTCTGAAGATTTGTTCATTTCCTTTTATGTGCTTCTAATAACTGGATAAGCATAGCTCTAAAGTTATTTTCCTGTGTTGCTGATGAATTAAAATATCCATTGATTTTGGGGGTTGTTGGTGGAGCCATGATGTCCTCATTTTTGTTGGGTGTGTTGTCACACTGGCCATCTGCTTATCTGTAACCTTCACTGTTTGTTCCTGGCGTTTGTACTTCAGACTGTATCTGTCTTTCTCTGGTGTCTGGAGTATTCTTCAGGAAGATGAGAGAGGTCCACTGGTTTGAGACTGTATGTTGGTGTTTCACCTGTACCTAAGGGAAGAAAAGCTGCTGGTGCAGAATCGCAGTTGCAGGGGAGCAGGCTTGTGCATGTGTGTAGAAGTGTGTCTTGAAGGAGAGAGTGCTAGAGTGTCGATGCTTGGAATGTGTGGGAGGGAGCAGGTGCAGGAGGGTGCGGATGCTAGTGCTGTTAGTGGGTGCAGTTCGCGGGCACAATGCACCTGTGCTGATTCCCTGAACACCTCAGTGGTCTACAGTCCTGTCATGCTGTCGTTCTGGTATTCAGACCTGTCTGGGCTCCAGTAATTATTTGCCTCGACTTCACTGGTAGACCCGCAGTTCAGACACTTCAATGTTGATAATGCTGTCCCAAGAATCCTTATGTTGCCGCAGAACCTGGGGCCCTGTGTTGCAGTCCCCTGGGAGTCCAGCCACTGTGGCAGAACTAGGAGGCCACTGGCACAGATGCTTTCTGGAAGGCCCTGGGGAGCCGGGGCCTGGTTGGCTTGATGGATCCGTCGGCACTGCTCTCTGTGCTAGGGCACAGCTGACAAGACTCTGTTCTCTGTGGCTGGTGCTGTGGGCCACATCTGCAGCCTCAGCTTCTACCAAGGAGGGAGAAGGGAGTCCTATCGGGAAATGCCAGGGGACTGTGTATTCTCTGTCTCAAATCTCAAGCCAGGGGATCTGTGCTTGGAGCAGCCAGCACTGTGCTCTGTGCTAGGAGCTGTGTGCACTGCGGGCCTCTGCTGCCTCTGCTGCTGCCTCCACACGTTAAAGGGGAAGTGCCTGGGAACTGAGTCCCCAAGGAGAAGTCCACGGAGAAGCCCGTGGTTGACCTGAATCCTATTGGTCTCAGTTCAGGGTTTGTCCCCTTTCTCCCTGGAAACCTCGATGTCATTGTTTGGGGTTCAGCTGCCCCTCCACTGAGCAATTTCGGAGTTTCAGATCTTCTGCCCCTCGGATACAGTGGTGCTGGATCCCCTCAGTAACAATCATTCTTATTTCCCCGTTGATATGTAAAATTTCCATGGTGATTAGAAGGGTGGTGATACAACAGAATAGACTAGAAAATCTCTTTCTTGTTGCTGCAAAATCAGCATCAGTTAGAAAAGACCTAGGAGAATGCAGGACTTCATTACTAGTCATCCTTGCTGCCCACAGAGTTCTAGGGAACAGGTTTTGCTTCTTTTTCCTTCACTGTGAAGCAAGTGGCATAGGTATTGAGATTCACGTTACTTGATTACATTCTGCTGTTTGATTGACCCAATTTACTCTATTTAAACTTTTTTTTTACTAGCACAATTTACACTCTCTTAAAATTTCACTTACTTGTAGTATTTATTAAACAATAATGTTATATTCTAATACTTCTAGATGGCTTATGAAGAATAGGCACATAGTGGGTACCCGTGAGCTGAGGACTAATAAGCTTCTCCTTTATTTCATTTCCTTATGTTACACTGAAGTTACTTAAAATTTCAAATTCTTCTGAAAAAAAGTTATTTTACAAATAAATAACTTTTTACTTATGTTTTTGTTTTATTTTCCAAAAATGAAGGAATGGTTAATTATAGTCTCATAAGTGTATCTTTTTCTATGTTTAGTTTTATGTCTGTAAGAGTCACTCATGTTTAGACATGAAGCTCTAGCTTATTTTCTGCACACCAGTACTTTACAATATAAAACTGCATTACTCTGTCTTCTGTTGATGTTTGGTCTGTTTTTAGTTCTTTGTTGCTACAAACACTGTTGGTATTAATGTCTGGTGCACATGTGCATTTCTCTTGGATGTAGACTTTGTGGGTCCTAAGAAAATAGAAATATTAAAATATTTATGACTACCCATGACTCCCAACTCACTTTAGTTGGGGCCAGTTTACAGCATCACTGACCCCATGTCAGAGCTCCTGCTGATTACATAAGGAAAGGTTTGCAGAAATGAACAGACACAGAAAACTACTATTTGCTTTCTTCTTCTTTTCCTTCTTCTTCTTCATTGTTTTTGTTCTTTGCCATCTCTATTCTTTTTATGTTGATGATTCTGAAGATCTTTAGACTTGTTCAGTTGAATAGTCTCACAAAGGTATTCTGTGAATCATTAAGGAGACTTTAATTTTTTTCAATTAGCTTTTCTTTCCTAGTCAGTCTTGCTCTATCCCAGCAATACTGGTGTACATGCCCTAGAAATTTTGGTATTGCATAATGAGAGGGTAGTAATCATCACAGGCAAGGCTAAGCCACTCTCTAGAATGCATTGTCTCAGTATGTGCAGAGGACAGCTGCTCTTCCATCCACAGAGTGTTCTTGAAAGTCATTGATGATGATATAACTACAAGTTCTACGTCATAAGCCTTTTGTCCATGTGGGTAATCATTTTAAAAAATGTATTTCTTTAGGTCATTCTGCACACAATTGGTATCAATCACAATCAAGCCCCAGTGCTCTGGCCACACATATTGGACAATCAAGGAAGAAAAATGCTACTTAATGCATATGCACTTGACTTCTATAAGCATGGATCCCTTCTGGGATTAGTCCAGGACAATAGGTATGTTCTATCCTGATAATTCCAAGAAATGGTTAGTCATGCCAAGCTTATTAGATTTTCACTTCCAGATAGATGGTAAAGATAATGACATAGTCTATACAACTTATTTCTCGTTTAGCAGCAAAAGTTTGACATTTAGGTTATCTCACTTGACCTAAATAGATACTCTAAATGTATCCTTGTGACGATTCAAATATATCTTTCTTTTACAGTTCTACTTAGGCATCATTTGGTATTTTTAACATAACAACAAACGGCAATATGGTATTGTCTAATGCTTGAGAGAATTTAGTGCCAAGTTTACATATCTAGGTATGTTGGGTATGAGACAGTTGCTTTAGCTTATTGTCAGGGAAGCCATTTGTATACGTACAAGCAGGACCAAGCATTATTTAGGCCATTCTGCCTGCACACAATTGGTATGAACCACATTCAAGATCCAGTGTTGTGGCCATGAAAATTGGACAGCAGGAAGAGAACTGTGACTGAACACATATGTACTTGCGTTCCATAAGCATGGACCCCTTGTGAGATTAGACCAGGTGAATAGGCATGTTCTCTTTTGTTAATTTCAAGAAATGGTTGTCATGTCAAGTATACTACATATTCACCTCCAGGAAATATTCAGGGAAATGTCTCTGAGCAGGGAAATAGCGGTGCAAGTGCTAAACACATACATCTAGAGGCAGATACACTAAGGAATTAAACAGACGGTTGACAAGCCTTAAAAACAATCCTTACTAAGTTACGGTTTTGATAGTCCTCAGAACCCCGGAACATTTTTGTTTATTAAGACCTATTTATTATTGTGAGTAAAGTAGCTGTTGCAGTAGTTGATTATACTTTTCTTTGTTTTTAAAACTTAGTCACTAATAATTTCATAATTGTATTAAAGTATTATGATTCTACTTCCTTCACATGCTTGTATCTCTTCCCGATTGTATTACCCCACTCCAGCAAGTCGGTCTCCATTTTTGTGTGTGTGTGTCTTCTAATTTTGTTTTGCTTTCATTTTTGGGACTCACTGAGTTTTATCAGTGCTGCCTGCATGAGTTTGGAGCTATCTCCTGGAACACAGGGGACTCATCAGTGACTACGATACTGAACAAAAACGACTCTCCCTTCTTCAGCCTGTAGGGCCCCGTGCCTCCTTGGGAACTAGTTGTCCCATGAGCCCATCTCTCATCCATAACTGAATATGAATGGGCCCCATCTTGTTCAGATCCAGTTGAGGCAAACTTAGCTGCTGTGAGTTCATGAGTCACCTCATACCCAGAAAATAGCATTTCACAACCCGTCCCTCACTTCCAGCTCTTAATTCTTTTTCTCTCCTCTTCTGTGATGTTCTCTGAGCCTTGAAGGGGTGGGGTGACATAGTAGAAATTAGTGCTCCAAGTAGAAATTAGTTTTCAGCAGTGACTTATTCTTAGTATGTTAACCAATTGTGAGCCACCCATTGTAAAATACGAAAAAAAAACAACAAAAAAACAAAACAAACAACAACAATCTTCTGTGACCCTGGTTGAACCAGCCCTAATTTATTGGCTTACACATTAATAATAAATAATTTTGTACCATTAATTTCAGTTTTTCTGTCACTTAGGCTACATGAAGGGGATGCTTACTACTTGTTGAAAGATTTTTTCCTTACCATTAAATCTATCAGGTATGTTGCATATTTAAGTAATTACTTTCATATTTTTCAGAAATCTAATTGTCATTTTAAAATGTTGATTTTTTTTTCCATGTTGCAGGTGTGTAAAAGTGTCAATAACCCTGTTACAAACCATTCATTTCAGTTTCTCAGAGGGTCTGTAGAAATTCTCCTTCTCCACAGCCTCTTGGTTCTGTTCTGTAATATATTTAATTCTAAAATATTTCTGAGATTAAAATTCCACCCAGATAGAGTCTCAGACTCAGACAGTGCCCTCCAACAGAGAACGATTCTAGAGCATCACCAATCTAAGTTTCTTTTTTTTTTTTTTTTTTTTTTCCATTAATATATTTATTTATTCACTTTACATCTTGATCAAAGATTGCCCTCCTCCTAGACCCTCCTTCATACCCCTCCCCCATCCTCCCCTCCTCTTTGGAGAAGGGGGAGGTCCTCCATTGGTACAACCTGCCTTGGAACATTAAGTTGATGCAGAACAAAGTGCATCCTCTCTCACTGAGGCCAGACAAGGCAGCTCAGTTAGGGAAACAGGATCCAAAGGGAGGCATCAGAGTCTGAGAGGTACCCCGCTCCAGTTTTGAAGGACCAACATGAAGATCAGCTGTACATCTGCTACATATGTGCTGGGGGCCTAGGACAAGTCCATGCATGCTCTTGGGTTGGTGATTCAGTCTATGTGAGCCCCATGGGCCCAGGTTAATTGTCTCTGTAGGTCTTCTTGTGGAGTTTTCCACCTCTCTAGCTTCCTTTTTATGCATCCAAAGACCTCAAGTGCAGGACTTGCCATTCTGTGTTGTGGCACATCATCCTGCTATTATATTTTTGAATTGCCCAATTCCACTACTTGACTGTATCATATAGCATAGTCAACATAGTTGCAGGAGCTCAGTGAGAGTCAGTTAAAGGAGTAAGGCTTGCTACTGGTAGGGATAGGCACAGGGCATGGATTGTAAGCCAGCATCCTTACAGATGACCTACCCACTCAATCACTTAGCATCAGCTCTGCAGCAGGGGGAGCCATTAAATAATAAGCAGCCTCTATAACCCACCAGACAAGCTTTCTGCTCCTTACAGTTTTGTCAACCCTCTCTCTGGAAGGCAAACTTCCATGTTTTGCTTGCTTCTGTCTGCAAGCAACATTTCCCACTATCTTCCATTCTGTTGATGCTAAGAAAGCACATTTGTCTGTGAAAAGGGATAGGAATTTGTGTGAGAAACAAGGGGGCTCTTGTGGATAGATTTGAAAGAACTAAGGTCAGCTACTGAAAGTCCTTCACTGCTTCTTTGCCTCTTGCTGTTTATACAATCATACTGTAAACATGGATACTTCAGTTATGGCTGCTTGTTTCAGTTCCTCTTTAAATCCACAGGATGGGCAATGAACCATCTGGATTGCTCTTGGACTTGTTTCTTTGAGCTAATTTTCATTAATGTTTGTTTTTTTTTTTTTTTTTTTTTTATTTTATTTATTTTTTTTCTTTTTAGTTACATTTTGTTAACTCCGTGTCCCAGCTGTATCCCGCTCCCTCATTCCCTCCCCAACCCCACACTCCCTCCCTGGTCTCCTCCCTGCCCCTTTCCAAGTCCCCTGATAGGGGAGGACCTCCTCCCCTTTCATCTGTCCCTGTTTTATCAGGTATCTTCAGGGCTGGCTGCAAAGTCCTCCTCTGTGGCCTAACAGACTGCTCCTCCCCTGGGGGGAGGTGTCAAACAGCCTGCCCTTGAGATCCTGTTAGAAATAGTCCATGTCCCCCTTACTTTGGAAAACTACTTGGTTACTGAGCTACCACAGGCCACATCCGAGCAGAAGTTCTAGGTTATATCCATAGATGGTCCTTGGTTGAGTTTCAGTCTCAGAAAAGACCCTGTGCCCAGATATATTTGGTCCTTGTAGAGCTCCTATCCTTTCCATATCATACTAACTCCCCTTCTTTCATATGATTCCCTGCACTCTGCCGAGGGTTTGGTTATGAGTCTTAGTGTCTGCTTTGAAACACTGCTAGGTAGAGTCTTTCAGATGCCTTTTGTGGTAGACTCCTGTCATAAGTTCAAGGCACATCCCATTTGTCTTTCTAAATGAGGATTAATCACCTTCGCCTGTGTCCACTTTCTTGATTATCTTCTTTAGGTGTGTAGATTTCATTATGTTTATCATGTCTTGTAGGTCTATATAAGCGAGTATATACCAAGTTTGTCTTTCTCCTTCTGGGATACTTCACTCAGAATGATCTTTTCTAGATCCCACCACTTGCCTGCAAATTTCATGATTTCCTCCTTTTTGATTGCTGAGTAGTATTCCATTGTGTAAAAATACCACAATTTCTGTATCCATTCCTCCGTTGATGGACATCTGGGTTGTTTCCAAGTTCTGGCTATTACAAATAAAGCTGCTACGAACATGGTTGAACAAATGTCCTTGTTGTGTACTTGAGCAAATTTTGGGTATATACCTAGGAGTGGTATAGCTGGGTCTTGAGGTAGCACTACTCCTAGTTGTCTGAGAAAGCGCCAGATTGACTTCCAGAGTGGTTGAACCAGTTTACATTCCCACCAGCAATGGAGGAGGGTTCCCTTTTCTCCACAACCTCTCCAGCATGTGCTATCACTTGAGTTTTTCATCTTGGCCATTCTGATGGGTGTAAGGTGGAATCTCAGGGTTGTTTTGATTTGCATTTCCCTAATGGCTAATGAGGTTGAGCATTTCTTTAAGTGTTTCTCTGCCATTCGATGTTCCTCTTTCGAGAATTCTCTGTTTAGCTCTGTTCCCCATTTTTTAATTGGATTACTTGGTTTGTTGCTTTTCTGCTTCTTTAGTTCTTTATATATACTTGATATTAGCCCTCTGTCAGATAAAGGGTTGGTGAAGATTCTTTCCCAATCTGTAGGCTGTCTATTTGTTTTGATGACAGTGTCTTTTGCTTTACAGAAGCTTTTCAGTTTCATGAGGTCCCATTTATTGATTGTTGCTCTTAGAGCCTGTGCTGTTGGTGTTCTGTTCAGGAAGTTGTCTCCTGTGCCAATGAGTTCTAGGCTGTTTCCCACTTTTTTTTCCAGCTGATTTAGAGTATCTGGTTTTATGTTGAGGTCCTTGATCCACTTGGACTTTAGTTTTGTGCAGGGTGATAAATATGGGTCTATTTTCATTTTTCTGCATGTAGACATCCAGTTGGTCCAGCACCATTTGTTGAAGATGCTGTCTTTTTTCCATTGAATGGATTTGGCTTCTTTGTCAAATATTGAGTATTCATAGGTGTGTGGGTTTATTTCTGGGTCTTCTATGCGATTCCATTGATCCTCCTTTCTGTTTCTATGCCAATACCATGCAGTTTTTATTACTGTTGCCCTGTAGTACAGCTTGAGATCGGGAATGGAGATACCTCCAGATGATCTGTTGTTGTACAGGATTGTTTTGGAGATTCTGGGTTTTTTGTTTCTCCATATGAAGCTGAGAATCTTTTTTTCAAGGTCTGTAAAGAATTGAGTTGGTATTTTGATGGGAATTGCATTGAATCTGTAAATTGCTTTTGGCAGGATGGCCATTTTCACAATGTTAATCCTACCAATCCATGAGCACGGGAGATCTTTCCATCTTCTGAGATCTTCTTCAATTTCTTTCTTCAAAGACTTGAAGTTTTTCTCAAACAGGTCTTTCACTTGCTTGGTTAGAGTCACACCAAGGTACTTTATGTTATTAGTGGCTATTGTGAAGGGTGTTGTTTCCCTAATTTCTTTCTCGGCCTTTTTGTCTTTGGTATACAAGAGGGCTTCTGATTTTTTTGAGTTGATTTTGTATCCTGCCACTTTGCTGAAGGTGTTTATCAGCTGAAGAAGTTCTCTGGTTGAATCTTTGGGTTCGCTCATGTATACTATCATATCATCTGCAAATAGTGACACTTTGACCTCTTCCTTTCCGATTTGTATCCCCTTGATCTCCTTTAGTTGTCTTATTGCTCTGGCTAGGACTTCAAGTACAATGTTAAAGAGATATGGAGAGAGTGGGCAGCCTTGTCTTGTCCCTGATTTCAGTGGGATTGCTTTAAGTTTCTCTCCATTGAGTTTGATGTTGGCTATAGGCTTGCTGTATATTGCCTTTACTATCTTTAGGTATGTGCCTTGTATCCCTGATCTCTCCAAGACTTTAAACATAAATGGGTGTTGGACTTTGTCAAATGCTTTTTCAGCATCTAAGGAGATGATCATGTGGTTTTTCTCCTTCATTTTGTTTATGTGGTGGATTACATTGATGGATTTCCGTATGTTGAACCACCCTTGCATTCCTGGGATGAAGCCTACTTGGTCATGGTGGATGATATCTTTGATGTGTTCTTGGATTCGGTTTGCAAGTATTTTATTGAGTATTTTTGCATCAATGTTCATAAGAGAGATAGGTCTGAAGTTCTCTTTTTTGGTTGGATCTTTGTGTGGTTTAGGTATCAAAGTGACTGTGGCTTCATAGAATGAGTTTGGTAGTGTTCCTTCTGTTTCTATTTTATGGAATAGTTTGAGGAGAATTGGTGTTAGTACTTCTTTGAAGGTCTTGTAGAATTCTGCGCTGAAGCCATCTGGTCCAGGGCTTTTTTTGGAGGGGAGACTGTTAATGACTGCTTCAATTTCCTTGGGAGATATAGGACTATTCAGTCTTTCTACCTGATCTTGACTTAATTTTGGTAGATGGAATCTGTCAAGAAAGTTATCCATTTCATTTAGATTTTCAAATTTTGTGCCATATAGGCTTTTGTAGTATGACCTAATAATCGTTTGGATTTCCTCAGTGTCTGTAGTTATGTCCCCATTTTCCTGTCTGATTTTGCTGATTTGTATGGTTTCTCTCTGCTTTTTAGTTAGTTTGGCTAACGGTTTGTCTATCTTGTTGATTTTCTCAAAGAACCAGCTTTTTGTTTCATTGATTCTTTGGATAATTTTATTTGTTTCTAATTGATTGATTTCTGCCCTTAGTTTGATTATTTCCAGCCGTCTGCTCCTCTTGGGTGTATCTGCTTCTTTTTTTTCTAGGTTTTTCAGTTGGGCCATTAAGTTGTTTGTATGTGATGTTACGGATTTCTTCTTGTAGGCACTTAGTGCTATAAATTTTCCTCTGAGCACTGCTTTCAATGTGTCCCATAAATTTGGGTATGTTGTGCCATCATTTTCATTGAATTCTAGAAAGTCTTTAATTTCTTTCTTTATTTCTTCCTTGACCCAGCTGTCATTGAGTAGTAAGTTGTTCAGTTTCCATGTGCGTGTCGGCTTTTTGTTGTTTCTGTTGTTGTTGATGTCCAGCTTTAGTCCATGGTGGTCAGATAGTATACAAGGGATTATTTCAATCCTTTTGTATCTGTTGAGGCTTGCTTTGTGACCAACTATATGGTCTATTTTGGAGAAGGTTCCGTGTGGTGCTGAAAAGAAGGTGTACTCTTTTGAGTTTGGGTGAAAAGATCTATAGACATCTATTAGGTCCATTTGATTTAGGGATTCTGTGAGTGCTTTTATTTCCCTATTTGGTGTCTGTCTGGTTGATCTGTCCCTTGATGAGAGTGGGGTGTTGAAGTCTCCCACTATTAAGGTATTAGGATCAATGTATGATTTAAGCTTTAATATTGTTTCATTTACGAATGTAGGTGCTCTTGTATTTGGGGCATAGATATTCAAAATTGTGATGTCCTCTTGTTGGATTTTTCCTTTGATGAGAATATAGTGGCCCTCCTTATCTTTTTTGATTAACTTGGGTTGAAAGTCTATTTTATTAGATATTAGGATGGCTACTCTAGCTTGTTTTCTGGAACCATTTGCTTGAAAAACATTTTTCCAGCCCTTTACTCTGAGGTAGTGTTTATCTTTGTTGCATAGGTGTGTTTCTTGGATGCAACAGAATGTTGGGTCCTGTTTCCGTAACCATTCTGTTAGCCTGTGTCTTTTTATTGGTGAGTTGAGTCCATTAATATTGATAGATAATATTGACCAATGCATGTTAGTTCCTTTTGTAATGGAGTCGATGATCTTACCTTGTTTCATTGCTTGTTTTCTTTTCATTTTTGTTGGGATGTTATCTGTATGCCCTGTTTTCTTGGGTGAATTCGTTTTCGTTGGATTGGAGTTTTCCTTCTAGTATCTTCTGTAGGGTTGGTTTGCTGTATAGATATTGCGTGAATTTAGTTTTGTCATGGAATATTTTGTTTTCTCCATCTATGTTGATTGAAAGCTTTGCAGGGTATAGTAGTCTCGGTTGACATTTGTGATCTCTTAGAGTCTCCATGATGCTTGCCCAGGCCCTTCTGGCTTTCATAGTTTCTGATGAGAAGTCTGGTGTGATTCTGATAGGTCTACCTTCATATGTTACTTGGCCTTTTTCCCTTGCTGCTTTTAATATCTTTTCTTTGTTCTGTAGATTTAGTGTTTTGACTATGATGTGACGTGATGTGTTTCTTTTCTGGTCTAGTCTATTTGGTGTTCTGTAGGCCTCTTGTATATTTATGGACATCTCTTTCTTTAAGTTGGGAAAATTTTCTTCTATGATTTTTTTGAAAATATTTTCTGGACCTTGGAGCCTGGAGTCTTCTTTTTCATCAATTCCTATTATTCTTAGATTTTGTCTTTTCATAGCATCCTTGATTTCTTGGATATTTTGTGATTGGAATTTTTCTGATTTTACTTTTTCTTTGAGAGAAGTATCAATTTCTGCAAGTGTGTCTTCAGCTCCAGAGATTCTCTCTTCCATCTCTTGTATTCTGTTGGTGATGCTTACTTTTGTGGTTCCTGATCTTTTCTCCAAGTTCTCCAGCTCAAGAGTTTTCTCATTTTGTGTTTTCTTTATTGATTCTAATTCTGTTTTCATGCCTTGCACCATTTCTTTTATGTGTTTGAATTTGGATTCCTGTCTCTCTACGATGGACTCTATTTCTTTGTTCATTTCCTTTTTGTATGCCACTAATTTTTTCTCTACTTGTGCCTCTATTTGTTTGGCTATGTTTGCCTGTGTTTCTTTAAGGGTTTTGTCTATTTCTTCTTTCTTTACCTCCAATTGACTGGCCAACTCTTTGAAAGATTTGTTCATTTCCTCCTTATAAGCCTCAAATAATTGAGCAAGCATGGCTTTAAGGTCCTTTTCCTGTGCTTCTGATGAATTGGAGTATCCATCGATTTTGGGGTTTGCTGGTGAAGTCATGATGTCCTGATTTATGTTGGAAGTGTTCTTTCGCCTACCCCTGGCCATTGGCTTGTCTGAGACCTTCCCTGTTTGTTTTTGGATTCTGCCGATCAGACTGGTACTGTCTCTCTCTCGAGTCTGGAGAATTCTTCAGGAAGTTGAGAGAGGTCCCGTGTCCTTAGCGTATGCTGAGGACTAGCTGTACCTGTGGGAGGAAAGTACGCAGGCGCAAACAGAGGCAAATGCAAGCGTGCGTGCGTGTGTGTGTATATGTGTGTGTGTGTGTGTAAGTGGGTGTGGGCGTGTGTCTCGAGGGACAGAGTGATGGCTAATGTTGAACCCTTGAGTGTGTGGGAGGGGCTCTGCAATGTATATGTCGCAGGCGCTAGTGATGATCGCAGCGCAATTTCTGGCATTAACTGCCTTAACTCCTCAATTAGACCCACAGAGCAGGAACTTCAATGTTCCAAGTGCCCCTCTGTTTCCCAAAGTGGGTATATGGGTGGGAGGGGGTTCGATGCCTGGCTTCTGTTTTAGCAGAACCCAGGATCAGTGGAGCTGCAGATTCTCAAGGGTGCACTCACTTACAGGCAGGACACTTGGCAGAGATTGGCGTATCTGGGCTCTCTGTTCTCTGGTTTGGCCCTGCTTCTTTGATGTGCTCCGCCAGTTCCGTGCTGCTGTCACTGCCAGGTTATGAGGTCTTGCTGCAGCTGGAGATTTCAGGGTGGTCACGTCAGTGGGAATCGGGGTAATCAGCCTTTCTGTTCTCTGGTTTGGCCCTGGTTAGTCTTAAACTGGAGGGCTGATGTGCCCCGCCAGCTCAGTGCTGCTCCGCCGCCAGGTTAGAAAGTCCCGCTGTAACTGGAGACTGGGTTGCTAGTCCAGATGCTTTCTGGGAAGTCCTGGGGTCTCTTTACTGTGCTCTCCAAGCTTCGGAGGCCCAGCGCCTGGTGTGTCTAGCTTGTATGGCGTTTTTGTCTGGTTTTGGTGATTATATAGCGAATTCTCTGTCACTGTGGGATTGGGCGGGCCGTACCAACAGTGATGGCGCTCCTGCGGAGCTAGTATGGCGTCTAGCAGACTCGGGCCCTGGGAGGATGGTGCAGCCGCCGCGAGTGAATCTGGGACTCCGAGACACAGTACTGCTGGCCTTTGCCGATAAAGGGCTTGGGGCTCCGCCTCAGTGGCTGCAGGCCCCAGGCAGTTAGGTCTGCGCTGAGAAAGGCGAGTCGGCTGTGCCTGTGCCGAGGAGGAGGGAGGTCTGGGGGAGGGGAGTGCCGAGAGATCAAAGGATCGTTTCTCACCTTCCCCAATCAAGTCCGTGGGTGACCCGAGACCAAGGTTTTCTCCTCCTGCGATGTTCCCTGTTGTTTAGAAAGTCTCTCCGTTGTTTCCCTGGCTTCAGAAGTTCTTCCACATATCAGCTCAGAACTTTATCTCCTCCACAGCTCGGAAACTGTGTGTGCTAGTCGCCATCTTGGCTCCGCCCCCTCCCCAATCTAAGTTTCTAATGGTCTCAATGATCCCAATTGTAATATCGTGTCAAATATTCAATGTTTTAGAACACCTTCTGAGGGGCCATCAGATCTCCACGTACCTGCTCTTGACTCTCCTGCTGTAGCCTATATTTATCTTCAGGGTTTTTCTGACTGTGATTGCATTGTCTCTTCCTGTAAAAAAACCCAGTAAATCACAGGCAGCATCAAACTTTATGTGAGCACTCCAGTCCGTAGGCTCCATTGGTCATATAATGTCACCTACTTAAATGACCATTGTCCCAACCCCTCAAATCTACATGCACTTCATGGTGTTTCTTTATTTTGTCACTTCAAGTGACCATAAATCTTATCATTATTGGGTCCTTAAGTAGTTCTTTGTTTTATTTCCGTGGTCAGAGCTGAATCAGGCCTACGTGGATTGTTTTAATACAAGAGTAAATCTGAGGCATTCAAGAGCAGAAAGGAATAGCTTTGTTCATCTGTAGCAGCAGTCCTCAGTCTTTCTAGTACTGTGACTCTTTCATACAGCTGTGTGTTTCTTTTCCTTTTCTTCATGCCTGCTCACAAGTTTCTTAATGCTGATTTAACAAATTCTCATTTTACAGGACAGCCGTCTTTTAAAATATTCAATGTCATTTAGTTGACTAATGGTATATATATATGTATTCTTCTATTTGTAGTGTCTCCTTGCGTGAACTCTGTGAAAATGAAGACGACAACGTTGTTCTAGCATTTGAACAATTGTCTGAGTCCTTTCAGGCAAAGTTCAAAAAAGTGTGAAAAGAAAACTATGTAAACCATCTAAAATACCACCATAGAAGCTTTGCAAATATTGCATTTTAAATATTTTCACTGTGATTATACGTAAAAGTTTATCAAAACTAGAAAAAAATGATTGCAATATTCTGAAGTTGTAATATATTCTACTCAATCAATATAAAGGGATTTCACCACTTAGATAGCTAGCTATTGAAATAAGTAAAAAAGCCACTTGTTAAAAAATGAGTAATTTAATATAATTTTTGTGATGTTTAAAAACCATGTAGCTAATGTTTTGCTTCATTTTAATTGTATATACATGACTGTTGAAATAATGACTTCATTGATTTCATTTGTGTAAAATAAATTCCTCTATTACTCCACTTGCACAACACCATTCATTCTACTTAATGATTTACATAGGATAAATTCTTTAATTGAGTCCTTGGCTTCAGTTCTTAGCTGTAGAATTTTCAGCTCTCACTAGAATGTACAACACTTAGTCCTCAAAACAAAGGACAAGGCTTTTCACTGAGTGGTGTTTTTTCGGTGGCTTTATAAACAGAGCGTAGTGGCTTGAGAGAGGACCCTGACTAAAATGCTCAATCCCCATCCTGAAAGGCAAAGAGGAAGGACATCAGAAGAAGAAAAAAAAAAAAACAGGAAACAAGCTAGAAACCTGCACAGAGGGCCTCTGAAAGGCTCTGCTCTGCAGACTATCAAAGCAGATGCTGAGATTTATGGCCAACTGTTGGGCATTGTGCATGGAATCTTATGTAAGAAGTGGGAAATAGTAAGATCTTGAGAGGACAGGAGCCCAACAAGGAGAGCAACAGAACCAGAAATTTGAACACAGGGGTCTTCCCAGAGACTCATACTCCAACCAACTACCAGGCACGGAGATAAGGAGATAACCTAGAATCCCTGCACAGATGTAGCCCATGTCAGTTCAGTGTCCAAGTGGGTTCCATAGTAATGGGAAGAGGGACTGCCTCTGACATAATCTGATTGGCCTGCTCTTTGATCATCTCCCCCCTGAGGGGGGAGTAGCCTTAACAGGCCACAGAAGATGATAATGTAGTCACTCCTGATGAGATCTGATAGACTAAGATCAGAGGGAAGGAGAGGAGGACCTCTCTTATCAGTGGACTTGGGGACGGGCATGCGTGGAGAAAGGGGTGGAAGGGTGGGATTGGGAGGGGAGGAGGGAGGGGCTTATGCGGGATACAAAGTGAATAAAGTGTAATTAAGAAAAAGAAAAAGACAAAATAACTATTAATTATTTCTAAAATAGAAAAATTCTAATTGTTAGAAATGGTCTACCATTTCATGAGTTAGAAATCTTTACCTTGGTGTTGGTGTTTGGGGGAGGTGCAGTTTAAACTGTTTCAATTTTTTTCTTTTTTGCTAATTTTGATTTTTTTTTTTTTTTGAGATAAGGTTTTTCTGTGTAACCCTGATGTTCCTAGGAATTGCTCTGTAGACCAGGCTGGCCTTGAACTCAAAGACTCTCCTGCCTCTGTCTCTGGAGTGTTAGGATCAAAGGTATGCACCACCACTGCCTGGCCTGTTTCCAATCTTTAAATGTTATAATGCTATAAACCAAAACTCTTAGAAAAACAAAATCCTCTGTAGCATCTCCACCCAGTGGAATGTTAATCAGTGTGATATTTATTGTTATGTTAGTTTCAGTGTAGGGCTTGTACTTAGGAGTCCAGATGGGAAATGAAGATTTCTTCTACCTCTATATGTATGAGCTAATCTGGCTTCTAGATTTTTAGAAGACTGAGGCCATTTTTGCCATCTGGAATCTTCTTAAAAGTGCAGAATTAAAACTAACTTCTTTAAGGGGAGTCCACTTGGTGTAGAAAAGGGATATTTCTTTAACCTTTAGCTAAACCTAAAGAGTAAGCCTAAACAATTTCTCAAGAAACAGTTTCTTAAGAGTGAGTTTAGTAGAGATTTATTAGCAAAAATGTAGAGCTATCTTGCTTCACTTAGTTAGAAAAACCAACAAAAAAATATGCACTGGCAATATTTTTACCTAGAATACTTTAGGAGCTCGTAGATGTACAAGATGTATTGTTGTGCTTTTATTTAAATTATTTTATTTTGATTTCTTATACCTCAACCTCCCTTCTACCTACCACCCATCACTAGGTAAGAGAGAAAGGAGGTTAATGGGGCAAAGGGACATAGCTCTCTTAGGCTACTTCTGGTTGTTTAGGGCCATCTGGTTCTTTGGGGCAGTACCAATCTCAGTCAGCAGGATGCCTAGCAGTCTAGCTCCCAGTAATCCAGCAAACAATAAACACAGCAGCAGGATGAACCAGCAGCCTTCTTCCTCCTCCGACCTTCTCCTTGAAGTGTTTCTTTCTCTCTCTGGGCTCTGATATTTATATCTTCTCAGAGTCCTCAGAATTAAACTATCTGCAGCTTGCAAAACCCATTCTCCCTCTACCCCCATGAGGCAATTATAGTTAACAACTGTGGATAAACTAAGGCAGTCCCATATCCCACACTTGAGATTAAAACATAAACATGTTTACATAACATAACTGAGTTTCTAAAGAAACCAAACTTCCACTATAATGCATGGTAGAGCTTGTGATGATTCTTTTGTTAAATATAATTTTTTATTTATTACAGTTTATTCACTTTTTATCCCAGCTGTAACCCCTCCCTCATTCCCTCCCAATCCCACCTTCCCTCCCTCCCTCCCCCTTCTCCTCCCATGCCCTTTCCCCAGTCCACTGATAGTGGAGGTCCTCCTCCCCTTCCATCTGACCATAGCCTATCAGGTCTCATCAGAACTGTCTCTCATAGTCTTCCTCTGTGGCCTGCTCAGGCTCCTCCCTGCTCAGGGGGTTGTCATCAAAGTGATGATTCTTAATTAAGTGGATTCTAAACTGGAGAAGGTGAGTTCAAGGTAGACATGCTTTGTCATGTCTCTTGTGTCTCCTTGCATGGACTTCACTCCTACCATTGTCCACAGAAGCATAAGTGTCTGCATTGTTCTAGGCAAAGGAATTTTTCTATGTGACTCTAAAAGTAACATGACCATAAGTTGACAAGATTGTATCTGACTTTAAAATTCTGCATAGTAAACAACCAACAGAACCAGAGAAAATGCTTATAAACTACATACTTGAAAATAGGAAAATTTAAAAATATATAAGGAACTAAAAAAAAAATCCCAAACAGAAAAATTACCCTAAGCAAACATTAAAAAATGAACAAATGGCCCCAATGTACATTTAACAAAGAGATGTGTAAAAGTATATAAAAAGATATTCCAATGGAACCAAATAGGAGACCCAGAAATAAACCCACATACCTATGAGTACTTGATTTTTGACAAAGAAGCCAAAACCATTAAATGGAACAAAGAGCATCTTCAACCAATGGTGCTGGTCCAACTGGTTGTCTACATGCAGAAAAATGAAAATAGATCCATATTTATCACGCTGCACAAAACTAAAATCTAAGGGGATCAACCACCTCAACATAAAACCAGATAAACTAAATTGGTTAGAAGAAAGAAGTGGGGAAAAGCCTAGAACTCATTGACATAGGAGACAACTTCCTGAACAGAACACCAGCAGCACAGGCTCTATGAGCAGTAATCAATAAATGGGACCTTATGAAACTGAAAAGCTTCTGTAAAGCAAAAGACACTGTTGTCAGAACAAAACGACAGCCTACAGACGGAGAAAGGATCTTCACCAACCCTATATCTGACAGAGGGCTGATATCCAGCATATATAAAGAACTAAAGAAGTTAAAAAGCAATAAATCAAGCAATCCAATAAAAAATGGAGTACAGAGCTATACAGAGAACTCTCTGTAGAGGAATATAGAATGGCAGAGAAACACTTAAAGAGATGCTCAACTTCCTTAGCCATCAGGGAGCTGCAAATCAAAATTTCCCTGAGATTTCACCTTACACCCATCAAAATGGCTAAAATCAAAAACATAAATGACAACATATGCTGGAGAGGTTGTGGAGAAAGGGGAACCCTCCTCCATTGCCGGTGGGAATGTAAACTTATACAACCACTTTGGAAATCAATGTGGCACTTTCTCAGACAATTACAAATAGAACTTCCTCAAGATCCAGCTATAACACTCCTAGGCATATATCCAAAAGTTGCTCAAATACACAACAAGGATATTTGCTCAACCATGTTTGTAGCAGCTTTATTTGTAATAGCCAGAACTTGGAAACAACCCAGATGTCCATCAACAGAGGAATGGATACAGAAATTGTAGTACATTTATATAATGGAATACTACTCATCAATTAAAAAGGAGAAAATCATGAAATTTGCAGGCAAATGGTGGGATCTAGAAAAGATCATTCTGAGTGAGGAATCTCAGAAGGAGAAAGACACACATGGTACATACTCACTTATATAGACCTATAATATATGATAAACATAATGAAATCTATACACCTAAAGAAGATAAACAAGAAAGAAGACCCGGAGTAAGATGATCAATCCTCACTTAGAAAGACAAACAGGATGGACATTGGATGTAGGATAAAACAAGTAACAGGACAGGAGCCTACCACAGAGGGCCTCTGAAAGACTCTACCTAGCAGTGTCTCAAAGCAGATACTGAGACTCATAACCAAACCTTCAGCAGAGTGCAGGGAATCATATGAAAGAAGGGGGGAGTTAATATGACATGGAAAGGATAGAAGCTCCACAAGGACCAAATATATCTGGGCACAGAGGTCTTATATGAGATTGAATTCAATGGCAGCCTCTTTGAACTCCCCCCCTACCCCCAAGGGATTAACAGCCTTGCTAGGCCACAGAGAAAGACTTTGTAGCCAGTCCTGAAGATACCTGATAAAATGGTCAGATGAAAGGAGAGAAGGTCCTCCCCTATCAGTGGACTTGGAAAGGGGCAAGGAGGAGATGAAGGAGGGAGGGTGGGATTGGGAGGGAATAAAGAAGCAGGATACAGTTGGGATACAAAGTTAATAAAGTGTAACTGATAATAAAAATAAATTAAAAATGTTTGAAAAAATTCAACTCTAGTAATAACTGAAAAATGCAAATTGGGACTACATTGAATTATGGCCTCCCTTCAATTAGTTGTTTCAAAAATGACAGAAATAAAGAAGATAAAATACTGTGAAAATTTAGTAGCAAAAGGAAGTTGTATTTTTTGGTGAGAATGTAAATTAGTGCAGTTATTATGAAAAAATAGATGTTTTAAAGAAAATTAGAAAGATACTCATATCATCCCCAGATTCCACTGCTGGAATGTCAGAGACATTTGAGCTTTCAGGCTGCTTATAGAATTCCTCACAATAAGTCCGATGTAGAGTACAACTAAGTGTTGGGTAAATGAGTGGATATGAGAACTTGTATATATGCATAATAGAGTGCTATTCAGCCACCAGAGGATGAAACTCTGTCACCTGCACAAATATGACTGGAAATTGAGGATAGTATGTTAAATGAACCAAATCATGCATAGAAAGACAATGCATACATATCATAGCATAGAAGTAGAGAAAGTTGTGAAAAAAAATAAGAGTACATAGTGTTATTAGAGTCTAGGAAGGCTCTGCAATATAGAGAGGATATGGGACAAGTAAAAGGGAACTTTTGTTTGCAGAAATACCTTCTAGTGCTTTGTAGTACAGTAATATGACTATGATTGATAACAATTAATTACATATTTCAAAACATCAAGTAGCATGTTAAATTTTCCCACCCCATTCATCAAATGATAAATGTTTGATGATGGACATACCAGTTGTTGCAATCTGATTGTGACATATTGCAATGAAATGTCACATGGTAGTCCTATATATCTCTATTTGTTGGTTTTAAAACACATATAAAACATGAATGGCCTTAAAATGTTTCTATTTTATGTATATGATTGTCTTCCTGAAGGCTTTATGCATTCCACGTGCAAAGGCCAAAAATGGGTGTCAGATCCCCTGTGATTGCAATTATAGTTCTGTACCACTATGAATATTTTGGGACCCAAATCCAAGTCCTCTGCTAGGGCAGCAAGTTTTAATTCAGCAACATGGCAACTCTAGCAAGAGACCACATTCAAAGAACTGAGTCTGTGTGACCCAGCTGGAATACAGACTTGCCCTTAGTATACACCTTTAATCTCTCGGCCAGAATACACACACTTAATCCTTCTGGCTGGAATTTAGTACAACCTTTAATCTCAAACAATGGCTTCTAATTGAGGGACAGACAAAGCGATTCATCAGAGGAAATTTTGACAAATGAGTCAGTGATAGTATACCCCCAACTCTCATGAAAACAGACAAGAAAGAGAAGCTAAGTAAGATCAGCAAGAGAGAATTTATGGAGACAGTACAGTAGTGTTCAGGAATATAGTACAGGTTGGTACATTTTGGTGCAGTTGAGTTCATGTAGTTCATTTTGTGGAATTCACAGGCAGTTTTTCCAAGCAGAGCAATTCAATGAGAAGCAGAGAGAAGCCAGTTTAAATCAGTCAGTGTGGAGATGAGTTTTGAGCCAGAACAGCTGAGTTGAACCAGCCAGCCAGAGCTCAGAAATCACTAGAAAGGGTGAGCTTATTTGGCAGTAAGTCTGAGAGACTCAAAACATTCCAGGCGTAGGTTAGCAAATGGAGGCCAGAAGCTGAAGCCTTCAAGGTCTGGGCTTGCAGAAGATTAAATTGTACAGACATTTGGTAATGGATCTCATCTCTTCATCTCAGGAAATAAAAGCATTTACACCCCAGTCCTAGAAAAACACTGTAGGCAACTAAGGAATGTTGAGAGCAGGTGAAATAGGTTTCCCCTGAAAAGAACCACCAATTAGCTTTCCATGAGATTTGTTTAGCCCTCATGTCATAGACTGAGCAGATTGTATTTATAGATTTGGGAACATGCGTGTGCATGCGAGAACACACACACATACACCATAAATTAAAGAAAAAGAGGAATGCTGCAGATGATATGATAGTATATATGAGCGACCCCAAGAATTCAACCAGAGAACTCCTCCAGTTGATATACACCTTCAGCAAAGTGGCAGGATACAAAATCAACTCAAAAAAATCAGAAGCCCTCCTGTATACCAAAGACAAAAGGGCCGAGAAAGAAATTAGGGAAACAACACCCTTCACAATAGCCACTAACTACATAAAGTACCTTGGGGTGACACTAACCAAGCAAGTGGAAGACCTGTTTGAGAAAAACTTCAAGTCTCTGAAGAAAGAAATTGAAGATCTCAGAAGATGGAAAGAGCTCCCGTGCTCATGGATTGGTAGGATTAACATTGTGAAAATGGCCGTCCTGTCAAAAGCAATCTACAAATTCAATGCAATTCCCATCAAAATACCAACTCAATTCTTTACAGACCTTGAAAAAAAGATTCTCAGCTTCATATGGAGAAACAAAAAACCCAGAATCTCCAAAACTATCCTGTACAACAACAGATCATCTGGAGGTATCTCCATCCCCGATCTCAAGTTGTACTACAAAGCAATAGTAATAAAAACTGCATGGTATTGGCATAAAAACAGAAAGGAGGATCAATGGAACCGCATAGAAGATCCAGAAATAAACCCACATACCTATGAATACTCGATATTTGACAAAGAAGCCAAAACCATTCAATGGAAAAAAGACAGCATCTTCAACAAATGGTGCTGGTCCAACTGGATGTCCACATGCAGAAAAATGAAAATAGATCTCTATTTATCACCCTGCACAAAACTAAAGTCCAAGTGGATCAAAGACCTCAACATAAAACCAGATACTCTAAATCTGTTAGAGGAAAAAGTGGGGAACAGCCTAGAACTCATTGGCACAGGAGACAACTTCCTGAACAGAACACCAACAGCACAGGCTCTAAGAGCAACAATCAATAAATGGGACCTCATGAAACTGAACAGCTTCTGTAAAGCAAAGGACACTGTCATCAAAACAAAACGCCTGCCTACAGATTGGGAAAGAATCTTCACTAACCCTTTATCTGACAGAGGACTAATATCGAGTATATACAAAGAACTAAAGAAGCTGAAAAGCAGCAAACCAAGTAATCCAATTAAAAAATGGGGAACAGAGCTAAACAGAGAATTCTCGACAGAGGAATATCGAATGGCAGAGAAACACTTAAAGAAATGCTCATCCTCATTAGCCATCAGGGAAATGCAAATCAAAACGACCCTGAGATATCACCTTACACCCATCAGAATGGCCAAGATGAAAAACTCAAGGGACAACACATGCTGGAGAGGTTGTGGAAAAAGGGGAACCCTCCTCCATTGCTGGTGGGAATGTAAACTGGTACAACCACTCTGGAAATCTATCTGGCGCTTTCTAAGACAATTAGGAATAGTGCTTCCTCAAGACCCAGCTATACCACTGCTAGGTATATACCCAAAGTTTGCTCAAGTACACAAAAGGGATATTTGCCCAACCATGTTTATAGCAGCTTTATTTGTAATAGCCAGAACCTGGAAACAACCCAGATGTCCATCAACGGAGGAATGGGTACAGAAATTGTGGTATTTTTACACAATGGAATACTACTCAGCAATCAAAAAGGAGGAAATCATGAAATTTGCAGGCAAATGGTGGGACCTAGAAAAGATCATCTTGAGTGATGTAAATATAAATGTAAATAATGTAAATATATTTTAAATTGAAAATTATACATATTGAGCAATGACTTTTCTGGCATTCATTGAACAAGTGGCTGATTTTGATCTCCAGAGACCAAAGGAAAACTGACTACCAGTAATGTCCTCTGGCCTGTACATATGTGCCATGGTCCACACGTGCCCAGCCTTCCTCCAAAATTAAAGAAATACGTTTTTAAAAATGGCTAATTTATCTTTACAGCAGTGGCTTTAATAAAATCAAGGTATACACAGAGATGCATGTGAACCCTGACTTTTCCATTCAAGTTTCCTGTACCACTAATCCAGTAAGTGTACCTCTTGGGACACTTTCCTTTCAATTATCTATTTTCCTTTAAAGGATATTGTAGGGAATCATTTCATCTTTTGTGTGTAGGAGTCCTGTCAGTTCCTCAGAGGTCACACAGGGAGGGTGGTCACTCACTAAGGATGGTTCCACACGGGGAGTGGTCACCCAGTAAGGGTGACCAGACACTGAGGGCGACCAGACACTGAGGATGCTCACACGATGAGGGTTGTCACACACTGCATTTTAACAGATTTCAGACTGTTACAAAAGACAGTCTTCTTCTAGGAACTGGCAGTTCAATGAAATAAAATGTACTCCAATGCAATACTTTTCTTATTCCACCATACACAATTTAATTAATTACTAATGGAGCAAGGGGTGCAAATCCAGGATGACATTCTTCAACGGTAGATTTTTTTTTTCTCATCTCAATAATTTTAGAGACAGAAGAAGAATAGGATTCTCTAGCTTTGTTTCAGAGTCAATAACAGCACAGATCCAACAATCTATGTCTGAGGTATGTATGAAGAAGATTTCATGACCTTCAAATCTTCCCCTTTTTGATGTATTTTAGTAGTCTTCTACATCACCAGCACAGATGGCAAGCAGTGCTTTCTCATAGTGCCCTGAAGCAAAATTCTGGAAAGAAAAAAATACAGGCAATTAAAAATCAAATCTCTTCCTGTTTCTAAAAGTCAACTATAATTTTTATAATTGCTATATGAAATATTCATGGACCATTACCCTTCATAAAATTATTAATTCTTTTTGTCTAAAGATTTTCTGAGCACTATTCAAAGTAAACTTATTAAATTATTAAAATTCTGATTTTAGTTGATATAATATGTTTTATATAAAGCTGATAGAAATTTAATGTGTATTTATGAGCACAATGACTTGTGTTACAATGAGTCTTCTCTTCAGCTTTAGGAATTGGTACTCTAATATTATAGTAAATCAATGTAGACACTGGACATTGCCAACTTGTCTCAAAAGATTTGAAAATACACTGTTTAATTCAGCAGTGCTATGTCAAGAAATAAATTAAAAATTATCATCAGTTATGGATGAGCATGGAGATTTAGGCTAACAACATATGCCCTATACTGTTACATAAAACAGTGAAAAGTTGAAAAATGCATCATCTTCTGAGACTGTTTTTCTGCTTCACAGTATGCTTTATACAGGATGTCCTGATTTAATAAAATCCTTTGACAACAAAACATTAATGTTATGTACTTTGAAAAAGATCAACAGTGGCTATCCCAGTCCACTAGAGCTTTTAAAAATGAGGTAGCTTAAAATATCAGCAGTTTATGTCTAATTTAGAAAAAATGGGAAATCCAGATGACATTTCTTGTTACTGCGAGAATACTTCATAGATTTTAGCCTGGCATGACAGAAGGTACAAAGGAGAATCCTGGAGGTTTTTTTCAATAAGGAAAACAGCCCCACTTATGGGTTCTACGTTTATGACTTAACTCTCAAAAGCCAATCTTGTAACACCATTTCTTTAGGATTAACGTTTTATTGTATGAATCTGGAGAAGATTCCCAGACATACTAGGGCCTAGAAATATCTAATTACTGGGTGTCTGTGGTAGAGAATCAGGGCAGTTTTCTTCCTTTTTATGTTCTTTCATCATTTCTAAATATTCCAGACCAGATGGCTGAATGAATATCATTATAAAATCCATTTCCATAAAGATTATTTAATGTATTAATACCCTTTTACACAAAGTTGTGTAATTAATACTCACAGATATAAAAGTATATGGTAACACTGCATTATTGTAACTTGTCTTTGATGTCGCTAGGCATAATTAAAGTAGTGTACATGAGCAAGATTATTTACTTAGAAACAGTTCTGAATCAATACAACATGCTGGTCACCACTAATAGCTTAGAGGTTCCAAGGTAGACATACTGACATTTTATCAAAGATAAAAAAAAACAACACAGGTTGATTTTTAAATGATTCATCAATTTCTTAAAACTACTCTGGCCCCTACAACGGCCGAGAAAGCTTTCTAGATTTGGTGGCTTTAATCTTTGAGATGTTGAGAGTTATAAATTGAATAATTAAATGAGCTAAAATGTTCTTTCTTGTGGCAGAGCATTTCACTTGAAAACAATGTGACAGTATAAGTAAGTAAGTAAGTATAAGTAAGACATAGTCTCAAGTATTGTGTGTGTTCTGATGCCCTATTTTCTCCATCTGGAAAATCTTTTTGATTTTTTTTTTTTCTGGATATAAAAGAAAAAACTGAACGTATTGATTTTACACCACACCCTCAAATTACATAGATGCCCCATGTATTTCATTTTTCCCAAGTTATATAAAGCGTTTAACAAAATTTAGAACGATCAGAGTGGGAAAATGGCTTGCTTATTTTTGAATTATTATTTCCTTGCCGTCTGATTGATGAAGTGACTGGCCATGTAGAGGTTTACATACTTAGTAATAAGTGGCTCCGGACTGGCAGTCGGTGGCATCCGATTGGCTGCCTGGCCTTCTATGATGGCAGGAGGAGTGTTGCAGCGAGGTAGGAACCCTTCCCACAGTTAACGCTTTCCAGCAGCAAAATACTGGTTTCCTGATCCTCAGTTTGACTTTTGTTTGTTTGTTTGCTTGTGTTTTCAGGCAAGGTTTTGGGTAGTCCATCCTAACCTCCAGTTGCTTTGTAGCTGAGGGTGGCCTCAAAGTCTTGACTTTCCCGCCTTAGCCTCAGCAGATCTAGGGTTGCAGGCGAGCTGCAGGCGAGCTGCCACACCCAGCTGGACCCATTTTTTCACCTCAGAACTGAAACCTAGAAGCACAGTCCTAGGGAGGGAATATTTTCTACGAGTACGTGAAAATTTTCGCTTAAAAGCAAAGATCAAAAGGTTTTATTGTACAGGCTAACGTTTGTTAACTGTTCTGAAAGCTGTCTGAATTCTTCAAGTCAGTCATCATTGTCAGACATGGAGCTTTTTAGATCCCCACAGCAAGTTGTTTTAAGCTTTTTTTTCAGCCCAGAAAGAATAAAATGTGAGGTAAAATAAATCATGAAGAGTAGACTTACTCTGATATCATGAAAGAGAGATTTTCCAAATCTCTCTTTGTAACGTTTTCTTATGGTCATCAGATCTATTTCACTTCTGGCAATTAGAATCCTGATGACAGTTTTATTGTGGAAGCCAAAGTCCTAAAAGTCGCAGAAAGGTGGGAAGAGAAAACAGTATTTTACAGCCTGCTTTAACAGTACTTTAAATTGGACAGACTTCCTCCTCAGTAGCAATTTTCTTGTGTGCCCACATGCCCCACACTGTTGTCACAGCTATGGGATACCTGAAGCTTCTCCACGGGGATATTTCAAATGTGTTTGAAATGGAATAATGGTGACATCTTGTGGCCACTCAACAGAACCTTTTTTTTTTTTTTTTTTTAGAAATATTTAATGTCAAAACAGATACAAATTTATACCTTCCCATTTAATACTAATACTTCCCATTTGATACTAATGTGTAGATTGTATCCTTTGCCATTATTACTCTTGCCTTATGGTCATTTTGTATCTTTTGACCAAAATCTAATTATCAGAGTCACTCTTTTTTGTTGTTGTTGTTTTGTTTTTTAATTTTTATTTTTTACATTAATTACAGTTTTTTCACTTTATATCCCAGCTGTAGTCCCCTCCCTCTTCCCCTCTAATCCCACCTTCCCTCCTTCTTCTCCTACTATGCCCCTGTACAAGTCCACGGATAGGGGATGTCCCCTTCCCCTTCCATTTGACCCTAGCTTATCCTGTCTCATCAGAACTGGCTGCACTGTCCTCCTGGCAAGGCTGCTCTCCCATCCGGGAGAGGCTGTCAAAGAGCTATCCACTTCTTCAGGTGAATATATTTTAGTATACTTATCCTATCTTATAGGACTAAATAAGTGAGTATATAGCATGTGTGTCTTTCTGCTCCTGGGATACCTCACTCAGGATGATCGTTTCTAGATCCCACCATTTGCCTGCAAATTTCATGGTTTCCTTGTTTTTAATTGATGAGTAGTATTCCATTGTGTAAAAGTACTACAATTTCTGTATCCATTCCTCTGTTGATGGACATCTGGGTTGTGTCCAGGTTCTAGCTATTACAAATAAAGCTACTACAAACATGGTGGAGCAAATGTCCTTGTTGTGTACTTGAGCATCTTTTGGATATATGCCTAGGAGTGGTATAGCTGGAACAGATGGAAGGGGAGGAGGTCCTCCCCTATCAGTGGACTTGGAAAGGGACAGGGAGGAGATGAGGGATGGAGGGTGGAAATGGGAGGGGATAAGAGAGGGGGCTATGGCTGGGATACAAAGTAAATAACCTGTGATTAATATTAAAAAATAAAAAATAAAAAATAGTGGAAAATAATAAAATAAAATACAGGTATGCCATAGGGGGGAAAAAAAAAGAGCTATCCACTGAGTTCTTGCAGTGTTTTGAGTGTAACTCCATTAACAGACTACATAATTTGAGGTGATTAACAGAAATGATCTGACCAAGTTTTTTACTTTTAAAAATGTAGGTCACTGGAAGTTTCTTTATGACAGACAAAAGCTTTAGGGGTGGTAAAACGAGCTTGTTGACAATTGTTTGATAATACAGCTACTCATAGGAGAACCTTTCGATTATTTGTACATAATTTGCTTTAACTCCAAACTACTGGTCAATACGAGAACTTTTTTTTTTTTGCTTCCTAGAGCAAGATAGTTATAATTTAATTTTCTAAGCTGTTAGAAGAAGTTTCCTTGAGTGAGGGCGTAGCAGAAACCAGAATAACTGTGATTGTTTGCCCAGGAGCATTCACAGGGAAAACTTCAGGCTATTGTTACAGTCATGGCTCACTGGAGGAGAGTTGATGAACCATGTTACAGCATTGTTCAAGAGGCTGTTTTGACAAACCATGTTACAGCATTGTTCAAGAGGCTGTTTTGACAAACCATGTTACAGCATTGTTCAAGAGGCTGTTTTGACAAACCAAAGAACACTGACTTTTCTTCTGAGTTCTGAGGCTATGTGGATTCTTACGCATAAGCTATTTCCTAGGAATCAGACACATAATATACTATTCTTAACTATTAGCATGCTTCCCCAGTATGTGGGAAAATATCAAGAAGTTGGCCTGTAAAATTGTCTTTGCTAATATTTTACATACATGTATGAAAATGTCATAATGAATCCTGTTATGTTGTACAATTAATATGTATTAATGAGAAATAAATTGCTTTAAGAATATTTTCATTAAAATTATATACTCTGTTCAAATCACTATAGTATTGAATTATTTTAATAAAAGTTTCTTTTATTATTTCAGAGTTATGACATGTACAATAACCTATGAGATTTTTTCTTTAATTTTTTAAAATTACACACAGTGTAATTTTATTTATTACAACAATTTATTGTTGTTAAATATTTTGAAATGCTTTTGACATATAGCACATTTAAAAATAACTGGTATCATTTTGTTTTCAACTTCAAAAATATAGTTTTTGGGGGTTTACCATGATTTGGCATTTTCTGCCATGGAATCTGTGTTTGAATGTGTATGATGTGGGGTGTTTGAAAAAAATGCACTTGGGTTTTCAGTTTAAATAAATAATAAATACTGAATGAAGGATATATACCCTGCAGTCCCATATGTCTTACGTGTTTGTGTTGTAGAAAGAGCAGATTATCTGTATTTGATGAATTTAGCTATTGGTGTTTAACTTGTTTCTTTTAACTTGAGCACATTTTCTTTGAAGTAAAAAAATAATAGATATTAATTTTAAATAAATTTAAAATTATGTGTTATACTTACATGGATTGCTCTGTATAATTTATAAGCAAAATAGCTTGCTTTGTCCTGGACACAGCGAACTAGAAAGCAAGGACGATAGTTGAATGACAAGATGTAATTTTTCGGAAGCTGGGAAACAAATAGAGCACTGTGACAACCTTCTGCAATCATCGCACCGCGTTATAATTTCAATACTTAGCATTGGTAACACTAGCCACACTGTATTAAAAAGAAGAATGTGTCAGTATCATATTTATACTGACAGATGTTCTTCACTGAATGCATGACCATTATTACTAATTTTTAAAGACGCGGTGTTAAATATAAAATCAAACACATACAATCCGTTCATCTTCCTGAATGCCGCCTATTCAAATAGCCTCTAAAACTGGTGTAGACAAGCAGTTCTTTGAGTGGTATAAGATCATTTTTAGATTTGTAAATAGAATGGAGACCCTTTAAGGAGAAACTGTAGCAAATATAATGTGTCTTGTCCAGTTTTAGGTATTGTTTGATTATACTTTCCAGGACTTTGAACAACCTGGAACCTACCCAACAGTTGTCTCTGTTAAATATCAGTTGAGACTGTAGACCAGCAATTAGTCCTTCTTTGAAAAAGAAATAGACTAATTACATAAATGAGTAAAAAATGAGGAACCATAATTTCTCTTCAAAATAAAATCATATTAGTGTTTCTTTTCAGTTCAAGTAATTATTTTAGATCATGAGACCACATTTTCAACTTATTTTTATTACAGAGAAAAGTCAACCTGATAACTAATCTTGAGTCTTCTCTGGAAGGTGAGCTCCTGGAGAGTATGGGCTTCTGTTGTTATTTTTGGTTTTGTCGCTTTCTTATTCTCTCTTCGTACCCAAATTAGAAACACAGTAGGTGCTCATTCAATATTGATTGATTGATAGAGTGACTATAGAAAGAACCAGATAAGTTTTTCCTGGTACTCCTGATGTCCACTACCTATTCCCTCATACCCATTGTTTTGTGGTAACAGTTTGGAGTGCTTTGAGATTTTGATGACAAGAATTCTCCTCTAACTCTATTGCTAATTAGGTGACATGTGACATATAACTATTATACTTATTAGAAATTTGATGATATTTATCTTTTTTTTTTATCTCTATGTCTATCTGTGGATATATTACTCAGAAATATTCATAGGCCAAAGCCATCATATCACATATCTTTTGGGGGTTTCCTAAAATCCACCGAATCCTTTTCATAGGGTGCTTGCTTTAAAATCTCTTACTAGATCGTTAATACAAATCTTGTGACCAAATAGCAGGAAACACTTAAAGAGATGCTCAACATCTTTACTCATCCAGGAAAGGCAAATCAAAATGACCCTGAGAGTCCACATGACACCCATCAGAATGGCTAAGATCAAAACCTTCTGGGATGAAACATGCTGGAGAGGTTGTGGAGAAAAAGGAACCCTCCTCCACTGCTGGTGGGAACGTAAATTTGCACAACTACTTTGGAACTCAATCTGGTACTTTCTCAGAAAATTATGGATAGTGCTACCTCAAGATCCATCTGTACCATTTCTGGGCATATACCCAAATGGTGAATGCTCCACCATTCAACAAGGACATTTGCTCAACTATGTTCATAGAAGCTTTATTCATAATAGTCACAATCTGGAAACAACTAGATGTCCCTCAACTGAAGAATGGATACAGAAATTGTCATACATTTACACAATGGAATACTACTCAGCAATTAAAAACAAGGAAATGGTGAAATTTACAGGCAAATGGATGAAACTAGAAAAGATCATCCTGAGTGAGGTAACCCAGAAGCAGAAAGACACACATGGTATATACTCACTTATTACTGGATATTAGCCATATACTATAAGATAAACGCACTAAAATTTATAGTCTTAAAGAAGCCAAACAAGAAAGAGCCTAGGGAATATGCTTAATCCTATTAAAAAGGGCAAACAGGATAGACACCAGAAGTAGGAGAAGACAGGGAACAGGACAGGAGTCTTCCACAGGAAGCCTCTGAAAGACTCTATTGATTCTGTAGCAGATGCTGAGACCCATAGCCAAACTTTGGGCAGAGTGCAGGGAATGTTATGAAACAAGGGGGAGATAAAAAATCTGGAGAGGACAGGAGCTCCACAAGGAGACCAACAGAGCCAAGAAATCTGGGTCCAGGGAGGCCTGCAGAGACTGATGAATCAACCAAGGACCATGCATGGAGAAGACCAAAACTCTTTGCTCAGATGTAGTCCATGGACAGTACAATCTCCATGTAGGTATCCTAGTAAGGGGAGCAGGGCTTTCTCTGACATGGTCTCTGTGTCTGGCTCTTTGATCATCTCCACCTGCAGGTGCAGCCTTATCAGGAAGAGGATGCAGCCAGTCCTGATGAGACCTGATAGCCTAGGATCAGGTAGTTGGGGAGGAGGACCTCCCTTATCAGTGAACTAGGGGAGGGACATGGAGGAAGGAGTGAGAGGGAGGGTTAGACTGGGAGGAGATAAGGGAAAGGGCTACAGCAGGAATACAAAGTGAATAAATTGTAATAAGAATAATAATAAAGAAAAAAATGAAAAAAAAATCCTGTGACCAAACTTTCCGCTTCATACCAAGACATTCTTGAAATGAAAAACTCACAATGATTATTTATTCAGCACATATCTCAGTGTTCATTTGATGCATCTATTGTAGGGTATTTCACAATGACTCTTTGTATACATTTTCTGGGATGTGTACTGTCAAAACCACAGAGTAAATGGTAGTGTGAACACTGGAATAGTTTTTCTGAATAAGAGTCATAGCCTTTTATGCAATGGGTATATAATTTCTGAGAACCCTGAGAACCCACTGCTAACTAACATTTTGGGGTGATAAGATTTATTTCTAAAAGCAAGTTTATTAAAGATAGTAAAAATTTAAGGAACCATCAAAATCAAAATTAAAAAAAAAATCACCTTTCTTTTTGGAGACAAGAAAATAGTCATACTATTAGCATTTATCTGCTCCTGGAAGGGGGGTAGAAGTCAATAATCCTAACAGATTTAACACTGAGAAGTCGCTTCCTGAGGCAGGGCACTTGAGACTTTTCTCATATGGAAGTTGAGCCTGTTCTTAGGGAATAAATGCCACTTCATTAGAGTCTCCAGGTTGCTGGTTCATTGCATCGAACCACTAGCTGATGGATTTTCCTAGAATTAATGGATCTTTCAAATAATTGCACTGAAGAAAATACTTCGATTAAGATGCTACTCATGCACGTTTAATCCTGACAGAGCCAGTCAACACTGACTGAAATGTCCATCATACAAAATTCAGCTTACCAATTGCAACCAGCAGCTCCTGGAAGTAGCCATCGTAACAGTCATTGATGGCATCCACCAGGTCTTGACCAGAAATATTTTGAAATTCCTGGAAAACTTCAAGAAATTGATGTAACTCAAAAGGAATTTTCATAAATATTATAAACTTAAAGCCTGAACACTAGTTAGATTACTATACATAGCAAAAGTAAGTCTAGGAAATATTTCCTAGTACTGCTACCCATCATGATGACGTATCTCCTCTTTGCAACAAGTATAGACCCTATGAGATGCTAAAATGTGCACAAATACTGAACCACAAAGACCTACTATTGCTGTGCTGGGGAACAATGGTCACCTGCGGTGGGACTCATTGACTCAGGGCTGATTTAGATAGAGGGAAAGCCTAGGGTGAGCTATTGTCTACGAGACATTCCAGAGAACATGAATAATAATTGTTAGAATTTAAATATAAAAGTTAGGTAAAAAAAATCCAGTGAGTGATGTTGAGAAATAGAGGTTGGAAGAGCTATTTTGAGAAATAGGAGATTATCATTAATGGTTTCATTTATTAGCATAAAATAATGTTCAATTAAACTTCTTTCTTTAAAAAATTTACTCAGCTGGCTTTATCCTCGGCAGTGCTTAGTTCTCAGCCATTTCAGTTTAGATGTGAAGAAGTATTGCTATCATTAGTATTAATCTTTAAGTGACACAAAATAAAAGAGGCATAGTTGAATTAGAGCAGGTTGTTGCTAAAAAAATTGATAGGACTTTATGTTTCATTTAATTGTACTTAATTTGTTTTTCTAATAAGGGAAGAGGGAAGGTTCAGAGTCTAGAGGAAGTCAAGTGTAGGTTAATGTGAGCACATCTTGAAGACCAATAGGTTCTATTGATAGTTCATAAATCACATTGTCTGTAACAAAGACCTTGACACATAGGCTGGCCACAGTAAGCTCACTAGAGACTATTCAAGACACAGTATAATGTATCTGCTAAGAAATAGCTAGTATATCTAAATAGGTAATTTTTTAGAGTCAGTATTCGAAAGCTACAGAGTTTAGTTATTGGAAAGAAATTAAATGGTGGCAGAGCTTTACTCCTTAGCGGAGTCATTAAATGAGACACACTGTATAGACATAATTCAGAGCACTAACTGGCTTTTCTCTATTTCTGGGTGACATTTCCTCTTTTATCCTAGTTACTTGTATGTCTCTCAATTGGTTAAATAGCTGTAAACAGCCTGTTTTTAGTTACCCAGCCAGAGCTGTGGGTAGCTCTTGTTGCACAAGATCATCTGCAGCATGGTTTTATGTTCCCCAGTCTTCTGCTGGCAGGCTTCCCAGAGCACCTGCAAATTCACACCACCAGATAGGGCATCAGAACCAGCCTCCCTTTACCAAACTCTCTGTTAGTCAGGTGGAGAGTCAGGCCCAGTTACCATGGCATCCTGAGCAGCCATTGCAGGATCTGCGTATCCTTCCTCCCTGTTACCCTGTGAAATAAGCAGGGGTTTTCTTTTAGATAGCCTCAATACACAAGACATATAGAACCATCAAACACTGGTGATTCTTTATCAATCTATCATCTCATTATTTGGATACTGCATTAGGTGAGGAGTTGTTATGTAGTTTTGTAAGGAGCTTCATTTTGAGCTTTTCTTCACAACAGAGGCACATTTGGTTAAATGTTGAGATGCTTTGCAGTTTTCAGTTCTCTGTGAGGCATTTTTCTCCTGTCAAGCTGATCATCCATCCCTTGTCAGAGAAGTTGGTGCTGGAGATTAATAATTTTGGTGCAATGATGCAGACATAGTAGGGTCTGGCTCCCAAAGCATGATTTATGCAACAATGAAATGATGATGAAAGCTAGGCTTTGCAAATGAGAATTTTCTGTGATATCATTTAACCCAAATTTCTTATCACATAAACAGCAGAGTGTTTTTTCACCTTTGAAGCAGGAGGGAGGAGGACTAATCAATGCAAGACCCACTAGTCTCTGGGGTCAAGCAGTAGAGGAGAGAGATGGGAAGAGTTTGTGATTTGAGTTTATTTTTATGTTTTGAACCAAAATATGGAGGAGGAGATTACTAATTATGAGAGAACACTAAGGATTTAGTGCCTTTCCATGGTGTGAAATGGGCTCATGCCAGTGGACTCAGTGAGATTGAAAGATAGACAAAGGTGTGTGTGTGTGTGTGTGTGTGTGTGTGTGTGTGTGTGTGTGTGTGTGTGAGTGTGAGTGTGTGTTGGGTATATATGCGCATTTTGGGGATAATATTGGATTTAGTTCTCCTGAGTTAGTCTCAATTTCTAAGTAGCATAGATAGGACCTCAGTTTTCCTGCTTCTAGTTAGAGGCACTTACACTGTTGCTGAGGAACTAATGTTGAATTTTGAACAATAGTGTTGTTTATGATCATTACAAGGACAGGGTACTTTAAAGGTGTACGGTGAAATAACAGTGACTAGACCTGTATGGGAGACAGGACTAGCCCTTAGGGGATTCCTCATATCCCAAGACGGTAAAGTAACTTATCCTGGCTAAGTAACTTATCCTGGCTCTAACCAAATAGAGACAGAGAAAGAATCATTAATTAACTAGTTTTACATTTGTAAAGTTAGTACTAAGAAACATCCACCTATTTTATGGACTTAAAACCTTATATTATCTACCCAGGGTTTCCAAGACCTGTCATTTTATAGTCAAGTTCACCAAGGATGCAGAAAATATCTTTGCTATTTGGGGACACTATCCTTTGCCAGGACATCCTGAAACCTTTGATACATCTTTCCATCAAGTAACATCTTAGGAAGAAGAGGCAATGGCAAGAACTCTTAGAGTTGAGTCATCAACTCAATAAATGTATTAAAGGCATTGAATGCGTACCCATACATTTTGACTGTTCAAGTGTGGATTAAATTTACCATGTTAAATTAAATTTTAAGCACTTTCAATTTTTTTCTAACACAAACCTCGACACATCTAGGAAACTTCAATTATTAATAGAGAAATAAATTCATATGACTAAATTTGTAGCCCTAAGAATTTAGGAACAAAAGACAACATTTAAAGAATGAAAGCAATGTTACTGGCTAGTGGATTATGGGTATTTTATCTTTAAATCATGAAAATGTGTTGAGTGCAAGATCCCTAGGAGTCTTACATTTCTTTCTCTTGTTATGGAGATGAATGGACTTAGAGTTATTAAATTAATTGTTCCATGTCTGAGAGTTAAAGAAGGAAAATTATTAGATACTAGTAGTATCTTTACTTGCTCTGAGATCTAGTACCATACTGAAACTCATTCTTAACAAACAACATCCCAGGGCTCCCTTTCAAATTTTCTCTAATAATTTCAATTTACAAAAAAGTGAAAATAATTAGAGCATTATATCTTTTGTCAACGTATACTATTTAATTAATTAGCTTATCACAGTAACTATTAGTTTTTATCTTTTTTTTTTTTTTGCCTCACAGTGCTTTCATTGCCTGCCTTCATGTAGTTATTTCTTTGTTTCTGTTTCATTTAAACTTTTTGACCTTGGGAATTGGTTCCTCTTAATATTTAGTCTCTTAACATGGTAAATCTCATCACCATGGTGCCCATGTCTTCTTGTCTGCCTTTACTCTCCCAAGTCTTCTAATCCCGATTATTGATATGGAGTCTAGATTCTGACTATATTGTAACGATTCTCAAGTTCTGTAGCTACACTGTTTTATGTAACTTTGCACCATGAATGTTTATTCTATGTATGAAATTCCATCCACTCAACATCCAGCCTCTGATCTACCTCTGCCTCAATGACCCCTTCCAGTTCTCCACATCTCAGAGGGGAAACCTGAGTCATATTTGATTCTTTTTATTTTGTTTCATATAAAATCCCCCAGTAACTAATACAGACACTGCCCTCCAAACACATCCGTGAGCACTCTTGATTTTTACTCTGCTGCCATATGGCTCACAGGTCACATTATACCATAGGTTTCCACTGTGACTGGCTTCATGCAGGCTTATGGTTCTATACTTGTCTCCATAGTCTTTTATTGCATATAGAATTTACTGTGACCATCACAAAGTATAACATCACAGTATTCGTCTGCTCAAAAGCCCAGAAAAATGTATATCTAACCACCATGCCACTTAAAATAAACGCCCATGACTATACAGGATCCACGATTTGACTGGTCCTTAACACTTGTTACTCATTAACCTCATCTGTTTCTTATCTTGTCTTGGACATTTCCTCCAGTTCTGTATTTTGACTGTTCACCCTGTTACATTGATCTGTGGCTTGATTTACTATTTCATCTGTATGTTTATTTATATCATATATATATTTATATATATGTATCTATATATATATTTGTATGAATTAGTTTTCATTTACTAGGAGAAAAGTAGGATCAGTATTTAACTTTATCAAATACAATCCAATTGTTTCTTTTGAAAATATTTTTTTGGGGAGGGGAAATATCATAACTAATCATAACAAATCTCATATGTTTAATGAGATCTACTCGGACCAACTTATACAACAATGCAACTTATCCACTCTGCCCAGCCCTACAATTCCTGTCTTACATTCTGATTGGTTACATTTTCATCATTTTCAAAAGTTCTTTATAATGCCCATGTTCATTAGTGTTTTATAGTATAATTTACTTTGATAGATGTGAATTTCATAAAACTGTATCTCCTTTGTTTACAGATGATTCCCAAGTGTCAGAAATCACATTTGGCACGTTGTAAGAATTGAAGACTCCTTATAAGGGAGGCAAAAAATGCCTGTTGGATGGCAGACTTTTATATTTGTTTTCTGGACCTTTGAAGCATGATCTTTATCTTTGCAGCTAAGTAAACTCAGCACTTGCAAAGACTGTGGGAACTACTTAGAGATTTCCTACAGTTCTATTTATCTGAGCTTTTGCTTAGAAAGGTGATAATCTTGCATGTTTAACTTGCAGAGGTGTCCATCTGTGTGTGAGTACAGTGAGTATAGGACCTGAGTAAGGGGAAAGATATAAGTGAAAGAAATTAGAGGCAAGAAAATCTGGTTGAAAATACTTGGGCAAAAAAACTGACAGTTTAAACTCCAGACAGTTGCAGAAAGAAGGATGATCGAGTAATGCCATGATGTCTCACTGTAGAGATTTCAGAAAGGGTCCTCAGGAGAATTCTGAAAGCCAAGATGAGGAGTGAGGTTGGAGTAGTTAATCTGGTAGCTTCCCTTCTTTCTCTTTGTGAAAGCACTTATCCACAATGTAATTTGCACATGTTGATTAATTAATCTCCAAGAGACTAATCCTTCTTTATTTGACAGATAATTAGACCCTCCACAAATCTAGTGCAATAAAAGCACACAGGAAGTGCTGTGGGCCAGCTTAATTACTGACATCAGTTTTCAAGGGGGATGTGTTTCCCCTCAGTTGTTTCTTGGCAGAAAACCCTGTGTAGACTAAGTACAAGATTTACCTCCCAGAAATCACAGCAATTATTTTCACCCTTCGCAGCTCTTATGTTCTAATTCCCTGTATTCAATAAAATGTCAAAAGGGGTCTGTCTGAATTTTAGTGATGTTCGAGGAACGGAATCTATGAATTATCTTTCCTTTTATTCTGAAAGTGAAGGTGCACCTGGGATGAGATGACACAATTGCTACAGCTGAAGAGCAAAATAAAATTTATATCATGGAAGATCTGAAAGAAGAGTTACCTCATATTTATTAAATTGGTGAGCAGAAGTCTGACTCTCACAAAACGTAAAGCAATAAATCCAAGGAATACAACTAAACTATAGTAGAGGAAGAGGAAAAGATAATTTGTATGTCTGCATATGTATGTATGTATGTATGTATGTATGTATGTATGTATGCATGCATGTATATATTATCTATCTATCTATCTATCTATCTATCTATCTATCTATCTATTTCTCTATCATCTATCCATCTCCTTTGGTGTATGTGGGTGCAAGTGTGAATACATGAATGTGTGTAAGAGAGAGAAAGAAAAAGAAGTAGAAATAGAGAGAGCATGGATACTTACTTGGGTATATTAGAGAAGAGGATAGACAAGATCAATTTAAAATGTAGTATTTTACAGCATTGTGGTTATAGCCTATCAGCTCACAATGATCCAGAGACCTGATCAACTCTCAACTTCCTGAATCACTTTACAGAAATCATAAATTCTAAATCAGGGGCTTCAAGAAAAATAGTTACTAAGTGTCGAAACCAGAAGTCAACACATTTTTCAAAATATTTAAAAAGCCTAAGGAAAATTATATAGTTCAGTAAGCACTGAGTCATTATAGAACTTCTGTGCTACAAAAACACTATTAATAAATGAGACTATATTAGTTCTATATTGGTGAAATTTGTTATCTCAGTTTTCTATTATGACTTCACCAATGTCCATGAAATATGCGTTATTTTATTTTTTTTGTTTAGCAATTTGAAGATAATGTGCTGTGAAACTACATAAACATGTGATATTAAATAAACATTGTATGTACAGAATGCTAAGGAAAAGAAACAAGTAAAGTGAAAAAAGAAAAAGGAGCAAGTCAATTTAGTTAAGTAGTAAATTAAGTAAAATTTTCTTGCTGCCTGCAAAATCCAAGTTTTGATTTACCCTCATTTTATTCTGTTGAAAGTTTTACTATACTTCATGCTGCTTCAAGGTTTCACACACACACACATACACACACACACAGAGAGAGAGAGAGAGAGAGAGATAGAGAGAGACAGAGAGAAAAGGAGAAAAGAGAAAGAGAGAATGCTTAGACTTCAATTATTAAATTTAAGAATTAATACTTTATCTTGTAAATTTATAAGCATATTAGGTAAAGTCCAGTGACAAAATCATCTCTTATACCTTACAAATACACAAAAAGGACATCAGATGATTGACTGATCAATTGATCGATAGATAGACTAGACAGACAGACACATGAGCAGGTGGACGGACAGACAGAATAATTTTTTCTTTTGCTCAACTATTATTATAGTTGGACAGTTGTGTCAAAGAATCTCTGAATGGAAACTGTTGTTTTAATTTACCTTACATTGCATCATTACTTTAACTAAGACCAACAAAACAAAACACCATTCTTCTAAACTTAGAAAATGCTTTGTTTTAACTAAAATTAACCTCATGAGGGCTGGCAAGGTGGTTCAAGGGGCTAACGGTGCTTACCCACAAGCCTGGTGTTCTGAGTGTGATCCCTAGAAGCTACGTGGCAGAAGGAGACAATTGACAACTACAAGAAGCTCTCTCCAACAGAACCAAAAAATTTGAGCACAGGGGTCTTTCCTGAGGCTGATATGCCAACCAAAGACTATGCATGGAGATAACCTAAGACCCCTGCACAGATGTAGCCCACGGCAGTTCAGTATCCAAATGGGTTCCATTGTAATGGGAACAGGGACTTTCTCTGACATGAACTGATTGGCCTGCTCTTTAATTACCTCCCCCTGAGGGGGAAGCAGCATTACCAGGCCACAGAAGAAGACAATGCAGCCACTCCTGATGAGACCTAACTGACTAGGATCAGAAGGAAGGATAAGAAGTCCTATCAGTGGACTTGGGGAGGGGCATACATGCAGAGGGTGGAGGAAGGGAGGGATTGGGATGGGAGGAGGGTGGGAACCACGGGGAGGGGATACAAAGTGAATAAAGTGTAATTAATAAAGAAAAAAAAGAAGCTCTCTCAGTTCCCACAAGTGTGTTGTGGCATGCCTGTATGAAATAAATAAAACTTTAGTAAAATTTACCTTATAAAATGTAAAATTTGGAAGTGAGTATTGGCTTCCAAGTGAGTATAGAACTGAGTAAATATCTTAAAGCATTATAGAATTATTTTCTGATAAAAGACAATATCAAAATAATATCATTGCTGCGTCACCTTACTCAGAAGTCTTAATTGGGATGATGATAAACTGAGGTCCGGTCTTTATTTTCTATGTTATTAGAAGGTAGGATTCTCATTCCAGATCTTGATCAATTAAGGTTGCTAATAAGGGCAGTTTCACGAACTATGTATCCTCAACAAGCACTCCAAAGCAAGCAAGCCCAGCAAAATTGACAACTAGTACAGTAAAAACGGTCTTGACTTTGGTTACAATTATTTTATATAGCTTAAGTAACGGGTCAATAGATTGGAAATATGTCTCATTTTTAATTTTTAAAAAGGTTTTAGTGAAAATAGACTTTTTTTATACAGTACAACCCAACTACAAAGTTTCCCCGTCCTCCATCACTCCCAGCTTCCTCTGCTTTCCCTCTCTACCAGATCCACTTTTTCTCAGGGTCCTCTTCAGAAAAAAGCAGGGCTCCAAGAGACAAGAGCCAAACAGGACAGACCAAGATACAATAAGAAAGGCTGGATAATATGTCTGTCTTTTTTAAACTGAGAAATTTGAAAGATTCTAATCGGTCACTAACAGTCTTCCCCAGTGTGAAGTCACTAACATTTAGCTTTGTTAGAAGTTTCCCAAAAAACTGTTTCTCTATTTTATGCCTTTATAAAGGAAAAATTTTAGGTTGGTATATGAAGTAATGTTATCATCATGGCAGATTCAAAGCATCTTCTGTTGCCCTCTTTCAACCTGTCTTTACTTGGAACTGAAAAATTTGACAATAACTTAGAAAAAAATGTGCACACAAAAAGGGATATAAAGAAGCCAAGATCCTTTCTCATTGCAAATGAATGAAATTATTGGTTTGTTCTTATATATGTAGCCTATATTTATTTAGCCTTTAATTAAAAATATAAAATTTGTAGGAATTACAGTATGAAATTTTTAGTACAATAAACATTCACTAAGGGAAACCATATCTACTGTCTTTGGGCATGCCAGTACATCCAAAAAAAGAGTTGAATATCAATGGAAGAGAAGGGGGAAAGGTGAAGTTGTAGTTTACAGACAGAGCTGGTTATATTTAGGAATATATATCAACATACATATACATACAGACATAGACATGTAGCAATAACTAATGTAAAAAGCGGTCATGAGTTTAAAGGAGAGCAAGGAGGAGTATATGAGAAGGTTTGGAGGGAGGAAAGGGAAGAGAGAAATGATGTTGTTATAATCTCAAAAGTAAAGAGAGAGAGAGAGAGAGAGAGAGAGAGAGAGAGAAAGGGAGAGAGATCCCATACATACTGAAGCACATACACTGTAATGCACTTCATAAAATGAAAAAAAAATAAAAAAGGCCTTGGCACACCTTCTGAACCTCTGAGGTTTTGTACTTTTACTATTTAAGCGCAGAACACTGACTCCACTTGAATTCCTAAATGCCTTTCCTCAATAGGATGACAGGAACATTCTAAAGCAGACATAAACTAAAAGGTAATTATATGTTAAAATATTACTCTTATTACAATGCTAACATGTGGAATGTTTTTGAGGAATGTTAATTGTATAGAAATAATTATATATAATTTAGTCATTATAGAAAAAGAAGATAAGTGACAAAATATAGTTTTTATTGAGGTAAGGTTCCTCTTTGGTAATGTATAGTTTAATGGAACATGTGTAGGCAGCATTGAGCTCTTTTCCTGGCAGTAAAACATAATAGGAGCTAATTCAATTCTGCATTTCAATGTACTGGCTTCTTGGAAAATCATTGCACACACACATACACATGTCAAATCCCATATTTTTGATTGTTTGCTTCTTTATTTGTAAATCACTTATAAGAATATTTGTATTATATGATTTGTTGCATCAGATGAGAAACTCAATCACTTACCACAATACCCTAAATGGAGAGTAGCAGCTTAGGAAACCTAGCCTATCTCCAACTCATGTAGTAGTTAAAAAGTAAAATAAAGGCTGTAGGGATAGCTCAGTGGTTAAGAGCACTGGCCTTTTCCCCAAGGGCTCCAGTTCAATTCCCAGAATCCATGTGGTGGGTCACAACCATCTGTAAGCTCAGTTTTAGGGAATGTTATGCCTTCCTCTGACACTTGTTGGTGCCAGGCATGCATGTGGCACACGGGTATACGTGCAGACAAAACACACATACACATAAAAATAAATTTTTTAATTGCAAAAGATAAACCTGGAGTGTATTTCTAATTTAAGTTATACATTATAAAGTTTTAAATTTTTAAATGATCATTTATACACGTCTATAATAATTTAGAATATGGTAGATTTAGAATGTTTTAATACAGAGATGGTACACAGTCATCCTTATAACATATGTAAGACAAGTTTTAAATTAAGTGACTCAAACTTGGCTGATAGTAAATGTTATTATATAGCATGAGGCATGAACTATAATATACTGGACTTTATAGTGTCTGTATTTAAAAGTGTAAAATGGCATGGTTTTGCAGTGACATACCTGGATCAAGTTCATGAGAGTATCTCTGAAGTGTCCCGAGGTTTCTGCATAAATGTCCTCTTGAAGGTTATTGTTGTATTCTGGGCAATAAAATACTAATGTTAAAAGCATGGCTATTATAGAACCTCCTATCAATGGGCTTTACAAAGCTAATGCTAGTGAATGTTAAGTATGAGGAAGCCATCAATCAATTGGCTTTTTTTTTTGTATCATAAATTATGTTAATCTATATGGATAATAATAGTAATATCAACCTAGGTCTGCCTTACTAAAATTATCTATTTTTGAGTCAACATTGAAATGAACATTGGAAATCTCATTCTGTAGGCCAGAGTTGTTTATTCCATGCTGTAGACTGTTGGCTAGTCTAAGCATTTCCCCAAATGTTCCAAGTCATTTCAGTGTTTTATTTGATTTTGTTCAGAAGCATTAAGAGTGACTGTGAGACCATTCAATTTCCACAATACACAACTGGTTGGAAATCAAGGCATTACACCATTTTTGATATGAAAGTAATTTTTATTTTAAAATGTGAAAAAAAACTTTGATTTTGGTAACTTGTTGGGATGATGACATTTATGCAAAGTAGAGAGATGGTTTTATTGAGTAATGGCCATTGTTTCTGTATTTTGTTTATAATCAAGTGTCTCTTGGGTAAAGAACAACATAATCCTGAATCAAGATTCTGGACACTTCCTGCATCTGTATCACTATTGGTAATCACACTTGAGCAAAATGTGCTTGATTTTCTGAGGAATTATTTCATTTTCAGCGTGATAATCATCAGTTTTATTTAATGAACAAAGTGAGTTATATTGCTTCATTATATTAGTTGTATTCCATGTTTTAGTCGTATGATCACTATATAATTGTTGTATCTCTGGTACAATGTAATGTTTCAATCCATGAGCACGTTGTGTAACGCTATCTACCATTTTTCATTACTCTTTTGATACCACCACTCCTCTCTGTCAGCTACATTGAGGTATAAAATACATTTTTATTATTTTTCCTCACTGTACTGTGCAGCAGATTATCAGAACTAAGTCCTCCAATATAGATGTGACAGTGTACCGGTTTATCAACTTCCCCATCCTCCCATCTACTCCAGGATGCCAAAACCTCTGGTGAGTTATATTTCTAATGTAAGAGTGCTTGCCATGGCTAATCTCCATTGTCATCCTAACACATCTGGGAAGAGGTAAAAGCATAAAAAGAACTGATTCTTTCATTCTGGTGTGTGGGCATGACTGAAGTGGAATTTTCTTGTTTGCTACTTGGGGTAGAAGGGTGCAGTCTATTGTGGGCGGTGCCTTCTCTGGGCAGGTGTGACTTGGCTGGACAAGAAGAGTAACTGAGCAAGGCAGGGCAAGCAAGTTGGTAAATAGTGTTTCTCCATAAGCTCTCCTTCAGCTCCTGACTCAAGGTTTCCATTTGAGTTCCTGCATGGACTTCTATTAAGTGATGGACTATAACTTGCGTTTGGTCAGTGTTTTACCAAAGCAACGGAGAAATAAACCAGAACAGTACCTTAAAACTATTTAAAATACATGGGATGAAATATATTTAGCTGTTATTTGAAAAGCAAGTTCATTATATATACATATTTATGTATTCCTTACGTAAACAGTAGGCTTCTCGCAACTGGAAAATCTCCCCATTTGTTCTTGAAGCTAATATTTCAATGAGGCAATTCTCATCGGTGCCTGCTCCCTAAAAATCAGAGAGAAATATGAAGATACTTTTATTTGGACCAATAGTCTGATTCAGTATTTTATTTTCATTCTGAGACAAATGATTATAAATAGATTTAACAAATTCTCATGACTTTAAACACATCTTCCTCAGTATGAGGGCATGTTTGGAAAAGAGACTAATCTGAACAGCACCAGAAGCTAACTCACTCACTCTTGGAATTGAGCTTGAAGGTGACTGAGAATGTCTGAGTCTCTATAACCAAAGAATAGTCTGGTCTCAGCTGCTTGACTCAAAGCCTCACTGTTCTCAGAAAGCCTCTTTTTACCACACTTTTTCCATGGTTCCATGATGTCTCTCTGATCGTGCAGAAACATCTCTCCTTTGTCGAATGGGAATGTCTATTCTTTGTTGAAATCTGAGCCTGTCCCTGTAAGAGGTATATTATTGGATCTGCCTGTATCTGATGCCGGTATATTACTGGGTCATTCACTACCTTCATGGCATGCCAGAGTTCATGAGCATCGTAAGATGGTGGAGGGTACATCAGGCCCACCATCACTTCTTTGAAATGAGATGAAAGTTGCTCCTTCAGGTCTGCAATCAAGTCCTATGTGGGAAGAAGTAAACATGAAAATTAAAACACTCACCAAAGTTACAAGAGAAATATGACTGTCAGGAGTCTTTTATGAAAATGTCTTTTTTATTTCATCAGGTAGTAAGCGTGGTTTTTATTCACAAACATATCCCTTGGGCTGCACTAGAGAATGGATTTGAGGGCTTGAAAGGTCTGATTTAATCACATCCATGAATGACAGAGCATGTGGAAGTATTGGTCACATCAGTACAGGGACTATTTCTTTCTGTAATCCTCAACCCTCATGATTCTTTCGGTTTCCTTATGAAAGTAAACATTGAACCTGAAAACATCTTAATTTGGAGTCTTTGGTTTTTCTGGATAGAACTATTGAACCATCAATCCTTAAATAAAATGTTTTTCTTTCTTTTCTCATTAGCGAAGTCTTTTTTTTTTTTTAAGCAGGGTTACTTGTTATCTTATGGATGAAAAACTTACATAAATTGATTAATCTTACACATTTCTCAAATAACAGTCACACTACCTAAAATAGTGAATGTTACTTAAAAGAGTACATACTTGCTAGATTTTAGTTCTTGGAACACAGCTACAAAATATTAAACTTATACTTTCTGTTTTTCTGATTTACTAAGAAATTTAAATTTATGCTAAATTACATTTATATAGGTTTATCGGGACAGTTGAAGATATTTAAAGTTTATTGTTTTGCTAAAAATGTGTGAAGTATATCTAGTTCTACATAAAAGTGTGAAATAGTATTTAGTAATTTGCACTATTACTAAGGCATAATAAACTCTATTTGGAGAAATTCAAACTGGTCAAACTTTATTTACAAGGCCAAGATTTCAAAACAGGTGAACTTGAAGACCAGGAAGACACTGGCTGGGGTAAAATAGAATGTGCTCAGAAAATGACCAAGTTAACTTTAAGTTGGTATCAAGTTAGTTTGAAATCTAGATGTTTATGGAGACTCAGACGTAGCTTATTCCCACCTGTTTTCACGTGTACAGAGGATCGGCCCTGAAAATGGGAATCTGAGCACTATAGTGTGAGGCTTCAAGTAACAACTATTTATCGCTGCTGTTTTCCAGAATGAGCTTTGAGGATGTGAACAGAATTTTGATTCACTACATCAGTACTATAATTAGCTGTAAGCAGTACACTGAATAGGTGAGGAATAAAAGACAGTGCCTGGATATGATCTTTTTGTAGTATTTTAAGACAGTCTTACTGTATAGCCTAGGCTGGCCATGAATTCACTATCCACCTGCCTCAGGCTCCTGAATGCTGTGACAGCAGGTGTGTGCCACCATGCCTAGCCAGTCTGTTTTGTAATGGTGTGTAAGGTTCAGGCAGCCTAGAGAGTGAACACAGCATATGTCTTGCAAAGGAGTAGATTGTGTTTGCTTGTAGATGGTACAGCACATTGAAAATGTGAGTGTACATAGACAGACTTAATATGTCATTATAACAAGGGAGCAATGCTTAAACAGCTGATGCAAAGGTTTGACGCTTGAATTGGCTCCTGACCCGCCAGCCTTTTTCTAATCTTAAATTGATTCCTTCTTTAATATCCCAATAATTTTGAACTTACTATATATATAAAACAATCAGGGTATAAAAAACTTTATCAAGTGTTAGGGTCTGAGAATCACTTAGAAAATACCCAGACCCGAGTAGTATGAAAATGTAAGGAACATTTATTCTGTAGAAATTTTCCAGCATGTAAGGACCATCATTTCTTAGAATGGGAACAGGCAGTGAGCACCTGGGCCCAATTTAAAGGCAATTTGGGGTTTCCAGAAGAAGTGAGGTAACCTTTCATTTGATTAGTTAGTAGTGACTCAGGAAGTGTGTTGGAAGGTGGGATTTAGGATTAGCTAAACATTTAGGAACTTTCCATAGTTGCTAAGGACTTTTCCTCAGGTTTGCTGAATCATTATACTTAGCTCAAGACCATGTGTTAAAAATTTAAACTGATTGGCTGCCTGAGAGCTATGGGTTTTCCAGAAATGGTTTTTCCATGTTCTGAGAAATAGAAACTCAGACCTAGTTACGCAAAGTTGAGAATAAAGCCTGTCTCAGAAAAGACCCAGATTTTTGGTTCTGTGCTCTCATTGTGAAACTCCTGTTTGCTTCAGGTCTTTCATCTCCCCCTTCTTTCATAAGATTCCCTGAACTCTGCCCAAAGCTTGGCAATGAGTCTCAGGATCTGCTTTGATACCCTCCTGGGTAGAGTCTTTTAAAGGCCCCCTGTGGTAGGCTCCTGTTCTGTTCTTCATTTTCTCCCTCTTCTGATTTCCATCCTGTTTGCCTTTCTGAGGATTGATCATCTTACCCAGGGTCTTCCTTTTTGCTTAGCTTCTTTAGGTGTATAGATTTTAGTATGTTTATCTATATTCTATGTCTAATATCCACTTATAAGTGAGTATATGCCATATGTGTCTTTCTGCTTCTGGGATATATCACTCAGGATGATCTTTTCTAGATCCCATCATTTGCCTGCAAATTTCATGCTTTCCTTGTTTTCCTTGTTTCCATTGTGTAAATGTACCACACTTTCTGTGTCCATGCCTCTGTTGGTATTGTTTCCAGATTCTGGCTATTACAAATAAAGCTGCTATGAACATAGTTGAGCAAAAGTCCTTATTGAATGGTGGGGGATCTTTTGGGTATATGCCTAAGAGTGGTATACCTGGATCTTGAGGTAGCACTATTCCTAATTTTCCATGCATGGAGATAACCTAGAACCCCTGCACAGATGTAGCCCATTACAGTAGTTCAGTCTCCAAGTGGGTTTCCTAGGAAGAGGAATAGGGGCTGTGTCTGAAATAAACTCAGTGGCTGGCTCTTTGATCAATCACCTCCCTCTGAGGGGAGAGCAGCCTTACTAGGCCACAGAGGAAGACAATGCAGCCAGTCTTAGCCAGACCCTAAGACCTGATAGTCTAGGGTCAGAGGGAAGGGTTGTGGACTGAGGGAGGCGCATAGGAGGAGATGAAGGAGGGAGGGTGGGATTGGGAGGAGACAAGGGAGGGGGTTACAGCTGGGATACAAAGTGAATAAATTGTAATAAATAAAAAAATAATTAAATAAATAAAGCTTGTCATGGAGTTCGATTAGCCAAACAGATTGGGGCCCTCTGAGGGTCTCTTGGAGACTTTGGAGTTATTATACCTCTCACAAAGTATGATAAAACTTCATGCATGTATTTTTTCCAGGGTTTATAAACACATGAATTGTCTCAAAAATTCCTAAACTCAGCATTCAGCTATATGATAATGCGTATACAATATGTTTGTAGAACATACATAATATATAAATGATTCCATAAAAATGAAAGAGTAAATAAATACATAAATAAATGAGTGTGAAAAGAGAAATGTTTTTTTATTATGTGCAAAGAATAAACGTTCTATTTAAGTGGAAGATAATTTGAGCATTTTAAGTCTTTGATTAAGTCTTTAGGTACATTTGTTTGATCACTGTTCTCATCCCATACGTATATAACATCTGAGTTTTTTAAAAGACATTATACCAATTCTAGACAAATATTGAATATGTATTTCACTAAAACCTGAGTTTAGGATTGCCACTAGATGGTGATATCTATTTTACTTTGTTCTCTGTGTCTGTGTATGAGAAAGAGAGAGAGAGAGAAAGAGCAAGAGTTATATAGTAAATTTGTTTTTAAAAATTAAGTTGGCAGGCTCTCTGATCACCTCCCCTCTAGAGTGGGTGCAGTCTTGCCAGTCGAGAGAGGAAGACAGGCAAGGAAGACAGGTAGTCAGGTCACAGAGAAAGATGATGCAGCCAACCCTGATGAGACCTGTTAGGCTAGGGTCAGAGAGAAGGAGAGGAGGTCCTCATCTATCAGTGGACTAGGAGAGGGGCATAGGGGGAGAAGAGGGAGAAAGGATGGGACTGGGAGGAGATGAGGGAGGAGGCCACAGTTGGGATACAAATAGAATAAATTGCAATAAATGATAATTATAAAAAAATAAAAAATTAAGTTAAATAACAGTTTAGTGAAAGAAGCCATATTAGATACCTTTTACTATCACTATGTTGTAGTTTCCAATCTTGTGTAAGTTACTGGAATAATTAGAGGAATATTACTAAATTTCTTGTATTTTCACACTTCTGAGTAAAGGAAACAACAGCCCTCCTCACAGGATTAGTATAAGTTTTATGAGACATGGGGAAAATGCTTAAAAATACTTTTAACACTCCAAAATGTACTCCAAAGATGTCATTCCCTCCAAATTATTAAAGAACACTTGCAAATCAGTAGTCTTCAGAGGTAAACAAAATGGCACTGCAGCATGTTCTCCATCTTCTCAGTCTCTCTCTTATGACACCCACAGCTCAGAGTTTTGTCTGTTATCCTTCATTTCTGCTATGTTCCCCATGCCCTGTTGTCAGTACTGTCTCTTGTGCCTGTTTCTGAGAAGTGTACTGATGCTCTGTGGGTTCCATATATGGCGATTCTATAAGAATACAAGGGAGATGAGAAGTTCCCATTGCTTAGTGACTTTCAGTTTCTTGATTGGAGCAAGCGTGGTCGGCCTGTGATGTTCATGCAATGAATTCACCCAATGCTCTGCTCAGCCCCTGTCCTTGGTAAGCAGCATATGCTCGCAATTCTAGAACTGGCCAACTCAACTCTTGCTGCTTCCTCTGTAAGCCTTGGACACGCAATCATCTTGTCTCTTCTACAACAACAGAGCAGCCATCTAATGAGCTTTGGTTCTGTGCTTATTCCCTTCTCTGTAAAAATCTGAGGGTAACATCCCCTCCGAAAAAAAACCCATATCAGAATAATCACTCTTCTGCCTTAAATGTTGCCCCACTCCAACATAAACATTGTCATTCATCTGCATAGTTTATCTCTGAAGAAAGTGGGTACTGGGTATGTTAGTGCATGTAAAGTTAACCATAAATTCTAACCAGGGTTGACAAAAGTCCTGGTACATTCTGATCACTTCTTGGCCCTTATGGTTCTCGTCCTT